TACTAGATAAGCAGCGTGTCTCAAAACTCAACAAGAGAAAATATAGAGAGATCTCAACAGCATAGGATGCTCATTCCTGTAGTATAGATTGCGAGAGACTAAGGTTGAGCTCATCAAGACACACTACGTACCAAAAAGCATAGTCTGTTGTATATGCTTTTTTTAAGTAAATTCTATAAGACCTTAGTTTTTTCTAAAACAAAACCTACAAAATCTTAGGTATTACGATCAAAATTTCACAAAACCACAAGGATATATTTTGACGTGCATGTTGCATATAACCATAAAGTATTATGGCTTCATATAGTTTCATTAACCAACTTTTGTTTCATTGATCATACAAATAGTAGTAATCTAAATTAACTATTTTATATTTTATTGCAGTACTAAGATAAATGCACTAACACACTATGGTTTTAAGAAACCTTAGAACCAAAATACTCATGGTTATGTGACGCATACCAAAACTCACATGTGGTTTTTAAACTACAATACCTACGGTATTATGAAATTAACTCTTTTTAGAGTTATGGTTTAGGGCTCCTTAATTTAGAACTCAAGAGAAATAAATACGTAACAGTCGAATATATCATGATTTTAAAATACAGAGAACACTAGAATCATGACTAATACTCCCTCCGTATTTTAATGTATAACGTCGTTGACTTTTCGACCAACGTTTGACCATTCGTTTTATTTAAAATTTTTATCATGCTTAAAGAACATTTGATGATAAATCAAGTCACATTAAAATAAATGATAATTACATAAATTTTTTAAATAAGACGAATGATCAAACGTTGGTCGAAAAGTTAACGGTGTCATATATTAAAATATGGAGGGAGTATTATATATCTTGGAGGCTTAAGAACGGTCATATATACCACCACCGATGCGGGGGAGCTAATTGTACTCGATCGATCGGCTAATTGATAAGAAAACAAAATCAGGTAATTAACTAAGTGTAAAACAAAATAATACCTAGCTATACACTCAGCTGAACCAGGCCACAAGGCAGGCAGAAGTTCTCCCTGGATGCATATGTCTCTCCTCCTGTATATATCGATCGTGTCCTCCCTTCGTCTTATATTACCCTTCGTCTCATAATATAAGGAATTTTGAGTTTTTATTTACACTTTTTATCACTCGTTTTATTCAAAAAATTTTAAAATTATTATTTATTTTTTTTGACTTGATTTATTATCCAAAGTACTTTAAGCATAACTTTTCGTTTTTTATATTTGTATAAATTTTTTTTGATAAGACGAGTGCTAAAACGGTGTAAGCAAAAACTTAAAATCCGGAACGGAGGGAGTACGTTCTAGCTAATTAAGCTACTCTCACTATCACACATCACGGAAGAATAATCCATATATCCCTCTGAAAAAAACTGGCTGCAGGATCGATCGATTAGAGGACAAAAAGGCCAGCCACCTCGGTCTGGGTGCTCACGCTTTTCCCGATCGATCAGTACTACGTGAATTGAATGTGCATTACCTAGCTATACTGCGTACAGTACTTTCTCTGTTGCTCAGTGTGCACACTACTATACTGTTTGGACACACGCACACACTGATCAGACAGTGTGGCCATGGCTAGCTGCATAAACCTCTACTTGAGCAGTACTACCTGTGTACTCCTCAGATAACGTTTAGGAATCTTCCAACTAACTTTACAAGGTGGTGGGCTAGATGATCTGGATTCAAAGTCTCACCCTTTCTAATTATTTGATATTAAATCATTCCTTAATATTCGTGTCTTTTACTTGTGTGCTGCTCGCTCCGTCCTATAAAATAAAATAAATTTTAGAAAAAAATATCCTAAAATATAAGGGATTTTAGAATTCCAAGACAATATTATATTCTTCACCGGCCTATCAACCTTATTCATCACCTACTAACTTTTCTACTTCATCTGTTTCATAATGTAAGACTTTCTAGCATTGTCCACATTTATATAGATGTTAATGAATCTAGACATAACATCTATATAAATGTGGGCAATGCTAGAAAGTCTTACATTATGAAACGGAGAGAGTATTACTTTACTCTTTCACCCATCACCTTTTATCCCATCACATGTTCATTTGTCACTTTCTTAATTTTTACAAAAGATAGTAGAGGCCCTGTTTAGATTCCAACTTTTTTCTTCAAACTTCCAACTTTTCCGTCACATCGAACTTTTCTACATACACAAAATTCCAACTTTTCTGTCACATCGTTCCAATTTCTTCAAACTTACAAATTTGGCGTGGAACTAACACAGCCATATTATGGGATGGAGGGAGTACTTCATATACCAAAACGGTATTTGTGTGTCAAAAACGGTATGCAACTCAACAATACTTAGGACTTATTTGGAATGTATTTATTTGTCAAGCTACAACCTCTAACCTGGATAGCAACTGGAATTAATAAGGCAAAAAAATAATTTTAAGGTATGAGCTTTTATTCTTCTACTTTGAGCATAAGAAAAGATAAACTTTACAGACTACGGTCCTTGAGAGATATCAAATTTCTTTAATGTAAAACGGTGTTATGAAACAAGGAGTCAGTTGTCGCATGAGAGAATAATGTTTAATGAATTACCGGAATAGGGATGACGATTAATCGGAATTATGCACTGGTGGAGAAATCATCTTTGGTCGGTCGACCAAAATCCACAATAGTCCCGGTTGCAATAAAAACCAGGACTAAAAATGATCTTTAGTCCCGGTTAAAAACACCACACCTATTTTACTAAAAATCATCTTTACTCCCGGTTCATCCCGTGTCAGTAGTTTGTCAGGGGGGCGAGGATCTTTAGTCCTGGTTGGTGACATCAACCGGGACTAAAGATCATATTTATAGTCCCGGTTGATAATACTAACCGGGACTAAAAATTATATTGATCTTTAGTCCCGGTTAGTATTACCAACCGAGACTAAAATTTAATACGTAGTATATAATCTTTATCCCTTATTCTCTCTTACACTTCACAGATCCGTTCCCCTTCCTATTCACAGATCTAACTCCTCCTCCCCTCCTCACTTCCCATCCGCCCCTTCTCCCCTTCCTCCTCCCCTCTCCTCCCCTCCTCACTTCCCATCCCATCCGGTGGCCGACGGCGGCGGCCCGGCGGCCGGCGGGGCTGTGGCGGCGGCGGCCGTGGCGGGTGGCGGCCATGGCGGGCGGCGGCGGGCTGGCGGGTGGCGGTGCCGCGCGGGGCGGCGGCCATGGCAGCCGGCGCCAGCGCTCCCGGCGGGCGGCCGGAGGTGCCACGCGCGGCGGCGACCGTGTCCTCCCGACTGCCGGCCGGCCTCTTTTTTTTTTCTTTTTTTTTATAATTTGTGATTGATTGAGACGTGTAATTTTGTGATTCATGCAAATTTCATGGATATGAGATGTATAATCTATGATGTATTTGATTTGTGTGTATTTTTTAGGATTTGTGATGTATTTGATTTGAGTGTATTTTTTTTAGGATTTGTGATGTATTTGATTTATGTTTATAAGTAACTTAAGCTTTGGGATGTTACTTTGAATTGGGGATTTGGGGATTGATTTAGGGATATACATGGCACTATATTCGGGAGAAAATATAGAGATTAAATCTGGGCAAAAGAAAAAAAAAGCGCTACTCTCTCTTTAGTCCCGGTTGGTGTTATCAACCAGGACTAGAGATTCCTCTCATTTTTCCCGGTTGGTAACACCAACCGGGACTAAAGATCGATCTTTAGTCCCGGGTATTTGAACCGGGACTAAAGATAGTGATCTTTAGTCCCGGATTCGTACTCCCGGTTGGAAAACCGGGACTATAGGGGGGTTACCAATCGGGAGTAAAAAGGCTTTCTCAACCAGTGATGGGGAAATTTGTTGTATCCAAATATATGTACATGTTTTATAATACTATGCCCTTCTTTGGATATTTAAATGCATACAACTATATGTAAATATTTTCATATATACTATTTTTAATTGAACAATAAATAACTTGATACTAACCCAAAATGTAGCTTTCAACACTTGTAATTGAAGACTAGACACACCAGGAAATTCGATACCTTCCAGTACCTCATTAAGAGCCATAAAAACACTGAGTAAAAAGAAGACTGGTTGATGTAAAAACCCTATATTAATTGTAAAATTAAAGGGAAAAAATCCAAATATTCCCCCTAAATTTTGGATGGAATTCTATTTGACACCTGAACTTTAAAACTAGACATCTAACCCCTTAAATTTTGTAATACAGTTCATGCTACCTTCTAAGGTGGTTTTACATAATGGTTTTACGTATTTGAGATCTTACATAGTTGTATTTAAATAAGTTCAATATATTTACGTATCATCAATTGTAGGCTGTTAATTTATATACTATACAATAATGTTATAGTATTGCTACTCTAGTATTTCTCTTTGCTACTCTAGTATTTCTCTTGCGAGTAAGAGCAAACAAGGGGTAAAAAGAAACATTTAAGTGAAAAATTTACATATATGTTTCAATGCATATTTCGCATGATCAAAGCTCAGCCAAAACATATGCTAATGAGATAACGACTTTGTAAAACTACCTTAAGGATCCGTATGAACAGTACTATAAAGTTTAGAGAACTGAATGTCCGGTTCAAAACTTCATGTTGCTAGATGGACTTTTTTTTTTTGAGAATTACACAGTACAGCGCAGACACTCACAACGCACGCGCTCTCACCCCTATGAACACACGCACACAAACCCTACCCCTATGAGCATTTTCGAAGACTGGGCCGGTAAAGTTTAGGGAACTGAATGTCCCGTTCAAAACTTCATATTGCTAGGTGGACTTTTGATTTCAATTAAAGTTTAATTAGGTGGTTATTAATTAGGACTTCTTTTTCAAATTTAAAATTTGATACTGCTTAAATTACAAACCCAACCTAAAACAATCAAACAAGCACAGTAGTACATGCACTGGCCTCTCTCTCTCTCTCTCCTCTGCCTTTTTAAGCAGCCACACGTCGAGTCGTCTCCTCCACACAGATCGCACACACCAGTAGCTGCACTAGCCCACTGTGATCACTAGCTACCGAGCTGCACTGCACTGCACACAACTTGTTCGTCCCGAGTCCCGACCACCACTAGCTAGCTCTCGCACGCTCGCCGCGCGCCATGATGAGCAGCAGGCTGAACGCCGGCGCGATGGCGGTGCCAGCGGCGGCGGTGGCGGCCGACGTCGTCGACTTCGGGTACGCCGCCCCCATGCCGCCGCCCTACGTCGGCTTCGACCCAGCCGGCATGGGCGGCGAGCGCCAGCTGTTCCAGCACGGCGGTGCATGCCATGGCCTCTACGACGGTGGCCTCGACTTCTCCGCCGCCGCGGCGTTCCAGGAAGCGGCCACTCTTGGAGTTGGCCTGCCGGGCGGCAATCTGCTGCAGTCCCTGGCGCCGCCCGCCGCCGCCGCCGCCACGCCGTCGTCGCTGCAGATGCCGATGATGATGTCGCTGCCGGGCCTGCCTGCGACGGCGGCCGACGTGTACCCGTTCGGCGGCGGCGGGTTCGTGAAGCGGGAGGATGGCCCCGTCCTGGACGTCGTCGGCGGCGGCGGCGGCGGGAGGATCGGGTTGAACCTCGGCCGCCGGACCTACTTCTCCCCCGCCGACGTCCTCGCCGTGGACCGCCTCCTTCTCCGGTCGCGCCTCGGCGGGATGGGGATGGAGATGGGGATGGGCATGGGCGTGCTCGGGCTGGGCCTCGCCGCGGCGGCGCACCACCACCAGCCGCCGCGGTGCCAGGCCGAGGGCTGCAAGGCCGACCTCTCCGCCGCCAAGCACTACCACCGCCGCCACAAGGTCTGCGACTTCCACGCCAAGGCCGCCGCCGTCCTCGCCGCCGGCAAGCAGCAGCGCTTCTGCCAGCAGTGCAGCAGGTTAGCTCCGATCCCGCGCAACCATGTCGCTGCCAGGTGGGACCCAGCAGGCACACGTGTCGCTGCCAGGTGGGACCCAGGGCACAGCCACACACGCACTCACACACTTGACATATAGCTGATTCAATTCCGTACGAGATGAACACTGCAGCAAACTGTTGAGATATGTTTGCTTGTCTTTTCCGTTGTCTCCTTGCCAACCACGCATCTCACTCACTTTCCATGCATGCATGGATATTTCTATTTCATCAGGATGGATCACTGTACATTCAACCTACTTCATCCCTTCTAAAATATACTACCTCCGTCCCAAAATATAACTTTTAGCTATAAATCTGGACACACAGTTATCCAAATTCATAGCTAAAAATACTTATATTTTGAGACGGAGAGAGTAAATAATTTTATATGGACGAGACATTTCCTAATACTACAAATTTACGAATTTAGACAGAGAGCATGTTCACACTCGTATATTAGGGAATACCCCCTCCGTCCTAAAAGAAAGTCCAATCCTAACTATAAACCTAGACACATATATGTCCAGATTCGTAGCTAGAAGTTGGTTTTTTATGGGACGGAGTAGTATGTCATATTCATTTAAAATCTCTTATATTTTGTAATGATGGAGTAATTATATAAATAGCTCCCCAGATGATTTGCATGCATGCAATTGAGCTTAATTATGATGAAAAACAACCTGATCACTAGCTAGTGGTAGTGTATAGCTACCTGCATTATTAATTCATGGCCATGCAACAGAGAAAAAGCTTTCTTTTCTTCAGTTCTTGCTTTTCTTCTCTCTGTACTGTGAGTTCATCATGCATCAACTGTAAAAGAAAAAGGCTACTAGATGAGATATTTTGATCCAAGAGTTTAATCTGAGGTCAGATGCTAATTACTAGTATTAGATGATGCTTGCATGCATGTCAGTCAGATCAGATCAGAGAGCACAAGGCAGTGGTTGCACTTTATCACTGTAGCTATACCTAGCGCTGCATGACCAGTGTAGCACACTCATCATTGCAACTCATCTGACGATCCATGGATGGAGATACATGGCCCCTATATATATGTCCCAGTATATATTACTGTATAGGAGTACAGCTGACAGATTGTACACCTACTAGCCCCTACATAAGCAGTCTCTGTATCTGCATACATTGGCATATTTACGTGTACATGCAGTGCGGATGCATATGTATTACAGTTAATTTACAGTAGTAGCAGTGTCCATTAAGTCTAATTTGGTACTACATTTATATATTCAGTTTGATTTAAATTTGTGTTCTTAATTTGGACAGGTTTCATGTGCTTGCTGAGTTTGATGAGGCGAAGAGGAGCTGCCGGAAGAGGCTCACCGAGCACAACCGCCGCCGCCGGAAGCCCACCGCCGGCGGCCAATCGTCCAAGGACTCGCCGCCGCCGCCGCCGTCGAAGAAAGGGACTGACGCCAGCATCGCTAGCTCCTACACCAGCTGTGACCACCACAAGGGTACGTACTATACTAAAATTTAACTCAATTAATTAGTTTGGTCCTCAGAAGGGAGAACACATTTGAAATAATTCAAAATCTAATTAAGTGTGGCAATGCTCAATATATAATGCTGAACGTTAGATCGATCTGAAAGCAAAATTCAGATACTGATGTTTTCAAATTTCAAACTATGTACAGACTAGATTAATGCTCTTCTTAAATTAACCATTTAGATCAGAGAAGAAAAATATACAAATTAAAGATGAACTGAATCTTTTTTTCTATAACTAAAACACAGTCAATAACTCACCTCAGTTTGTAAAAGGGAAAAGTACCATCAGGATCTGTTACTCTTCACTGTTTTTGACCCCAAGCACAAGCCTTGCTATTTTTTTTCAAAAAAAAAAAAAGAAAGCCCTTGCTAAATTTTTTGTTTTTTTTTTAGAAAAGCTAGGTCGTTATATAACGTCTATTCACCAACTTGTCTATATAATGGAGTGCTACTACGTACCATAGTCCATAGATACGATCTTTTGTGCAAGAACGTGGCAAATATATATACAGACATAACACATATGACTTGACAGTTGTCACGCCTAGCTAGATGCTACAACCACGTACAACTAGCTGATCGATCATGCACACTTCGCGCCAAATTAAGCTTTCATGCACCTACTATAGCTAATACTCTAGTTAGCAAAGTACGCGTCTTAAAATAAAACAACCTAAGATAATATGGTATATAACCTAATATAACAATCTAGATAGAAAAATGTTCATATTTGTTAAACTAGATTATATTTAGGTTGTTTTATTTTTGGAACGGAGTGAGTAGTTTACGTCGCAATTCCTGCATTATTCTACATGTGATCATCATCTCTCTTCGTGCAGCAGCTGCGAGCACCACGACGGCCAGCGGCGTGAGCTGCCTGCAGGAGCTTGCAGACCACCACGACGTCGGCGGCGGCCATCAGGCAGCCATGGCGGCGGCGCCGCCGCCGACGCTGTCCCTGGCCGCGCTGCCGCCGCAGGAGGAGGACGACGAGGACGAAGACGGCGGCCTCGGCAACGTCCTGATGATGCAGCAGCACCATCAACGGCGGCGACTGCAACACGACGGCGACGGCGACGACGATGTCGCCGCCGCCGCCGCCCACCACCATCTGATGAGATCTCTCGCGCGGCAGCAGCAGCAGCATCGCCATAGCAGCGGCTGCAGCAACAACAACGACGGCGACGACGACGACCACAACAACAACAACAACATACTGTCGTGCTCGTCGGCGTCGGACCAGCAGAACAGCAGCAACAACAACAACATGCATTTCTTCGAGGTGGATTTCATCTAGTCGTCTCGAAACCAAAAAAACATATTAATTCGTCAGGGTAAATATCCTTTGGAATTAATTACCGATGGTTTTTTCGAACCGATTCACGTGAAAATCCTGTAAAATTCCAAAGGAGATCTCGATTGGATTGATATGTACGTGTACATCTGTGTTTTTCAGAAAATTTAGAGATTGGTCGATGGGAAGTAACGAGAAAAGGGAGTAGAGATAGGCTGCTACTGCTGGTTTGACTGCATTATTATGAGACGATGAGTTGAAAAGAAAGCAGCTAGCTGCTGTTGCTGCTGCAGCTGCAGTTGCTAGCTAGTATTAGCTAGGTTCGTTGCATGCGATAGCTAGGCTGGAGTGAGTGTGTAGCTAAAGTTTGCTTTTTTTTTTTCTTTTGGGGTTTTCTTTTCACTGTGTTAATTTGTACTTGCTCTTGCTGCTTGCCCTTTTTACTAGAGAGGGGGGGGGGGGGGGGGAATAGTGTGCAGCTAGCATGTGTTTTTTCTTTGTTCTTTTGCCTTTTTGGTGACAATATGTAAATTATGTTGCTGTGCATCATGCTCCTTACAACGAAACACTAGCTCTGTTTGCATCTCCTCTTGACTTGTTGTAACTTGTAAGATCTTAATTTTAAATGTCGAATAAGTTCATGATTAATTATCTCCCTTGTCTCGTTGAGTTTTTAGACCATTATGTTGACAGATCTCTGAACATGTCCCTGGTCTGGAATTCTGGAAATAGCTCTTTGAGCTCCTTAATTTGGTGATTATGGATCGCTACTGTCTAGCTAGCTAGCTCCCCTAATTAGTCACAGCAATTAATGTCCTGTCCAAATGGGAGCTGATCACTTACAAGTGACATTGTCTATACATAATACTCCCTCTGTATTTTAATTTAAATTTTAATGTATGACGCCGTCGACTTTTTAACCAACGTTTGACCATTCGTTTTATTCAAAATTTTTATGTAAATATAAAAATATTTATGTCATGCTTAAAGAATATTTGATGATAAATCAAGTCATAATAAAATAAATGATAATGACATAATTTTTTTAATAAGACGAATGGTCAAACGTCGATCAAAAAGTCAATGTTGTCATACATTAAAATACAGAGGGAGTATATATAAAAGACGATAGTGATAGTGGTAATCAGGGTACAAAATTATTAAAAACCGCTTGCTTTCATATAAAATGGAGATTTCGAGCTAGCTAGAGATCAAATGGCTTGGTAAACCAATCATTTTTCTTTAAAAAACAAACCAAATTTTAGTCGAATTTCACCGTTAGTCAAACCATTGGTACTATCAAGAGCGGTTATCGAGGGTGGTTCTGTTTAGTTAGCCGGGTGGTACCATCCGACAACGGAATTTTCTATATATGCATATGGAGTATTTGTTTTGCTTGAAATATGTTTTGTTCGACAATTAGATCGTTTGTTTGTATGTCTTGTAATAAGATCATTTGAGCAATACAATTGAAAACTGTATGAAAAATTTAAAGTTTATATTTTTTTTATATACTTATTCTAGTTCTAGCTAGATGAGAATTAACTATATATAATTAATTGAAAATATAGAACAAATAACTTTATGTGCCTTGAGCTAGGCTGCAATAAGTTGTACTGATCACTATCTACGGAGAACCTATTTGAGTTGCGTCATATATAAGGCATAACAAATTTTGAATTTTAGAACTTGATATGATTTAGGGTTTTCTTACGTTGGTTTCGTTGCTTAGCCTTGTCTTTTGGACCGTTAACACTAGAATTGTAAAAAGTTCGCACCATAAAATACCTCCCAAGCATGATTTCTAGGTTTAGTTAATGCATGCCTACAATATTACTACTCATAGCATAGGCCGGCCATCGATCTCATAATGAACGTTGGCCTCATCAGCAGTGAATAGAAAGGGTGAACATATCTTTCTCAATAACTAGGGTATCTCTTCGTATTGAAAGGCGGTAGGACCAGCAACGACACACACACACAGTTACTGCTGTACTGCAGTAGGAGTAATAACTAAGGATTTCAATTGAAAAGAAGAGATGAAAAGTACTACTAGTATCAATCAAGCAGGGACCGGACCAAGATCGCATCACATTGTTTATCTACATGCCGCCATCGATATATGCCTGCGTGTTTTAAATTTATGGCAGTGAAATCTAACGCTCCAAGAACATTAATTCAAAAGCTAGAGATGGATCTCGATCAGTGAACAAAATCCATTAGGTAGTTCATGCCAAAATTGAAAGTTTGGTTGAAATTGGAACGATGTGACGGAAAAGTTAGAAGTTTATGTGTATAAAAGTTTTGATGTTATGGAAAAGTTGGAAGTTTGAAGAAATATTTTGGAACAAAACAAGGGCATAGATAGTTCAGGAAGAAATTTTGATTGATATATAGACAAAAGCGATGATCTCATAAAAGCTTGAGATACCAGCTGCTGGATCTTTTATGAGCTCTATCTGTGCTGGGACCCAAATTCTCTTTTCTTACGGATATTTAATTGTACCAACAGTTCGATCAACCTCATTGTAAATATGCTCTTATGCACTTAATTAACAAATTAATTACCTGTAGTACATGGGAGAGATAGATGGACCAAATATATAATACTCCCTATAATGGCTTGTCAGGACTGATCAGGAGTTGTTACAACAATTCAATTGCTTCTGCAGGCCAGAATCAGAAAGAAATCACACAGCAGGATCTCTCCCCATTTTAATTACTCCTCTCTTGATCTCTTCCTACAATTGATGGAACCAACAGGCTTTTCTTTCCCGTTGATCCCGTCACACGCATGTATATATATCTGAATCGTTAGCTAACGAATCAAGCATATTCAATGTTCATAGGATCACCCCCAAATCTCTCTCTCTCTCTCTCTCTCTCTATATATATATATATATATATATATATATATGAAAAAATACGAATTACCCCCTGAACCGTGGCAGTTCATTCAGCATTCTATTTATTAAAAAATGTGAGACCCACCTGTCATACTCCTCCCACTCTTCCTCTCTCTCTTCTCTCACTCTTCCTCTCTCTCACGCGCACGGCGAGGCAGGGCGGAGGGGCGGCAGCGGCGAGGCAGGGCGGAGGGCAGGCGGCGGCGAGGCGAGCGCGGAGGCGGAGGAAGCGAGGCGGTAGCGAGGCAGGGCGGCGCACGGGGCGGGCGGGTGAGAGAGAGGAAGAGTGAGAGAAGAGAGAGGTAGAGTGAGAGAGAGAGAGAGAGAAGAGACTTGACATGGGCTGTCAAGTGGGCTAGCCCAACCATGGAAGCTGGTTAAACCAGCTTCATGTTGGCTAGCCCACTTGACAGCCCATGTCTTGAGGTCCATAAAGTCTATCCGTGACAGGGTACCATATTTTTTTAATAAATAGAATGCTGACTGGACTGCCACATGTACGCCACGTAGACCAAAACCACCGCAGATTAGGTCGAAGGGGGTAATTCGTCCGGTTTGTATAGTTGGGGGTGAAGAATATCCGGTTTTCGGGTTCAGGGGGTAATTCGGACGACCGCGATAGTTCGAGGGGGTAATTCGTACTTTTTCCATCTAGATATGTACTGTCTGATCTGTTCTGAAAACAATGACATCCTAAAATACGTACAGACACACATCTCTCAAAAGAGGACAGCTAGGGGACGGAATACCGTTCATCTGACGGTATAGTTTATGATCTTGATCGTGCACGACATTCTGCTACCCCCGCTTCTCCGAAGGGACGCGGCAGTAGTGCTCATCTAATCAAGTCTCCTATCTGGGTTAGTTTGGTTGCACTGTGAGGAAGCGGGACTGGTTGGCCTATGTGGGACACAGCTAGTCTGATAGTAATAAAAGAGTTTTCTTATTGGTCTACACACTCTGATGTGGACTAATAATAGTCTAGTATCTCGTTAGGTCATATGCTGATGAGATTGGGACAATTGATACATATATTCACAATAAATATTTTTTGTTGGGTCGTGTGCTAATTAGGGTGGACCAATAAAGATACACACATCTACAACTAGTTATTATAAAGTACGGAGAAATCATGTACTTATTGTCACGCCCCGAACTAGCCCTGAGCGGAACTAGCCCGTGACGCTCCAATTTAACCTGTTAACCGATACCAGTCCCAGGAAACAGTGCTGGTATCACAGGAAGACAGTATATCACAGCAACAGAGGTCTCTTTATTACAGAGTAGGAGTACAGTCATGTTGGGCTGCGGACAGATCCCGAGCTCGCAACTGCATTACAAAAGGGAAAGCGGAAGCCAAGACTTGGACCAATCATCACAGGCGCGACTTGGGAACTAGGCCGAAACCCTAAAACTCATCATAGCCGACTTGCTCCTAGAAGAACTCCTCGTCGGCGGGGGCCACATTATCTTCTTCAGCAACTGGGGGGGGGATTATTTATATAGAGCAAGGGTGAGTACAGGAGTACTCAGCAAGCCATGGGAATTAAGTGTTTAATGCAGGCTTCAAAGGAAAGGCTGTTGTTTTTGCAATTGATTTTATTTAAACTCCTTTTTGAAACAACTAAGTGAGTGCTTCTCAAACGACACGGATGGGACAGTGCGTCTCGTCCGGTCGGAGTATGTGCAATGTATCAGTCTTTGAATTGATCAGGGTTGGCACCCGGCCAACAGCTTTCAAACGGCCACCCGAGCCTGGCTGATCCCATCAACCGCAGATTTTTTCAAACATCGAACCCATTCCACAGCAGCAATTTCACAAAGCAGTAGTCAAACAAAACTACGCTAGGAATCACCTCACATCCGCCCATGACCGTGGGCACGGCTGTTCAAACAGTTTAATAACCTCTGCATAGGGGGTACACTTTACCCACACGACATTACTAACCCAGATCTTCCAGCCCGTGCAGAACGGCCACGTCTAGAGACCTTAAGGCTTTCATGACAAGGCATTTCGAAAGCCGACACAGGTTCACCATATGCCAACGAGAGGGGTCCCAGACCAACAACAGATTAGGTCCCAGACCATACTGTGCCAGGAAACCCGGGGGTTCTCCCCGGCACCACCCCGTTGAATCCACATGTCTCTTGGCATCATGGCACCCCCGATTAGCTAGTTACTCAGCCAGGGGTGTCCCATTCCACCCATGTGGTCGCACTTGTCTTATGTTCGGATGAAATTCCAAGGAAACAGTCCTTAAGTGCAAGAGCGGGAAACCGTACTCCCGGTACGTTCCCCGGTCCGCGATTTTGGAAATTCATTTAGTTCGCAAGCACCGACCCAGGTGTCGGGTTTTCCAAGTCTTTTGTAAAACCCAAGTTTTACCCATCGTTGGATATTTTAAATTTTGAGGGGGGGTGTTCCGATGCGCGTACCCGAAGGCCCATGCATCGAAGCACAATAGTTGGCAAGGGAGGTTTAAGTGTTCAATAATTCACGGAGGGTAATTGCAGCAATTAGGATTGGGGGCCAGCAGGCTATCTCACAAGCCGCGGCCAAATTACTTGTGTAGATCCTATTCATGCAATATTTGCGGAAAAGAAATACTTAGATTTAAATTATAGGTGCAAGATGATCAAAGGTGTCTTGCCTTGCTCGAGACCTTGAGCTTGATCCTCGAAATCCTCGCACTGCGGGTCTTCGGGCTCCGAAACTACACGCGAGACGGGACAACTCAACAAACGGTGAAAATAAAGCCCTATTATGGACCTCTAAGCGTGCCATTAGATAGATCTCGAGATTTGAGGAATTTTAGAAGTTGAACGGAGTCAAACGGACTTACGGTTGGGAAGATATTGAATTTCTAAGATTATTGGATTTTTGATCTAAAGGAAAAAGGATTTATTTAAAACCTTTTTGAGAAAAGAAAAGAAAAGAAAGAGGGAGGGGAATTAGACTTCCGTCGGGCAGCTAGGGCGCGGCCCGAGAGAAAGGGGCGGCTCGGCCGAGCTTAATGGGCCGGCCGGCCCGAGAAGGCGGCCCAAGGCGCGCGCGCGGGCGGGGAGGAGAGAGGGAGCCGGTGGGCCGGGTCCATCTCGCGTGGTCCCGAGTGGGACCCGCTTGTCGGCGGCTCGGCTCACCGTGAGCGAGGTGCACGCGGGGCGTGCTAGGGTTTGGGAAGGGGAGGCGCGGCGCACGCGCGGTTCACGGAGGACGCGGTGCGCGGCAGGCCCACGCGCAGCCTCACAGCTCACCGTGGACCATGCGCACGGGGAGGGTGGAATGGAGGGAGCGGCTGACCGGGTCGGCCGATTTGGTCGTGCCGAGGTGGCACCGACATGGCGCCTACATGGCTGCCACGCGGGCCGGCTGGAGGAAGACGAAGGCGCCGGCCGCGAATGGACGGCGGGCGGTGGCGGTTTCTCCGGGACGCCGTGCGACGACGAGGGGCGACGGGGTGTACACCGGAATGACGAGGGAGAACGAGAGGGAGCAAGCCAACGGCTTGGATTCGCCGGAGGGAGTTCGTCGGTGGCGGATTGCGGCGGCGGCCACCGGCGGCGAGAGAAGAGGGGAACGATGGCGAGACGACTAGGGTTCGATTCCTCCGGACTAGAGCATCTACACGACCTCGGGATTGCATTCCTTGCGCCGGATTAGGAGGAAACGCACCGAGGGTGGCCGGCGACGAGAGGCGCTACCGAGCTCGGGCGGCGACGACGGCGAGCACACAGTGGGCGGCGGCAAGGCTTGGGGCGGCGCCAGCTAGCTATGGGGAGGTTACACAAGCTTCTATCGAAAACTAAGGGGAAGAGGGGGAACGAGGAGGGAGCACGGGGAGATGCACTACCGTGCGGGACGGGGCACAGTGACGATGGGCCGACGGCACGGTAGTGATCTCTCCGGCATCGGGCCAGGGAAGCGGAGGAAGACGATGCGCCCGAAGTCCCCTTCACGCGTCCTTCGCACGCACCAGCTCTCCCGGTGCTTGGCGATGAACGGCGGAGGCGAGACAGAGGGATGGCAATGGCGTGGAGGTGGCGAGCGAAACGGGAGGAGGAATCGATGGGAGGGCACCTTGGTTAAATAGGAGGCGATGTCGGTTTGGGAACCGACCAAGGGCGGTCAAGGGAGCGAGCTAGCGCTCGGCGGTTGCGGCCAAAACGGCGACAGGGGGGTGACGCCGGCGGAAGAGAAAAGGGAAAATGAGGAGAGAAAGGGGGGCTTGCCCCTTGCCACTTTGGGAAAAGGAGGAGGGAGAGAGGGCGACGCGGCAGAGGGAGGAGGAGCTCGGCCTCCATCCCTTGGAAGCTAGCGCGCGGAGGTGGCGGGGCCGGGTCGATGACGACGGCGATGACGGCGGACCGGTTTGGAGCGGAGCGGCGACACGGGCGGCAGATGCGGGGCAGGCGCGGCAGGTGCTGACAGCGGCGGCGACTGGCCGGTCGGCCAACACGGCGTGCGCGCGCGGGAAGCAACGGGGCGACGCGACGATTTGGGCGGCGTTGGCGGGAAGCGGCAGCGAGGGCGGAGGGCGCTCGGCTCGGCGCGGCTCACGAGCACGCGCACGCGGCGCACGGGCAGAGCGAGGGAGAGAGGGAGAGAGGGAGGGAGGGAGAGAGAGATGGGCCGAGAGGAAATCGACCCACCAAACCTGAGGGAGGCAAAATAGACTTTTGCGGAGGAAATGAATTGGGAAGAAAAAAAATTGAGATTAGGGTTTGGATTTGACGATGGATCGGGGATTCGAGATCCGGAATGGCACGGAGACTGACTGCAAGCGAAGAAACAATTTTCGCAATTAGGGTTTTTAGAATTTAAATTTTCCCGCTAGGCGCCACGACGGAACGGGCGCTACACTTATCATCCATGAAACCCCATGATACTTGGTACTACATAGTACCTTATATGTTATGAACCTCCAAGGTAACAGACCTGGTATTACATATGTATCATATGTGGTATCTAGGTATCAGACTTATACTTAGACCCAGTATCTAGGTATCAGATTTTGTAGATATCGTGGGTATCATATATGATATCTGGGTACCAGATTTGATAATTAGACTTGGTACCTAGGTACTAGATTTTGTAAATATTGTAGGTAACATATATGGTACCTGGCATGATACTTGATACCTAGGGTATCATATATGGTGCCTGGGTATCATACTTGATACTTAGACATGATACCTAGGTATCAGATTTTATAGATACTGTGGGTATCATATACCTGGGTATGATACTTGATACCTAAGGTATCATATATGGTACCCGGGTATCATACTTGATACCTAGACCTGATACCTAAGTATCAGATTTTATAGATACTGTGGGTATCATATATACCTTGGTATCAGACATGATACCTATATATATTAGATATGGTACTTAAAACAAGATAATTAAGAAAAAGATGAACATAAAACAAGATAATTAAGAAAAAAGATGAACATAAATCTAGATAATTGGCCATGGCTCTTTCCAGCAGGCCCAGCTAGTATGTGAGCACCTCTTATGCATGTCCTACAACTAATAGAAGAAGAAGTCACGTCCACACTCAGCAGGACAGTGCGACAAGCTAGTTCATCACGTGGGAGCCTATCCATATCTCGCATATGAGGTAGGCATCAACGACATAACGATTCGCTCACATTAATCGTCCCGTGACAACGGGATACCGTTTTATAGCTTTTCTCCTCTCAAAATCGTAAATCATTAAGAACTATAAAAGAATTAGAACTTGATATGCAAAAAATATATTAGCAGATTTGATGTGGGAAAACTTTTGAATAGTTATAAATATATAGTTTGAAAAAAAAGTAATTATAAAACATGTGTATTAGAGACATGTCGGTATGCAAATAAAACTTTAAGAAGAAGAAAATAGAACTTGTACGTGTTTTGCAGCACAGAATTAAGAGAGCTATTGATCGATCCAGCAGAGCGTAGGCCATATCAATGAGACTCCCATGAATATGCAGAAGCTGCCTACGAAGAAGCTAGGATAGTTGCTAAGCTAGGTAGCTTCCTGTTGATCCGTATTTCTCCCTCCATCCTTAAAAAAAAATAAACCCTGAGTTTTCATGTACAACGTTTGACCGTTCGTCTTATTTGAAAAAGTTATGAAAAAAAATTTAAAAAAGCAAGTCACGCATAAAATATTAATTATGTTTTATCATCTAACAACAATAAAAATACTAATTATAAAAAATTCTATATAAGACAGACAGTCAAACGTTAAACACGGAAATTTAGGGTTTGTTTTTTTTTTTGAACGGAGGGAGTACAATACTATATATACTGTACTTATATGGTTAGCTTTAGCAAGCTAAAATCCTGTGTATGTTACATCTGTACATGTGCTCTAGGTGCACTTTGGAAAATTCGTACATATATACACGGTTTAATTATCCGGACAGACTTTAGCTTGGTGGTACATGTCCTGCATGCTGTTCTGTACTTCTGGTAGGGATTAACCTGCTCCGCCTATATTAAAAAAGCAATTTTTATATATGAATTTTAACTTAGCGTATGTCTAGATTTATATATAAAAGTTACATTTTCGAGATAGAGGGATTAACCACCTAAATAAACATGATATTTTAACTCTAATACATTGGCTTCAATACAATGCAACATAACTTTTTATTCATTTGCTCTCAATATGCTACTCTACTTAATTTCGTTCTTCTCCTCTTGTGACTTAGCACATTTGGGCTAGCTAGCTATTCGCATGTAATGCCACGATCTAGTGTACTCTTTCTTTTTCTCTCTTTCTTTTCTCTAAACTCGCCTATACACATTTCTCCCCCCAACTTCATGGATCAAACAACACGTTAACTTCGAATATCTAACATTTAGATTTACCATCATCGTCAGATTTGTAACATCCAGTCAACTTAATTAATTACCCCTGCGTGCATCACAGCTTTTAATTAATTGGGAGAGAGAATTGGAGTAAATGTATATGGCTGCTTTTCCTCTGTTCGGCCATAAGAAAAGCTCTAGGAATTGTGGTAAATGGCAAAGGCTTGTGCATGCAGGGGTTGATAATTAAAGGGGCAAAAGCTGCTGTTGCAGCGATCACAATCCGAAATGCCATACTAGTATGTTGAGTCCCATAGGACGCCCTTCATAAAGAGAGGGGTCTTTAGATCCACGGGTGTAAAGTTTCGGTGTGTCACATCAGGTATTATATAAAGTGTCGCATAGGGTGTTCGGGCACTAACAAAAAAATAATTACAGAATACGTCAGTAAACCACATGATGAATTTATTAAGACTAATTAATCCATCATTAGCAAATGTTTATTGTAGCATCACATTATCAAATCATGGAGCAATTAGGCTTAAAAGATTCGTCTTGCAAATTAGTCGCAAACTGTGTAATTAGTTATTTTTTAGCTTATATTTAATACTTCATGTAGATGTTCAAACGTTCGATATCACAGGGTGAAAAATTTTGGGGTGAGATCTAAACAGGGCCAGAGACACTAACTCTCAGGTAGAGGGCCAACGACTATACCATATCAGAATATTAGGGTCTATTTTAGAGAGCTTAAGAATCTGAGAAGCAGCTGGTTGGTAGACAGCTTCTGAGAATCTCAAAAAGCTGGGTTTTCCAAACTTTTAGTTCATTTTCTGGATTCTACAACTACAGCTTTTTAGAATCTGAACCAAAAATTGGATTGTTTGCGGGAGTTTCTGGTTATGAGAGAAGCTGCAGCAGCTAGAAGCTCCCCAAACAGACCCTTAAGCTTGTTGCCTTATCAATCATGGTTAATATTTAAATTTAAAACTTAATTTTAGAGTTGATTTTGAGGTCAAAGTAGTTTATTTCTCAAGCTGTTAGAGCTATTATACAGCTGGAGCTATGAAACTCTGAGTTCTAAACTACAACCTAAACAGAACTTTCTCATTTTTAGTTAGTTTGGAGGAAAAACAAAAGATTTGGACTCCTAAGAATTAATTCTTATGAGGCATACTCAGTTTGTAGGAATGTAAATATAGGTAAACCGGAAATTTTCCTTCCTACAAGTTGAAAAATAATTAAAACATAAAAAAATCATCCACTTAAACCTCTTGAAAAATTCATATGGATTAAAGTGTGCATACACTCATATTTTCTCTTTTTATATTTCTATAAATTAAAATTCCTCCAAACCGAAATATCATGGTGTGACATAGGATGTGCACTTTACCTAAATAAACACAGGATGTGCACATGTACTCCTAAAAGTATTAATAGTTGGCCATGTTTTCTTGTTTCAAGACCCTGGAAACATCCAATTAATCATGTACAATCAAATCATACGCTAGTTTCACATGGCGGCACGGGGACAAAATCTTTTTTTCAAACAGTCCCTATGTCTATATATATAATTGCCTTGTCGTGGCAGCTCCCGCGTGCGTGCATCTATTACTTGTTTTCGGACATCTCATACTTCTCATTTTCTTAAGTGATCCCCCCTACTCCTAATTACTAGGAGTACTAGTACTCGCATGGAAATGAATGCAAATAACAGGACAACACCAGTTTCCACTTCCCAGTAGATGCATGTTACTCAAGGGTCCACCCTCCATGCTTAGATGGAAGTTTAGACAGATTACAATACCATCTGTCAACTACCACAAATGGGTTTTCTTTCTCTTTTGGGACTAGTACAATTTGTTAATTACTGTTCCTTAGGCTATGAAAATATGAAAAAAAAATGAAAATGTAACTTTGATCGCTAATTTCTATTACAGTATATATATTGCAGAACTTGAGAACATTATAGTATTATGAAAGTATTTCTCAGGACAGCCTACAACGACTTTTATCCAAACTAAACATTCAAAATGATAATGTTCAAAAGTTTGAAAGTTCCCTTTGAGATGTGTACTCTAAACGATTGGTTTTCGTGACCAGAGTAAAATCTAGTTGTTTACATCTTTTAGCATTGTCTGAATAACAAGAGATCAGATTATTCTTAAAGTGGGGATCCGATTGTTTTCAAGGCAACATGAAGTTCTCTCAATCATTAGTCCATTACTACATAAGGGTAAAGTCATACTAATAAAGGAACTTTTAAGTCTAAAATAAATGAGTATGCAGATGGCGGGACAGGTTTTGAAGTCAAGTCCCTACGTGCCTACTAACCAACACCATGAATCCGAACCTCAGAACCTGAACTGAACTGGGACAGTTCGCGTTCGCCCTACAGTGATAACAATACCATCATTTGGGCCTGCTAAATGTAAGGGGCTCTGATGGTGATGGGGCCGGCCGGGCTGAATTTATGGACAAGTACAGAAGATGTGGGGCTCTGGACTCTGGGTAATTAGGCAAGTTTACACTAGGGCTGTTCACCCGGGAATTTTCATTTTAAACCTTTTAAATTTTTAAATTTTAAAAATAAATCCTTTTAAAACTGGCCTGGGTACCCTTCCTCTCATCTCCGGCGTTCTCGTCGCCCGAGTTTGTGTCACGCACCGGGTAGATTCAGAAAATTTCCCAGATACTCCCTCCATCCTTAAAAAAAAGACAATCTAGAAGGGAATGTGACCACTCCTAGTGCAACGAATCTGGACAGAGCAAAGGTTACATCTCCTCCTAGGTTGCCTGTAATATCTCGCACAAGAATGTCCATCTCACTGAGACATGTTTCTTTCTCCATTCTTGAAGACCAGAGGAGGTGTGATCCTACACACTACACAACGATAGGCCGGAAAGGCAAAAAAGATTGAGGCGGCCGGCTCCTTACGCGACGGCGATGCGAGGGGTGCCGCGCGCGGCCAGTGATCCGTTAATTCCAGAAAGCACTCAGGTGTCAATGTGCCATGCCACGCACATGGTGGGGAGAATGAGGGGATCATCAACCGATAGCCCCCACCAAGCCGCCTCGTGATTCGTGCTAAGGAGCATGCACACCCCCAGGCTCCTACTACTACTAGTAGTGCTGCTGTTGTTTCCATGCTTTGAACTTGTTGCTATGCTATTGTGTAGTAATTGTGGACTAGGGTAGCCAGATGCGTCAGTGCGTGCACGTTGCCACTTCCCCAATTCACTATAGCTCCTCCAGAGTTGGAGCTCGGAGGCAGGGGCAGATCTAGCGAGGGGCGGCGAGGGCTCGAGCCTCCTTTACTGGCGATAGGATTATGGAAGTCTTCACTAATTCTTTTTACCATATACATTCGAAGGGGACTATAGATATGTCTAGTTTGTTCAGACCCTTCTGTTATTTCTTAATACGCCACTGCTCGGAGGTAGGACTGTGCAGTGACTACTAACTACAACACATGATTAAATTGAAAGCAGAACAGCTCACTCTCAGTTCTGATCACCTAGAGGAAAAGGGGATGAGAGTAGAAGGCACAAGGGCAAAATTTGCACACGGTCTACATGTGTATATATATATATATATATATATATATATATATATATATGTGTGTGTGTGTGTGTATATGTAGTGTATGGTGCCGCGCTAGGCTTGCCATATATATACATCAAAGGAACTCATCAAAAGTTTTAGAATTCCGAAGTGCTAAGAAACTGAAGGTAAATTCAGAATAGTAGTAGCATTGCTTAGTTAGTCTACTGAAGATAGCAACGATCAAAGGCATTAAGCAGTTTCTCCCTGAATACTGGTAATTAGAAATTACTGGTGTTAGCTCGAACCTGGAGTGAGCCTTTTACAGTTCTGATCTTGCGCATTCTTCATCTTCTGCTGGCCTTCCAGTACCTGCAGTAAGTAAGAATGTACATCAAGCTTAATTATGGCCCTAGCTTTATCTTGATTTTTAAACTAAAGGATGGAACGGAGAATCAAGAAGCCGAGAATTACCTCACCTTCTTGACTTCCTTGGCCTCCCAACCGGTTTCTTCGCCTGGGTTGGAGCCAAGTCTGGCTCCTGGCCAACCGCTATCGGTTCGCCTTGATGTGATGGACCACTCCTTGATCGGGTTCTGCTGTCAATGTATTGGCGACGATATACATTAGCAGGTGAACTTCTCCTAGTTTGAGTGCTCCTTTGCAGGCTAGCTCCTGTGCAATTCCTAGGACTGTTTTCAAGCGGCACGCCTGTTGATGAACTGAATAGATGGAAGGACACAATTACTTACGTATTGCAATAAATTCTTTTATCATGAAAATATAAAATGTATATAGTAGTATATCATCTGTTCATTGTGGACAGTTTACATTGCTTGATAGAAGAAATGCATTTCAGATTGTTCATAACTAGTAAGGCATTATAGGCTGACCATTGGTTATGGAGCATGTATACACATTGCAGAATTTAGATATTAAGAAAAACAATTCATGCCATATTATTGCAATGTTGTATTAAAGTCATAAAACAAACAAAATGAACCATAAATACCAGATATCATGAGTTTATAACAGGAAAACAACATTGGCCCATTTGAAGATACATGGCTGCCATGGACATTACCTGGGCGCAGCCTCCTTGTCCTCTTGAAACATAAGTTTTGAAACAGAACAAGGGTCATTGCAGATGGTGCCTGCTGCAGAAAAACTAAGAGTATCAGACGAGTTAATAGTAGAAACCTAAGGTTTATACTCACAGAATCAGAAACTTTAAACTAAATGCAGAAACGTACTGTTACGGTTTTTGCGTGAAAGGACTACTATTTCAGGATCAAAAGGAACAATATCATCCAAAGGTTCCACCTTAATAGGAAAGGTATTTGTCAGGTCCTGTGACAAAATTTGGAGTTACTTTCAGTAACAGGGCACCACAGCCGAATTTGACAAATTCCAAAGAGCGACACCCAGTAAACTAGTGTTGTATAGTCCAAGTACCCGATCAGAGTATGGATAGAGCATGGTAGGACAACGGTTATCCCGGTTGGCTTCACTAGTGGCTGAAGCAAAGGTCCGTGCAGTTACAGCAGGACGCTTACCACGGAGAGCTGATATGTCATTATCAGTGTCATCATATGAAACAATGTTGGAAAATATTAGGTTGTCCGTCCCGAGAAGGGGGATATCTTTGAACAGCTTCTTTGTATCTTCTGGTATCCCCCTGAATGCATTAGGGTACTTGGTGGTTGCCTCTTCAAATGAAGCTATATCTATCACAAAATAAAGGCACAGAAATAGTTGATGACCAACATATATCCCACTAGAATAGGCTTTACGGTTTTGAAATGTAATTGCAACAATTACAACATATTTTACCTGAATGACTCTTAAGAATACCATCCTGCCTATTTGAAATGTTCAAATCATTTAGCTTTGGTCTGACACTTCGGGAGTGAGACTCATCGAGGTTATGTCCAGTGCAAGAATTACTTCTTTTCAGAGCCTGCAGTTGTTCAACAAAACTGCAAGTTAGGCTCCTATAAATTGAACTGTGTGAACCTGGTTAGGCATTCTCTTTGGTTGATTTATTCAGGCTTGCAGTTCTGCAGTTTTGATCTTCATTATTTATAGTTTTGTTTGCTCCTACTATAATGATTCAATAGCAGATGATATTCCACTTCAAGAAGAAAAGTTAGAACGTTTGCATCATTCCAGGGTCAAACAAAAAAATGCAAGATTTGAACAAATAAAATGAGATACCTGCTCTGAGATAGACTAAGTATTGCCCACGAAAAACTTTTAGGCATGCTGTTAGCCAATAAAGAAACATCACTTGGTCTAGAAAATGAATGGTATTAAAATGACCCAAGAAGGTTAGTAGCTCAGAATTATCAAACCCATGGCCTATACTATGAAGAATTTTGTAGTGATGGGAGAAAAATCAGAAGAAATTAATAACATGAATAAAACCTCAGAAAATATGGTGTACTTTGGCAGTTTACATCATCAGAAGTAGTCATAAAAAACTGAGCACAGTCTAATGGTATTGAAAAGGCGAATATAAGGTGCAATGTAAATACATGTCATGAAATTCTGTGATCTTGAGTACCAACATATTTAGTGTAAAGTATATTTCCACAAGGTTCAGAGAGTTGGGGACTCACATGCTGACTCTCTTCAAGCCATCCGTTCTCAACAATGTTGTTGTCAAGCTGTTGGCTACAATCATGAACATTTGAACTCGCAGAGCAAGTGTTTGGACGAAATGAAGAGTATGGAACATGATCTTGCTGTTGGCTAGTTTGCCAAGCAATTGGAAGAACAATAGAAGGTTCAACCACATCAGGGTCTGAGTCCACAACCCGCTCGTGAATTATCTTTATCAGTATATCACATTCCGATCTGGCACGTAATTGAAGAATTGAAGTCAAACTTAGCAGTCAATATGTTCAGAAATTGCCTCTGTGATAAATAGTCATAATAAGAACGAATTTCCCTATCAAACTTATGTCTTTTTTTCTATATCATCTCAAGGAGATAATAACAGAAAGGCCACGCTCTTGAAATTTGGTCTGATAGATATATTAGTAATTGCCGGCCACAGATACATTTAGCTTATGAAAGTACTAAAATTTTTCACCGGAAGGAAGTACTGAAATTCAATGAAAATAAACTCATATGATTAAGCTAATACAGATCCAATAGTGAAAAGATTGGTTGTACAACTAAAAAACTACAGCAGAAGAAAACAAAGATATAAGGTATGATACCTTGAGTACGTTTCTTGCAAAAGCATCTGCAGTATAGCATCCTTGGGATCTATCTCTGAGACAAGTGCTAAGGATCCCACACCACTGTCTTTTAGAGTAATCTCCTTTCCGCTCTATGATCATGAAAAGGACATTCTTGATCAATCTCTTCATCACTCCTAAACTAAGATTTACAGTCCACTTGAACTACAGAGATGTACAAAGATGGAAATACCTGGTTGAACTGATTGTTAGAAGCAAAGTGCGCAGTATTATCTGTTCATTTAAGAAGATATAGATCAGGCAAAAAGGGAGCAAACTTTGATGTGTTTTCATCATCGAGAAATGTGAAGCACAAAACAGAGTAATGGGGTTAATCTAATCATCTGTTGCTACAAAGTATCGCATCAAAAGGATTCAATAGTTGCATGTATGGCGTTCTTAGATAATGTAGGAGTAGAATGCATGTGCTTTTAGAAAAGCTACAGGAAAAAGAAAAACTAAGTATGTTTCAATGCTTTGTCCTACCAGAGATTAACTGAAACTTCAGGTGGCAGAGAGAGGAGCATCGACAAGGTCAAATTCCAGTCTCAATTTTCAAGCATTGTACAATGGGATTCAGCCCAACACCCCACACCATTTTCCCCCTACTGTTCAAACCAATGACCAGATCACTGGCAATCATACAGAAAACACAAGGCCACCTACACTTCTCTAGTTTTAAAATTAACAGGTTCAGTACAATATCCGTGAGGAAAAAATATTTCTCCAAGTTCTCTCCAAATTGGCAAATGAAACCACTACTAAAACCTAGAGAATCCGATCATATTATTATACCTCTAACTCCGTGTTCGTGTGATGCTGCACTCGGTTTGTGCAAAAATTAACTACAGGATTAGGTAGCGCCAAATTCACTCGAATATTTCGCAGGCTAACCAACCACACGGACGCGCCACCATCTCCAGCGACGGACGGCAACGGCTCACGCCGAACACCCGCGAGGGCAAACAGCATCAACCACGGCGCAAAACAACGCAGCGCACTCGGATTCTAGAACTCCGCTCGAGGGAAGGATCGCGTACCGCCACTGCCGCGGTGGCCGCGCGGAGGCGGCGGAGACTGGGACGACGACTCCTGCGAGGAGGAAGCGGAGCCGCCGGTGCCGGAGTCGGGGGAGTCCGGGCCGAGCACGGCGGCGAGGAGGCGGCCGGCGCCGCATACCAGGCCGGAGAACCACCCTCCGGGCCGCTCCGCTGGCGGCGGCGGTGACGGTGGATCATCGCCTGCGGCGGCGGTTGCCATGGATGGGGAAGTGGAGAATTGGAGGGAAGGGGATTGAGAGGAATTTTTTTTGGTTTTGGAATTTGTGGGCAGTTGCGCTCAGTTACTGCGAATATTAAAATGAAGTGATTTTTCGAAAAAAAAAATCCCGGATTTTTCGCCACGGTGAATTTTCAGCTTTTTTTCTGTTTTATTTGCTCGCTTCGTGAACAGCAAATTCCAGAGGCTTATTGAAAGCCCGTTTGAAAAGCTTTAGAGCATCACCAAGAGAATCCCAATATTTCATTCTCAAAACTATTCTCAAAACTATTTTTATAGGAATTCTAAACAAAATTTGATGTGCTAAAATATTGATCCCTCCAAGAGATTGTCTGAAATTGACTTCCTAAAACTAAAAGGTGGGCCCTCTACAAAACCACTAACTGAAATTTATTTCCGTCTCTCCCTATGTGAGATCACTCTCGCGAACTCCTAATCGCGGCCTCGACAACAGCACATCAATAGCAGCACCAGCTGCAAAATTTAGGAAAAACAGTAGAGAACAATAGCACGAGAACCAGCAAGCAGCAACAGATACCTTAATCTTCAGCAAGTGCAACAAAGGTAATCTGTAAAAAGAATCACAAGTGACTGACCGATTGAAACTCCTTGGTAAATAAAAAACATGGCACAAGTTTGAGCAATGGTGCAAGAGCAGAGATTGGGATCATTCACTTGCATCGCTGAATGAATCACCAACGGTAAACTGCTTCGACGGATGAACTCATCTTCATGAGAGACCAATCCCAGCAAAAGGAATGAGCAACTCCGGCCGAGTCATGATGATGGGAGCCGATGCAGGCGGGCTAATTTGCGTCGTATCGAGGCGGTGGCTCAAATGGAGGCAGCGATGGTGGTTGGGGGATAGACGAGGAAGTTCACCGGCTGCAGTGCAGATGGGGCCGCTGCCGCTGCCAAAGCACAAGCTGCCAACACCGGAAAAGCTTTGGGGAGCGGCGTATGATTTCTAGCCGGCCGCGGCCCGCGGGTGAGATGGGGCTGCCTGCAGGACACCACGATGAGGCGACGAATGACCTCGCGGCGAACCCCAGGTGAGAAAATTTCATGTGGCGCGGGAATTCGCTCGGGAGAGGGAGATTGGGAGCTAGCGCCTCTCCCCACTTGTGGAGAACGAAGAATCCGGGCTTGGGAATTCCAACCAGTGGGAGCTTGGCTAGGGATTCTGTTGGACTGGGTTTTTGAACGAAAATCCCCAAATTTCAGGATTGAGAAAATAACTACAACTTCTTAAATCAAAACTTCTCCCAAACAATTCAAATTTTTTTTAGATTCTGCAAAGTTATAGTTATCAGTTATGGAACTCAAAAGCGAACTACGAAGTACTCCCTCCTTCCAAACTACGAAGTACTCCCTCCTTCCATGAATTTGAATTTTTTTAGATTCTGCAAAGTTATATAGATTCTGCAAAGTTATAGTTATCAGTTATAGAACTCAAAAGCGAACTACGAAGTACTCCCTCCTTCCATGAACTAACGTCATAATAGGAGGAGGGAGTATTAGTTGTTGAATTCAGAAAGCAAATTAAAAATTAAAAATTGGTTTTTCCAGCCGTTTCTCGGAATCTAAATCTCCTAAACACCCTGAGTCAGTCACGTTTCAAACTCGTTCAAAGCGGAAAAGTAATACAACGCTTATGTATTTCATATTTGAGCAAGTCGAGAACAGATTGTTTTGCTTTGATCCATGGAAGTTGTCGTAAGTTTGAAACGAAACGTAGAATTCAAATTGCCTTTGATGTTATCGAACCATGAAACACAAAACTGATAGCTTATCTAATTTGGCTAATCATGACAGGCAAATGGTATTTTCTTACGAAATATGATCTCACACATTCCGAGCAACGACAGTTTCAACGCATAACATTACCATATCATGGCATAGTTAAAGATCCAGGTCAATCTGCATCAGTTGTACATGACACTTAATTGTTCATGTCAGCAGCATATTACAATAATCAATCTGGACATGGCCCGGGCTATCTCATTCCGCATCCTCTATCTCGGTATCCTCTGGAACGCCTCGGAGATACAAAACGTTGTTGCACCTGTACAGTTCACAAATGAAACAAATAAGAATTATACATCAGACAATTGAATATGTTTTGTGGGCAACCACAATGTTGAACAAAAGCAGGTAACAAGCAATTAATATAGGCTTATAACCAGGTAAGAAGCATTGTGGGTAGAGACAATAACTACTACCGGGCCATTGTGCTACTGCCGGTAACAAGAGAATAAAGAACAATATTTTCTGTAGATATGGGAATCTTTTTGTACGAGCATGGCTATAGGAGATAGTTTTACAATGATTCTTTTTAAGGTGGACCCCACCTTAATTTGCAGAATAGGCATAGCACATTGTGAGCTTTGTAATAACTGTTACCACCTGAACCCCAGGCCCACGTTATTATCCACTTTGGTAGTATACATTGCGGTTGCTCTTTAACGATTTAGTCAGCAAAAGACTTCCCAAGTTATAAGCGCTGCTACTTGTTATACTTCTGCATTTGAGTAAATTCCATATACTCTGAACTCTATCATTCTATCTCTCCACATTTTACCATACTATCATTCTATCTCTTAATATTACCAGTCAGACTGAAAACAGGGTAATAGCATGCAAGTAACCAACAGATCACCTATGAGTACATAAGTACCAGCGGTAAGCCAATAACTACAGATGAATCTGGTCCAGGACTGAAGGGCGATATATAGAGTTACCTTATCAGTATCTCACCCAAGTTTCCAGAGAATTGCCCATCAATATACTCCTCTGTATTAGCCAGCTGAAAGCAGTAGACAATTAGGTAAATTGCAGCAAAAGAAGATGACACGTCGATCCATATTGGTAAATGAACGAATTTAACTGATACAAAATACAAAATAATACCTGCAGATTCATATAAGAGTCGACAGAAACAAGATATCCTGAAAGGGGGGTACAAAAAGAGTATCGTCAGCATAATCGATAATAAGGCACAGTCTGAAAACTAAATTACAACAAGAGGACCCATTTTAACACATGATTTCCATTGAAGTTCCATTGTAAAACCAATGAAAGTGGATGTTCTTGATAAGTGCCATGAAGTAATTGTCCATGGAAGCAAGAAATTTCATGTAAAAACTGGACAAATTTCAATGTTCCTGAAACCTCAGAGATTTCATTCTGAAATTTCAATCACTAGCCTAAGCATATCAGTGAATAAAATGTGACGGGTAAAAGTATAGATTACCTTTGTATTCCATACCCCACTTAAGTTTGACAATGACAGGCTTCCCTGTCAGGTTGTTCAAGAAAGGCTTCGGGTTAACTGGCACAGTCTGCATTTAGAAACAATCCATTAATAGTATATAAAAGAGTATAGACAAGATGTATATGGAGGCACCACTTGGAACTGAATACCATGAATAATCATCATGAAGAAAATCAGAAGAAAACAAATACTAGTCAGGTCAGTACAATGTCTGTAACAAATCAAGTTTGTTTTGCAATTATCTGCAGCAATAGAACACCAAACTGATGTGTTGAAGCCCTAATTAGCGCAAGACGCTGGGTGCTACTCCCTACTCAGCCGACAGACCAGCAGCTACATACCGTAACTGATTACGCAGGCCTAACAAGAGACAGGCAGAAGCCAATCCAGGACAGACCGGCTAGGGGCAACGCATGACATTTAGACCACTGGGTCATTGTCTTTGTTTTCCCCACTCAAAGAGGGATACAATAGTTCCTCAATGCTCTTCTGAAGCTCCAATTCAAGTAAAGCATAGTCCACATAGAGAACCTTGATGTGAACAGCTGAGTTGTCAAGTTTCAAATATTTTTTACAAGATTAAGCTGAAGATGCCCTTTCCTCTTCAGCCCATACTGATGTACCAGTCAGAATAGTGAGCAAGGAATGGGAACACTTCTTGTTCTTGCATCTTGAGCAGCATGGCAGATTCAAGTGTGTGCTTCCCATTCAAACTCTTCTTTTACTCTGAAATATTGAATTTCATTTTATCACAATCCATGGATTTTTCTGATGTTCAATTCGATTTTTGGCAGTTGTGCTAGTGATATGCGTAAAGGAATCACAGTTTCTGATCTGAACATCTCAGAAAATTAATGGAGTTGTACTCCCTCCGTACTCATAAAGGAAGTCGTTTAGGACAATGTTTAAGTCAAACTTTGGGAATATAAATCATGAATAACTCTCAAGTTGTTGAGTTTGAAAATATAAAAATTATATGTATAGATTTGTCTTGAAAAATACTTTCGTAAAAGTATACATATATCACTTTTCAATAAATATTTTTATAGAAACAAGAAGTCAAAGTTGTGTTTTGGAGACCGTGTCGCTGTCTTAAATGACTTCCTTTACGAGTATGGAGGGAGTATGTATCTTTGTTAAATTTCTGGATTGAAATTTCTATTTTCTGGTTTTAATTCAATCTGGCACGCTTTCTGTTTCTGTTCTGAATTATTCAGCTATCAATCTGTCAATTTCTATTATCAACTTGTCAGTCTGAATTTCTGTGTGATGCTTAGTGTGCACTTTGCATGCGCTGCAGCCTGAACTAGTGCACAGTCCTGCAGAACCTAATGGGGCCAGCCAGTTCCACTGCAAGAGGGACGGGCCAATTTTTCTCCCTGGTTTCCAAGTGGTTCCCATCTAAATTGGGGCAGAGGGTATAGGTGACGGGTTGGCCCATCCCGTCCCGTTTTCGGACTGATCTACCATGACTTGAGGATAACTAGGGAGGTTCGTGTGCCGCATAAAAAAAGAAAATCAGAGCACATCTTCCAACCAAACAAACAGCTCTACATCCATCGTTCTTTCAACCTGAAAGCTAAGCAAGGGTCCAAACTTACACTCCTGCGCCATAAAAGATAACCATAACTCAAACCACATCTTCGAAACAAGCAGCTCTAGGGGTTTCAAAAAGAAAAAGAAGAAGAAGAAGAAGAAGAAGAAGAAGAAGAAACAAGCAGCTCTACAACCCCAAAACGAACTTTTGGGGGATTTTCTAAATACTTCAATTTTTCCCTCACCACAATTCGACATGAAACCTATCCCAAATCACACATCCGACCTATCTATCCTGGAGGTCATAGACCTAGAACAGTTAAGCCCTCCAATCTATATCCACCTACTCCGAATCGAGCACACGAAGCTACGGCTACGAGACTACCACAACAGTTGGCACCAAATCACGCGACAAAAAAAAACATTCGAAGCGTAAACAGATCCACTACACGAGATAAACAATTTCGCGGAGTAATATCGAGGGAGAAAGAGAGAGAGAGAGAGATGAGGGCAATACCGCCATTGAAGGGGGGTAGCCGCCGCCGCCGCCGGTGCCGGTGCTGGTCGGGGATGCGTAGGGGGGAAGGCGACGAGGCGGCCTAGCTAGGGTTTTGAGGTGGGGAACTCCGATACCACCGCCTGAACTAAAAGTCGCTCGATGGGCCACAGCCCATTTATCGGTTTGAGCGGTTCGAATAAATCCATTTATGTCCTTCGTCTTTCCGTCGAGTTTTACTCATGTCACTGCTCTCTTCGTTCCATATTACTCCCTCCGTATTTCTCTCTTCGTTCCATATTACTCCCTCCATATTTTAATGTATAACACCGTTAATTTTTTGATAAAGTTTAACCATTCGTTTTGTTCAAAATTTTTGTGCAAATATGAAAATATTTATAAAGAACATTTGATGATAAATCAAGTCACAATAAAATAAATAATAATTACATAATTTTTTTAATAAAACGAATGGTCAAACTTTAGAAAAAATCAACGGTACCATACATTAAAATATGAAGGTAGTATAATTTAAACATGTGATAGTGGTAGGTAGATAGTCAAAATACGACTATCTTTAAACGGGAGTATATCTTACGGCAGTATGTCGGAGAGCCGTTTGCATTGCCATAGGACCTAATTTAACTTGGTTTTATAAGTTGAGGTCCAGATTTTTGGTATTACGGTTAAGATATATTAAACTTGACAAAAATATGAGGGACGTCAAGTGGAATTATTTCTAAGCGGTTTAAATTTGGGGTCGTGCACTCTTTCCTTTTAAGGACCATATTTAAAAATGTTATGTATATAAATAATCCAAATTTTCTCTTTTTATTAACATAGTACATATGCAGACGTTTATATAAACATGCGTACACACTTACTTGCTTATCATTGAAATAATAATTAGCCATGAATGTGAGTCCTATGTAAAGTCTATGACTCTAAAACAAGCGGGCATGTTCCACCACCAGAAACCTAACCAGTCGAGTTACGCTCGCTTCGTAATTCAAATTTGTTTTTATTTACCATAATTTATATAATGTGTTGTCCTGTTGCAGTTAAATATAGTGTAAACACAATGTAAAGAAGAAAAATGCAGTCCCTTGTTTATTTTTATTTGCAAAATACCGTTATCTATAACAAGAGGGGCAAATTGATTTTTACCATTTCATTCAAAGTTTGACCTTAAGCATTGACTACATGAACCTGAAAAAAATATTCCCGATACTAAATTCTCAATGCACCCACATATATCAATAGTTTACAGAAGCACTTTTCAATATTTGTTTGGTTCTAACACTTCTTACGTCAAGGTTGGTTGCCCAAAAAAGAAGTCATAATGTGTAAACACACATGTTTATATAATAATCAATTAGTTTGTTGGTTCTAAGACGTCCTAACTCCTACTCCTAGCTGGTCAGGGTTGGTTGTCCTGAAGAAAAAAGAAGCGCACATATATGTAAATAATTGCATATACATGTACAATAATAACCGTTAAGTATATAGATATACATGTGTTCACAAAATCACAGACTCACAGGCATGTGTTTGGCTAGCCGTCTGAATCAACTCCATGAAATTCGGATAGCCAACGTTTTGCATCAGTACTAACTTCTGCCGAACTCGTAAACAAAACCTAAGGCCATTAGCCAGTAATTGTTGGTGACAGAAAACATTAGCCCCAAATACTGTTAAACTTCTTTAAATAAGAATTGTTAAATTTCATAATGAGGCTTTCCACGACTTGATGTTTAGCTACATTTATCACCCAGTTCAATTAAATTAATAAAACCGCAACTGTGTAGTCACGTAGATGACGATTTGCAGACAGAGATGGCGATGCATGATTTCAGAGCTGGTCGGATGAGCAACTGAAGTGACATAGAAGTAGCAGCTAACATATATATACTCCATCTATCCAACCAATCTCGTACTAGATTATAACACATCTTATTACTATGAATTTAGATATCCAAATTCATCGTTTTACTATGTAACACATCCTACTATGAGATTAATTTATTTTATGAGATTAATTTATCTTTATGTATGCTAGTTCTGAAGACAATATGTAGTTAACATGCCTAATATGTTTTGGTTGCGCACTTTGTTAACTAGCCCCCATTTTTTAAAAAAAAAGAAAAAGAAGAAGAAAAAGCTATATATCTAGAGAATTTTGTATATACTATGTGAAATAATATTATAGAGCTTTTTGAAACAAGGGATTGTTTCATACTCATTCCTTTAAATTTTCTATGAAATAAACCAGTCTAAGCAATTTTGGGGGGAAATAAGCATGAGATTTCACCTCATGGTTTTTCCTCTTTCACGTGTTTTTTCTGCGTTCTAATCGAACGATGGTTTTGTAATTTCCCTATGTTGCAAAATTCACGAAAGTTATGTTGTGAAATTCCGTAAAAATCCAATGAGTATGATAGTCTATTTATACGTTTTTCTTATTCTAATGTGTTTTCTCAGTCCTGCGTTTTAAAGGGTTCTTAGCCCGTGCGAAGATGGAAACAGGGAAAAAGGTTATGTCATATATACTCCCTTTATCCCATTGTAAATGCAACCATAAATTTTCATGTCTAATTTTGATCATCCGTTTTATTTAATTTTTTTATGATTAGTATTTTTAATGTTATTAGATTATAAAATATGAATATTATTTTATGTGTGACTTATGTTTTTTATTATTTTTTTAAAATTTTTTTAAATAAGACATACGATTAAATTTGGATACGGAAACATATGGCTGCGTTTAAAACGAGACAGATGGAGTATTTGGGTAGGGGATTGCATCGAACCTCAAAATTGACTAGCTAGTCTATTATATTTACTTGATGAACCTAGTAGGTGTGTAATTAAGAAGATCATAGGATACCGGAGGTTATTTATGGCGACATGCTTGTGATCCACCTTGATATATATCGTTGTTAAACAATAATGAACAAATGCAATTAATGGTTCAGATCGATGAAAGTGCTTAATTAGGCTTATACGTACTAACTAAAAAGAAGGACACGAACAGCGTTATTCATCTCTGTGTTACATATCCAACCATTTTATACTTGTTAGTAGTGGAGGCTTACGAGTACGGATGAACATGAACCGGACGGATAATCCATCAGAACATATATACACATGTGACAACGTTTTTTCTTCTCCTAGAAAAGTCAAGCATTTACTCCCCAGCTAATCCTATGATTAAGTAGTAATACAACTCCAACGTGTTAGGTGATTCGTTTTTATTTTTATTTTTTTGGCGCGAGTGTTAGGTGACTTGTTCGTGCGAATGAGACATGCATTGCATATACACATGTTTTTGTTTGTTTAATTTGCTCCAGGGACTCCAGGCTAGCCGATCGAAGCCACTTCTGGTGTCTAGATTAGCTAGTGCCTAAAAGCTGGAGAACCTAATTTCAGCATCGATCGTCTCCGCCGGCTAACAAAGATTCCTTGTCTCATGTTGCAATAGCTAGCTCACGTAGGACATGCAAAAACTTAATTTACAGTATGCTTTGAAAGTATAATTGCATGAAAACCTATTAGTATAAACGGCTACCGGCCTGTCATTCGGCATTTTTTTTAAGCTATAGTCGTCATTTTTATGACCGTTGGATATGTGTTAAGATTCGTGCTGGTTATTGGATGCATGATAAAATTCGTGTTAGACGGCCGGTAAAAAAGATCAGCACATGTGGTGAGTTACATTTGATATATTTTTAAGGGATTTTCAGTCAGTCCCATGATGTATAAAACATACCTTAATCTTAAAAAAAAAATTGGACTAACATATTTTTGATATTGACGAAAACATCCGTTCAACATATGACTATCAACGGATATATCATTTATATATATAACTGACAAAACAAAAAACAATTAGCCGTAAATATAAGTACATGTGTTAACTTGAATCCATATGAACTGATCACACCACATCAGTTGAGCTACGCTTATTTTGTGTCTTTCAAAACACATCGTACATTTGGGCTGTGTACATCCATTATGGATGTAGAGGCCGGATTTTAATCTATTTTCTAAAGAAAAAAACACACATCGTACACACGTTCCAATCGGACACTGCCAAACGTCTTCTTCACACACTCAAGTCATCTTATCTCCTCCCGGCTTCCATTTTTCTCTACACAGAAGGTTAGGTATATCTAGCTAATTATCAGTACTATATATACACACACCCAAATCCAAAATTCCAAGTGCTTACCTTAGCTTAGATGCGACCGAGCGACCGACCGGGTGTAGCCGCGCCGCAACGGAGTTAACATTCCACCCGGCCGCGGTGTACCGTGCACCGGTGTACGTACGTGGCCGCCGTGATCTACAGACTACGCGACGGTGGGCCCCACCCCCAACAACCGCGGCTCGCGCGCGCCCTCTCGTTCGCGCGCGCCGCCACACGGATGCCTTTTTTTCCTCTCCTTTTTTTTCTTTTTGCTTGGACCATACCGACCGAGCGAGTGGACACTGGCCGGCCGACCCGATCCGTCCTCCGCCACTATACGTGCTACTGCTACCTTTCTGCCTTTTCTACCGTGCTACTGGCGCGGTGTGACTGACGTCACGGTGACGTCAGCCGGTAGGTTCGTTTCTCCGTCGCCGGGGCGTGGTAGGTGAGGCCGGGCCGGTTGGACGTCGGAGCGGGTCTCCGGTCCGGTCCGGTCTAGCCCGTGGAAGCAAACAATTGAAGAAGAATTCCTTTTGACTCTCTTTTAATTAAACTATTATCTCTGATTGTTGTTTTGATCATTCTTTTTTCTTTTTTACCCCTTCCATAGATGCTACACTGCATAAGTCCAAGCTTAGTGAGGTGTGGTGACCATCGCTAAGCTGATCGGAACCGTATTTTTTTTTTTTTGGGGTTGGTGGTGTTGTTAGATTATAATCCGATTTAGGCTATGTTCGCTCCAGCGTGTTCCGAAAAACAGAACGATCCATTAGCATATAATTAATTAAGTATTAGCTAATTATTTTTTAAACATGATCAATATGATTTTTTTAATCAACTTTCGTACAAAAACTTCTTAAAAAAACGCACCGTTTAGCCGTTTAAAAAGCGTGCGCGCGGAAAACATTGAAGATGAGTTGAGATACCTAGGGTAAGAACACGGCCTTAGTATTGGATGTTTCCTTCCCTTATATAGTTTCTTACGTAGTGTCCGTTTCCTGTCCGTTTCGTAAATATTTTTTTTATATCTACCAATGGTAGTGTCCGTTTTGTAAATATTTTTTTTATAATTACCAATGGTCTTTGAGAAACTCTAATATATTTCACAAAAGATATACCTATGTACAAATTTTCTCTGAATCGTTTCTCGTTAGTTTTATACTCCCTCTAATTCATATTATAAGTCGTTTGACTATTTTCCTGATTAAATTTTATTAGATTTGATCAAGTTTACAGAAATATTTAGCAACATCTAAAATATCACATTATTATTTTTATTAAATCTCACATAATATGTTTATTTTGTCTTGAAAGTACTATTATTTTTTCTATAAACAACTTATAAAAGGAAACAGAGGGAGTAGTAACTGTTTTTGTTGTTATCGTCAAACTTAAATTTATTTGGTATTAACACATGCAATGAGGGAAAAATGTCTTATTCTAAATTGGGAAAAAAACAATTATAGCCAAAAGCTTGAGGATAAAGACACTCCCTCATACACGATGTGTCATAGGTAAACAACAAATATATGAAACCGTCAATTCTTTAGGATAAAAAATCATACTCTTGTAAACCAATTCTAAAAATTCAGCTTGCCACATATACACACAAAATGACATACAAAACCAAAATGTCACATCACATATATAGAAAACAAATACCTAAAAACTTGGATATTCCAACCACACCAAACTTCTTCGCCAACAGCTTCCATATTTTAGACATGACATATATGCCGTGCAAACGAAAAAGATTTACTCTACAGCAGGCAAGGAGAAAAGGGGAGATACACGAGATAAAAGTCAGTGGCCTGAGAGAGTGAAAGGCTGAAACTCGAGCACAACCCAACACTGCCAGCAGAAAAAACTGAAAAAACCAGAAAAGCCAATGGTCACCAACCCCAACAAAAAAGCGAGCGACCAATGCGATGGGGGTTCCGTAAAATCCCATCCCCTTCCCACCCTACCCAAACACCCGCTGGTATAATGGGGTTGGTAAACGACGTTGACGTGGCACCCCTGCCCCAGTCAACGAACCCCCCCTCCCTCTCACCAACCCAATGCTCCTCTCGCTTACAGGTGGGTCCCACACGTCATCCTCTCCGGGCCCCGCTCACCAACTCCCCCCAACTCCCTTCTCCCTCCCGCTCCCGCCAGTATTTAACCCCTCCCACCTTCCATTCCTCCCCTCTCCAGGAGACCTCGCCGCCGATCGATCAATCGCCGCCGCCGTCTCCTCGTGTAACCCTAGCTTAGTGGATTAGTTTAAGTGTTTGCCGGAGATTATGGGGTCGGTGGCGGCGGAGGAGGTGGTGGTGTTCCGGTCGAAGCTGCCGGACATCGAGATCGACAACAGCATGACGCTGCAGGAGTACTGCTTCGCGAGGATGGCGGAGGTCGGGGCGCGGCCGTGCCTGATCGACGGGCAGACCGGGGAGTCGTACACGTACGCGGAGGTGGAGTCCGCGTCGCGGCGCGCCGCGGCGGGGCTCCGGCGGATGGGGGTGGGCAAGGGCGACGTGGTGATGAGCCTCCTCCGCAACTGCCCCGAGTTCGCCTTCTCCTTCCTCGGCGCGGCCAGGCTGGGCGCCGCCACCACGACGGCGAACCCGTTCTACACGCCGCACGAGGTCCACCGCCAGGCGGAGGCCGCGGGCGCCAGGGTGATCGTCACCGAGGCGTGCGCCGTCGAGAAGGTGCGGGAGTTCGCCGCGGAGAGGGGCGTCCCCGTGGTCACCGTGGACGGCGCGTTCGACGGCTGCGTGGAGTTCCGCGAGGTGCTCGCCGCGGAGGAGCTCGACGCCGACGCCGACGTCCACCCCGACGACGTCGTCGCCCTCCCCTACTCCTCCGGCACCACCGGCCTCCCCAAGGGCGTCATGCTCACCCACCGCAGCCTCATCACCAGCGTCGCCCAGCAGGTGAGCCCTCCATGAATCCCTCTCCTCCTTCTTCTCTGCTCTACTCTGCTTCCATTTCCGTCGTTTCCGAGTCCGGGAAGCTGAGCTCGCAGTAGCTGACATGTGGGCCCCACCGCCAGCTCGGTGGGGCCCACATGTCAGACTATCTGAGGGATGTTCTGTTCCCATTTTGGATAACTCGGTGATCAAGCGAGCAGGGGCCGGCTGGGTTGGATTATTCGGATTTGTTTCGATTTGGCGTTACATATGCGCTGTGCTTGTGTCCGTAGATTTGTTCACTTGTGTGCAACTGTGAGCTACTACTACTGGTAATAGTGTTATGCTGCTCGGTGTGGGGCCCACCTCCCACAGGCATCGTCACCTAACAACGGTGTCTGGTTGTGGCCCCTGCGTCAAGATTCGTGCATGGTCATCCATGAGTTTTGGCGCCAACGGCCAAGCTATTTCAAACATGAGTTAATATAGTATTATCGAGTAGTAACTAAACGTGATCAAATTTTCATTCTTTTTTTGGTTCATGAAGGTGGATGGAGAGAACCCTAACCTGTACTTCAGCAAGGATGATGTTATACTATGCCTGCTGCCACTGTTCCACATCTACTCGCTCAACTCCGTGCTGCTGGCTGGCCTGCGTGCCGGGTCGACCATCGTGATCATGCGGAAGTTTGATCTTGGCGCGCTCGTCGACCTTGTGCGCAAGCACAACATCACCATCGCCCCCTTCGTGCCCCCCATCGTGGTGGAGATCGCCAAGAGCCCCCGCGTCACCGCGGAGGACCTCGCCTCCATCCGCATGGTCATGTCCGGTGCCGCGCCCATGGGGAAGGACCTTCAGGATGCATTCATGGCCAAGATCCCCAATGCCGTCCTCGGACAGGTAAATTGATGCCACATTACAATCATTGCGCGGACGAAAACAAAATCTCCTCTCTCTCTCTTTTTTTTTGAGTCACTGACAAGTTAGTCCGTCATATCCCTTCTTCTTTAGGGTTACGGTATGACTGAGGCTGGGCCAGTGCTGGCAATGTGCCTGGCGTTTGCCAAGGAGCCCTTCAAGGTTAAGTCCGGGTCGTGCGGTACAGTGGTGCGCAACGCGGAGCTGAAGATCGTCGACCCCGACACCGGCACCTCCCTCGGCCGGAACCAGTCCGGCGAGATCTGCATCCGCGGAGAACAGATCATGAAAGGTACACACATCACCCACCCCCACCCAGGCCAAACCCTCCATTGATCTCTAGATAGGATGTCAATACCCTGACGCTGACGTGGCGCAAAACGACACAAGGCCGTTGGACACTCGCCTCTCCCACTGTTGGGTGGGCCCGGGGTGGCGACTTCTCTCCCGCACACTTGGCTTTCAGGTCGTACATGGCGTCTTGCTGCGAGCTGAGTGAACAAACTTGCTGCAGCTTAATTTGGTGCATAGGTTGGAAACCAACTCGTTTGGTCCCCTGCGATTAGGCCAAAACACATGTTTTTACATGCGACGATGAGTCGTCGTCGTGATTTTGGATTGGTCTCTACCAAGCCACAAACGTGGTAGTCTAGCTGCCAGTACCAGTAGGGTAGGTTCCAGTTTCCACCGACTGAATCTGAATTCTTTCGGAGAAATTCTGTGCAAAACCAGCTGAAAAATCGATATCGTCTCCGATTTCTTTGAACAGAGGAAGGTTCTGATTCTTTTTTTTTTTTTGGCTTTTGAAACGTGGTTAGTGGCTGATGTTGAGGGGTCGGAATTTCCCGTACTGGAAACAGTTGAGGTGTTGCTGATTAGGTGGTTCGTTGGGAGATCCTTTTTATTAAAAAAGAAGTGGACAGATTAGTGGTTTGGTCCAAGCTCCATGGCGATGATTGCCTGAACAGCTGAGAGAGGAGAGAGGAATTTCCGTCCACTCCACGTCTTTTTTTCTCTGATTTATTTGTGGTAGCAGTGACCTCGCGTGGTTGTTGGCACGCACCAGCTCGCATCCTAGCTTGCAGCCACACAACGACGCACGTTGCTACTGCAAAATCATGCTCATCATCATCATCGCAGTGGCACGATCCTGGAATCCAAGTTGCGATGCTTCTTCAAGCAGATGAAAGAATGGGGGAAAAGAGAGAGAGAGAGAGAGAGATTAGAGCAAGTGTGTCTGCCACATGGATGATCTGAAGATCAGAAAATTCAGGAAGTGAGGTTCCACTAATGTTTGTTTTCGCAATGCGTTTTTGGACAAGGCATTATTGCAATTAGGAACCTGGCAGGTCAAAGGCTTTTGGGTGAGGCGAACATGGGCATTGGCAATTTAGGCTTATGCGTCTAGTATGCGTGTGTTCGGTAGTGGGCTTATAGTTGGACATGACATCAAGCAAAGGAGAAGTGGCAGCTTATCCTGACCGTATCTTATCTCAGTTCTCACCATGTGGATGTCATGTCCATTGTTCACAACTTATTTTTTCTGAAGATTTCTTCTTTTGAGGACTTGTTCTGAACCTGTTTCTCTGAAGAACTGTTCTGAACTTGTTTCTCTGAAGAACTGTTCTGAACTTGTTTCTCTGAAGAACTGTTCTGAACTTCTAATTGATTGGATATTTAGTTGGCATAGTCAAACCTGTACTACTTACATGGTACACAATAAATTATGTCTACTGGTTTTAAAATGGTTGATGTTGTCATGCGGGCCAGGAGACAGCTGGTACCGGTTAATTAGAACGAGATGTTTTCTTTTTCTAAGCCTTTCCTTTCAAGTTCCTTTCAGAAGTTTGTTAGGTTCTAGTTTACCTATCAACGGATCATTGGTTGGTATCTGCTTGGCGTGCAAAGTGGAGATCACATCAATTTCAGTCGCCAGCCATGCTTCAGTTCTCCTGCATCTTTCTGTTCATCAACCACTACTATAATGAAACCCAAACCAAACCAAACACCCAAAGCTTAGCTAGTCTTCTAGTATTAATCAATACCACACCATCATGTGAAGCAAGTGTCACCATCACATAATGCAGGATTAGCATGGACATGGCATCTCAAGTACCAAGTTGAATAAGGAGGTATCCAATTAGCACTGCTGCATCTCAGAAAGCATTGCACAATTCATAGTTAGAACAGGCCAAATGAGTGGTCCATCAACCTAATTGCTGTCACTGGCTTGGAAATGTTTGGTGGCCCATCATGTGAAATTGTGAACAAGAAAAGCCACAGTTGGGTGACTGCTCCAGTTGCTCAAAGTCCAGCCTGAAAATCAATCAAAGAAAGATGGCAATGGCGTCACAAGTCAATCCTAACCTTTGTCCCATTAAATTTGAAGAGTCTATCTGACCAAACCAAACTCTAGTTGGTACAGTAGGTACAAATCCCAAGACTCTTTGGTTTGGTTGATGGATGCAGCCGCCAGCATCCTGGATATCTTTGTGAAGTTTTTACCTTTTTTTTTACTTTGAATAAAACTTAGAATTCTACCAGTGCTGCAAAAACAACAGAAAATTCAGAAAATGATTGCCACTTCAATGCTGGCACCAAACAAGAATCACCTGAAAAATAAGTTCAGTACCCTGCCAATTGCCATGTGCATGTACACATCTGAAAACCAATGACTCTCCTTGACGTTAACAGTTACAGCTTAGCTCTGCCATGTGCGTGCATGCACTGATGCAAAGCTGGATCCGATGTTTCCTTTGGATTATTTGATCTGCAGTACAGAATTTTGTCACCACTGAAACTGTCTTCTCCTTCAGAAACAGCAGGAAATGATTCTTGGCCGTACTGACGAGCTGTGGGGAATTTTGCAGGCTATCTGAATGATCCTGAGGCGACCAAGAACACCATCGACGAGGACGGGTGGCTGCACACCGGAGACATCGGCTTCGTCGACGACGACGACGAGATCTTCATCGTGGACAGGCTCAAGGAGATCATCAAGTACAAGGGGTTCCAGGTGCCACCGGCCGAGCTGGAGGCGCTGCTCATCACTCACCCGGAGATCAAGGACGCCGCCGTCGTCTCGTGAGTCCATCTCTGATGAAATTCGCCATTGATTAATCGCGAGAGAATGTAGTGAACTGTCACTGATTCAGTTGCTGGTGAAACTTGTTTTCAGGATGAAGGATGATCTTGCCGGTGAAGTGCCAGTCGCCTTCATTGTCCGGACAGAAGGCTCAGAAATCACCGAGGATGAGATCAAGAAATTCGTTGCAAAAGAGGTACTAATCACATGCAAATGACAGCAACAAGGATTCTGATTTAAATCTTGCTAAAATTTTTCTGACACGTTTGCAACAGGTGGTGTTCTACAAGAGGATCAACAAGGTGTTCTTCACCGATTCCATCCCCAAGAACCCTTCCGGCAAGATCCTCAGGAAGGACTTGAGAGCCAGGCTCGCCGCCGGCATCCCCGACGCCGTCGCCGCCGCCGCCGCCGATGCGCCCAAAAGCAGCTAAGGCCAACGCCGACGTTTTCTCTATTTTCAGTCACACAACCGGTGAAAAAAAAATGCAGAGATATGATGTTGCTGTCCATGAAAATGGAGGCAGAAATGGAGCAGAGGAAGTTTATAGTTTGGTTTGTTGGTTGGTTGATGCTGCTGCAGCAGCTTGTGCAATGTTCATAAAATGGCATTAATAATATTATTATTATTATTATACATAGATGATGTATTGTTTTTGACCATAAGAACAAGGCTGATTACAAAATAATACAGTGTATTAATTACGCCCTGTTTCTCTCTACTTTGGAGATTCCAGATGCTTCCTTTTACACTTGGCCTAGTTTCGGACCAAAAAAATGGGTGAAATTTGATTGCATTTGAGTGGCATTTCAGGGAGAAAATTATTTTCTGGAACATATGCTTTTGAAAAAGGCCCCAGTATTTGAGTATTTCAACCTCAAAATGGAGCTGGCCCACTATATTTCACGTGAAGCCCAAGAGACATCGAGGCCCATGTAAGGCACAGTAAACGGGCCATTTCGAAGGGAAAGCCTCACGGTCGTTGGCCTCGTTTGGTTTCATGGCCATACCATTTGTGCAACAATTGGCTAACCATTTTCCAAACAAAATTCAGTTTTGAAGAACAAATACCTGCAAAAATTTCACCTCCCTCCATTTTTCATATAACCGAAATCTATGATAAGGCAATAGGCAGACTATTGATTTGTCTATAGTTAGGGCTACATAGTTTGTGAATGTTCTTTTCAAATTATGCAACAGATTATTTGCTTCACATTCAAAAAATATGTTTTTTTCAAAAAAAAATAGAGACTTTCTTCCACTGGGTAGTGTTTGAATATCCTGAAAATAAAGATGAAGATAAAGATTAAGTGTTTCACGTAAAATGAGGTGGTAATAATATGTGATTAATTGAGTAACTCTTACAAACTTGAAAAATGAATTAATCTGATAGTTTAGAACAACTTTCACATAAAAAGTTTTCGCACGAAACACACCGTTTAACAGTTTGAAAAGCGTGTCATTTTAATACAAAATTTCATCCACTCTTTTCAGTGGATTCGAACGGGGCCTCGTGAATTGATAAGACCAAGTAATCTGTTAAGTTTCTTTCTCAAAATTTTTAATTTATCTATAAAACTAAATAGATAATCCGTGACTCTTAAATTCTTAATAATCTACAATAAACTGGGTATGGTAGATTGGTAGGTAGCTAGTCGAGGAATCAGGACTTCTTCTGTCACCTATTTATTTCTCTAGTCAAAGGTTTGCTATCTATCACCTATTTTATTTCTCTTCCTTTCGATTGTATATGATCTATGTAGTGAAAGTGAGATCAAAAAACAAAATTGGAGTTCATAACTTTTTTATTTTTGCTCTTCCATTATCTGAAAACTTACATAGTCTGCAATGTCAGACGTTGCTAAAAAGCAGCCATACGTAGCTTCAAATTACATATGTACTTGCTGGCCTCCTATAGCTAGTAGCTATAATTCTGAGATGTATCTGAACATACTTATATTCAGATTCATCTCTATCTCTAGAATTAGAGATTTCTAGTGCGGAGAGGTAGCTAGTACTGCCGCGCGCGGGCAGCTGCGGCGGTGGCCGGCCGGCGAGTAGAGGCGGAAGAGGCGGCGGGCGGAGAAGGCGGAGAGGACGGCCATGCCGGCGGCGGCGAGGAAGCTGCAGAGCATGCCGGCGGCGGCCTGCTCGCAGAAGCGGGTGTAGATGTTGCAGAGCTTGCTCCACTGCAAGGCCTCCACGCCGATCAGCCCCACCATACACGCCTGCAGCGCCGCCGCCGTGCTCGCGAACACCACGTACGCGCATCCCTGCGTGCATCACCAAATCGATCACAATGGGAAGAAACAAAACAAACTCATGATCAATTACAAATCGCTATTATGCTGGTTTTTTTTTCTAGCTAGCTAGCTACCACTTGACCAACAAGTTGGATTCTTAATTAATTTTACTGCAAGAGTTTTCCACCATGGAACTTGAAGTCAAGTACTACCTCCATCGTGCTATAATATAAACTTTTAGCGTTGACACGAGTATTAATAAAATATTTAAAATTCAATAAGAAAATATTGTGAGTGGTCGATAAGTAGAAGCCTACGAGAAAATCGAATGGTGAAAAGTTATGTTTGGTTGAAAAGATAACATTGATCGAGACGTCATTATATTTTAAGATAAATTATATTTCCTCCGTCTTAAAATATAAGAATCTAGAACTGGACGAGACATTTCCTAGACAGAGAATTGTTCTATCCGATTTTAGGTTCTTGTATTTGTATTTTAGAACCGATTTTAGGTTCTTGTATTTGTATTTTAGAACGGAGAGAGTAAGGATGGATTGAATAAAATATATTTTGAAGAAAAGATCGATGTGGACTAGAAGCTTTTTTTTTCTGCATTTAATTATAATGAGTACTAATTAATAAAGAAGACGAAGACGACGGCAGGTAGAGGGCGCTTTGCTATCTAATTATCTATATATCGCGATAATTCCAGATGATATGATATTGCGCATTAATGGAAACAGTTGGGAGAACCAGCCATTTGCTCAATCACCCTGTTCCTTCTTTTCTGGAGTCCTCAGCCTCACTCATGTTCGACGCATGTGTTCCACTGTTTCATCCCTATCTTGACGATCTTAACTTCAAGAGGATCGCATCATATCATGCGTTACATCCGATGACAACGACTCACCTTGTCGAGCAGGAAAGATGTCCACGCCACCGCCATGGCGCCGGCGTCGCCGGAGGAGGAGCAGTACATGCACCTGACGAGCTGCGCGAATTGGTACCCCGCCGCCGCCGCCGCCGCCACGGTGAGCACCCTGCAGATGCCGCGAGTGTGTGCATGAGTCGATCGATCGGTCTCCGCCATGGAAGGCGCCATGGATGCACGGAGCTATACGTACCAGAGGGCTTGGACGTCCTTGGCGACGGCGGTCTTGCGGACGAAGAGCACCGTCTTGGTCTCGGCGCTGAACCCGAGGAGCAGCGCCGCCGTCGCCGCCATCACCACGCACCCGCCGCGCAGGAGCCTCTCCGCCCTCACCACCCCCGGCACCGCCGCCGCCGCCGTCGTCGCCGCCATGGCTGCAGGATCGGACAGCGACTAGCTATGCTCGATCGATCGATCGATCGGAGGTTGGTGGCGTGGCGCCGTTGGCAATGGCCAATGGCAATGGCGTCGTCGCGGCTCACTAGCTATATAGGCGCGAGACGCGTGCGCCATGGGCGAACGGCGCAGGGCCGATCCGCGCGCATACGTGGCGAGATCTGGGTCGCACGTACGTTAGGAAGTCGTGCGTTGCAGAGGCTTTTGCAGCTGTTGCCTGTTGGTAAGGTGGGGCCCACTTGCCAGCGAGGCTATTCATTCATAAAAGCTTTAATTGTGGCCGGTTTTCTTTATGTAGTGCTCACTCCATGTCATCGTATTGCAAGACGCTTTGATTTTTAGACCAGTAATTTTTTTTAAGATTTTAACAAGATTATACGAAAAATATAAGTATTTTTAACATAAAAAATATATTATCAAAATATATTCAATTTTAGAATCAAACTAATTTTGTTTTAGATGTTTGCTAAACTTTTTTATGATTTGGTCAAAATTAAAAATATTTGATTAGGAAAAAAGTAAAAGCGACTTAGTCTGCGTTCGGGAGTGAGAGTTCCCTCACTCTCTGGCACGAAAAACGGAGCAGCGATTAGCGCGTGATTAATTAAGTATTTGCTATTTTTTTTCAAAAATAGATTAATATGATTTTTTAAGCAACTTTCGTATAGAATTTTTTTTTTTGCAAAAAATACATCGTTTAGCAGTTTGAAAAGCGTGCGTGCGGAAAAGAGGGAAGCTGGGAACCTTTAGTATCGATCGCAGCCTTATAGTATGAAAAAGATGGAAAGGGATGGAGTATGCAAACAGTTAGCCAGCTAGAGACCTTAATTATGGCTTCAAAAATAATACTTAAATGTATAAATATAGTATGTGAGTGATCAATCGATGTCGAAGGTCTAAATTATATGAGATGATAAGTATAATAATTTCCTCAAAAAACACGCAATAGGTTTTAGCGGTAATTAGGGAGAAGTAGAAAGTTTTGAAAAGGAATTGGATATGGTGGTGACTTGATAATCTGAGCATGTTGGGTAAGGCAATGGAGCCATCTGGACTATAATCTGCTTTTCTCACATTGACTAGTCAGGTAACCTTCTATGGCTGCAGACTTCAATGGTGATCACTCATAAAAGCTTCAACCGTCAGGAATGCGATGGGTTGCCAGCAAATCCAACGTCAACTACACATACGTATTCTTCGAATAAAAATGTTCAACCTCACCTAAGGTTTATTGGAAACTTTTGATGGCTGTAGCTTTTTTAAAAACTTTTTCAAACAGTATAAGTATTTTATCTAAATTCTAAGATGCTGCCGTTGTAGTTGTCGAGTTGAAAAAATGTACTATAAATTAATCATAATATGGTTTTCTCATATTCTCGCTAGCTGGATTATAACTAACTGCTTGCTAGAATCTAAAGTTCCCAAACAGATCATAGTACGTTGTGATATGAAATTGAAAAGAAATTAGTTATTTCTCATTGATTAATTGTAGGAGAGGGGAAATTGATAATATTCAATTAATCACCACATATAGCACTCTATAGATCAGTTTATTGGTAGTACATACTACTCCCCCCGTCCCATAATATAAGGGATTTTAAGTTTTTGTTTGTAACGTTTGACCACTCGTCTTATTCAAAAATTTTTAAAATTATTATTTATTTTATTTGTGACTTACTTTATTATCTACAGTACTTTAAGCATAACTTTTTATTTTTTATATTTGCGAAAAAATTTTGAATAAGACGAGTGGTCAAACGTTGTAAATAAAAACTCAAAATCCCTTATATTGTGGAACGGATGAAGTACTATATAGTACCTTTTCATTTTCCAGCTGCTAAACATAACAGTGCGCACGTTTAAGTTATACTCCACATCATGTCGATTTCTTGCATTTATTGATGAGATGATCGGTCAAGTAGATATTGGAGTTCTGGCCGGATGGAAGTTGTAAGTTCATCTCACATCTTGTATGTGAAGATTCTCTTGATGAGTAATGAAATTCCCTTTGCCCCAAAAAGAAAAATAGATATTGGAGTAGATCGATCTACTACTGTACTGGCAGATGCTTGCTTTGTTTCTTCTTTCGTTTAAAGAAAAAAAAAAGCAAAAGTTTCTCCTATTGTAATCCATGTCAGGATGCCATTATTTTAGTCAACATTATTATGCTTTAAACAATTTCAGTTAACATTAAATCAGGTGCTCACTTACCCCTCCGGTTTTTCAATACGTTTGACTTTATCATTAGTACTACTTTAAGCATGATTCATATTTTCATATTGACACTAAGTTTTAAATAAAACGAATATATCAAAAGCTAATAGCGTCATTTTACGTTTTTGTTGCATAGAGAAGCAAGATCTACTAGATTAAAAGAGAGAGAGAGAAGAAAGATCTAGGACTAGCCTGTGTGCCAAATGTTACCTCCATTCAAAGTTTTTTTTCGGAGAACCTCAATCCAAAGTTTGAACTAGTGCTAATCAATCTACTTGCATCTACTCCTAGATCCCAACTGTCCAATTATTGCATCGTTTCTTTAATTTAGGCCTCTCCCTTCGTGTACGTGTTTGTACTCTTCTCCATCTATTATTTGGATGACACAAAACAGCTGGGTCAAAGGATTTTCAGAAGATTTGTTTATGAATTAAATTGGTTTTTTTAATAAAAATCCTATAAAATTCACGTGTTCTAATTTCTAAATAATGGAGGGAATTTGACTTGACGACCTCCTCATTTTTCAGTGAGAGGGGTTGTGATTTGTGAAAAACAAGAGACATCAAGCAAATACTTCCATTTCGAGTTATGACTTATGAAACGATCTAGCCAGTGCAAATATATGGCCCTTCCATAAGGACCAATTTGACATTAACTTCTTTGCTGAACATTTCACATTAATGCAAGCAAAGGGAAGCAGGAGTATGAACTGAGCATACCTTATCTGGTTAGCTACCTTATCATGAAATCTATTAATCTGAATTTAAGTCCTAGGTAAACACACTTACAACTATTGTTCTTTCAGCGATTCTCTGTCGTAACTCCGTCGAAATATGTTAGATCAATTTCTTAGAACCAATCGCTACTGGCACTGCAGTTGATGAATGTCGCTACTCTGTAGTAACTTTATCCATCCAAATTCCGTTCCACAGCATAAGAAATTTTGGATGGATAAGACACATTCTAAACAATTCGTAGTATTCAGATGTATTATATCTATTTAAAATTGTTTATATCTTAGAACGGAGGGAGTTCGCTTGAACAAATCACCAGCTCTTCCAGCACTTGGAAGGACCAAAAGGGAGAGTAATTAGAGACTTTGTGCGCAGCAAAATCGTCATCAGTGATTTGTCGTGTCCGTTGATCATCCATTGTGTTCTGCACCATGAGATTCACAAAACGGTGGTGATTGCTGAAACATAAGCTGACCCCAAGCAGAGATTACACCGTCTCAATTAAGGCCCTATTTAATTCAGCTTAGGATTATTATAATCTAGATTATTAGGAGTAAGCTGAAACAAACAAGTAGATTATTATGCTAGATTATTATAATCTATAAGCCAGATTACTATAATCCAATAATCTCCTCTAGTGGAGCTTTTTCTAGATTATTGAGTGGCTAAAGACCCACTACCCTTAGATGCCTCTAATAATCCAGATAAACAAACAACTCGTAGCTTATTTTATATCAGCTTATTATAATCCAGCTTAGAGTAATCTGATTTAATAATCTAGATTACAATAATTTTAAGCTGAAACAAACAGGACCGCGGTCGGAGAATTGAACTCCGTCGTCATCACTCGTCAGGGAGCCTCGCCCAGCTCATCCAACGGCCAACGCCGGCCTAAACTGAAACCGGCTAACGGTGATTAAAGGACTTGATGGAACACCAAGCTTCTTTCCGCATAAAAGGACTAGTTAATTACTATGATGGCAACTGAAAGTGAAGGCGAGGACAGGGCGCAATCTGGCGATAATTCTGTATTTATATGATGCAGCATTGCCCCATTCTGCCGCTCGAATCTCATGCTCCCATCTTTTCAGGGCTCATGTGCGGCGTGCCATGCAGGAATTTTGTTGGATTTTATGGATCAATTCAATCCCCGCGGAATTTCTTACTTCCTCCGTTTAGGAATATAAGAATTTTTTAGTATAGTGTCAAATCAACCATTTTTAACTTTAACTATTAATAGAAAAAAATATCAATCATGTAAAATTGATGTTACTAGATTTATTATCATTAGTCAAACTATTATAATATGCAACTATTTTATTTAAAACATTTTATTTTTATAGATATTGTTGGTCATGTCGAAGTTAAAAAATACTTATATTTTAGGATGGAGGAGGTAGAAAAGAACCCCCATCTCGTAGCAAACTAACCTATGAAATATACGACTCTTTCGTATGAACCTCCAGTCACATTGTTGCCAACGTACCAGATCAAATTCTAAACATTGCAAAAATAGATGTCCTACAGGTAACACATCGGCCATACACATACTATCCGCGTTAATTCACATTGTTTTGTTTATAATCTGCACAATCTATAACAAACGAGGAAAATAAAATGGTACGCAAACATTTCAGATGTTTTTACAACAAAGCAGAACTACCCGCTGTACATAATCGGTTGGTTTGTTTCAATGCCTTTCAAGGCAGCATGAGTCCCAAAACCTAGTTTAGAGCATCTGATGGTATTAACATTTCAACATTAATAGCATCTAACGGTAGCCAATACACGCTTAACATGTTGTTAATCATCCAGCTCAACAAGCTGCGCCCTTCTTTCGGCAGCTTTCTTCCTGACGAAAATCCCCCATCTCATGGCGGCCTTTATCTTGAGCCACCCAACAACAGCTTTCCCAGATGAACGGGTGCGCTCACCTTCGAACCCAAGGTTTGGTAATGGAGATGGCATGTACGTCGGGAAGCCGAAGGCGTCTTCCTGCAAACTGGTAGACGCTCCACCCATGCTGAAGACCCTGAGCAGCTGCTGCATGTCTTCGCTCTCGAGCATTTGGTGGCTTTTCATGCGAATATCTTCGGTGAAGTCATCAGCGAACTGACCGTTTTGACTTCGAGTCCAATCATCATAGCCAACATTTGCTGGCTGAATCGACTGACTCTGTGAAATTGCTTGTTGCAATTGGCCTAGTTCCAGGCCCATGCCATCATTTCCGGTTTCTTGATTATCAGACCCCATCAACATACTAGGCGGTAAAAATGAAAAGGTGTCATCGTATGGCACAGGGACATTGGCAGATGTACTTTGAAGTTGAGATGGCTGTGTAGCTGCTTGGTTGCCATCATACCCTATGGAATCAGTTCCAGTTCCACTTCCTCCTGAAATGAATGAAACTAGCATGGTGTTCAGAGACTCTTCTATAGTGACAAATCACGCGCCCTATAGTTCATCTGTTTATTCTAAAAGTGTAAGCAACGTTTTAGGGTTTCAACCATATTAATTACTACCACCCCATCCCCAAATATAAGGGATTCTAGAGTCTTTTGGAGATTAAGGATGAGAGAAAAAGACGATGATGCCCCTCAATAAATGAGGGGGAGTTGGGGAGCGGGAGGGTGGTTAAGGTAGGATTGGGTGAAAATTAAATGAGGGGTGATTGGATGGGACAGGTAGTACTACAAAATCCCTTATATTCGGGGACAAAATTTGAATTATTCGATGTCTTATATTTGGGGACGGAGAGAGTATATTTCTAGCTGTCAACTAAAATAACAAAGAGGTACTAACATAGAAATGGTAGATAATAACTCATGCTTCTAACCTGCTGGAGATGGTCCTGTCATGCTCGCTGATGAGATGCGTTGTTCGTATGAAGCAGGTTGACTCAGAGGAGGATGTGTCTCAACGTGTCCAGTGGGTGCAGCCTTTTTCTTCGGTTTAGAGTTCAAGAGAGCTTTACCATCATATTCAATGGCATACATCCAATTATCATATGCCTTCTTAACCAATGCATCAGCAAAGAGCTGTAATGAACAATACCATCCCAATCAGTCAATATGGTATTAAAAACGAATAGCTTAAAGTTCTCAAAAGCTCATGCAGAGAATAAATAAAGCATAGCTCTTAATTCTTAAACATGCAAGTGTAGTGCTACAAGCTTAGATTTTACACAGAAGAATACAGTGAATATAAGGCTGAGTTTTATTTCATTAAATAGTGGTTATTCTTAATGATTTATCAATGTCTTCTGTACTGATGTTTGGGGAGTTGTACAGTGACACATCCTTTAAAAAATAAAAATGGCAGGACTACAGGGGCACTCTCTATTCACTAAGTGCCAAAGGAAGTTTACTGCAACAATCGATTGGCAGACAGGAGGTCAGAAGACCTTAGGAACAAAAGAACAGCTGACACATGATGAGGCACCAATGCAACTAACCCAAGTATTCTTGGGTCATCGTAGCACAAAACACTTGATACACCTTATTCCAGTTCATAGCATGCGCTACAATATAAGAGAAGGGGTGTGTGCGTGACCTACATCAACGCACTAACATAATATAAAGTTCAAAGTACACATTATTATCACCCCTCCCTAACTTATTTACAAAAATAACCCTTTAGGCTGTCCGGCCATGCTAGTATGCAACCAGTCAGGTGTAGCAAATGAACATTGATACGCCAACAGTTCTCACTTTTTATTAATAAATGAAACCTTTAACCACGCCACGTAGCAAAACAACACTGCCACTATGTTGGTGGCCATGCCTAAAAGGGTTCGCTGTCCAGAATAAAATGTGACAAAAGGAAAGCTATGCAACCAAGCATTTTTTATTGCTTTTGTGTTACATGAGTGCATCTTTAAATGAATGGAAATACCATTCAAGTTTGACATTAGAAGACAACTTAAGGACCACGACATACACACACAACAAAAAGGATTACAACAATGCGTGGTTTAGCAGAAATCCCAACGAAATCCCATGGCATTGCAAATGAAAATTTCAAAAGTTTTATGGTTTCCTGACTTGTTTCTGTGACCATGGCTCATTCAGTTTGCTGTCCACATGCATTCATTAGCATGGTTAAATGCTTTAATCTTTATCAGTCTAGAAGCCTTACAGAGTCAAACAGATTAACTCTAACTAATGTATCATCTTATAATTATGCATGTGAATGGAGAACGAAGAGCAAAATCACATATGTCATGACCACGTAAGGGTACGATTGTCATTTTATTGGTGGCACATGTAGTTTTGGTTGCCGTGGTTTCATTCTTGGATATAGCCATGTAGACAGGCATGTTAGACAAGTTTCCATAAGAAAATTTTGGTATGAATTATGTCTTCCAAAAACAGCCAACATAATATATGCATCGTTATCAATGTGCACTACTATAACCAACCTTTTGGCTATCATCAAGACTTTCAGATGAATAGAACTGCTCGCCAGAAATCAACCCACAGAATGCATAGATGTTGTTGAAAATAGCACCAATAGATCTATTCTCGTCTGAATAATATATGTAATATTTTCCACTTAAGACACAAGTCTTTGCATGTTCGACAAGAATATCCCACATCTTATTAGACATACCACTTCCAAGGATCTGGGACAGAACATATATGTTAGAACTCAAACAAAAGAAAAAAAGAAGAAAAATGCTGAATAGGAAATAATCTTACACTGCGCAACTTCTGAGGATCTCGAACCACAAGCCTAAGGAAGTCTTCAACTGTAGAAATTCCAGCTTTGTTCAGTCTCTTATGGAAAGATCCATCCTTCCCTATCTTTTCTAACCTCCAGACCTCATCTTTCAACGCAGGTGGGTAGTGCTTCTTATACACTAATCAAATGAAATTCAAACAGTTAATAGAAATATCATGAAGAATCGTATCATATCATGGTTGCTTCAGAGGACTTACATTCTCCTCTGTGGTCCTTAACCATGAAAGCTTCAGTTTTTGCCTCGCGGATGCGAATACCCTCACAAAATCCTGAGGAAATTTTCAAACCAAGTCGGAACTTCCGACTCCTTATCCAGCTAGAGTTATCTGTGAATGTAAGCTCCCCTACAGTGCCAACACCTTCTTTTAGTGTGACTTGTACATCACCAGTTAAAAGAGGGCGCTTTCCTTCACGCTCTTTCACTACATGACTTTCAAACTCTTCTCCCGACCATCCCTCCTCATCTTCATTGTTGAAATCACCTTCTAGAACAACAATGTCAAGTTTGGCACATGACTCGGGTCCAGAAGATACAACACAACCAGTTCCAGCATCAAGCAAAACAACATGAATTGCGGCTCCCTGCTCCCCTTCAACTTTTCCTCCAGTAAAAAGAGGAAGAGACAGTCTTGTCCTGAACTGGAGTTGCAGATTTCTTCCATCAGGACCTTCAATTCGCTTCGGGGAAGACCTGAATTATTCCAACAGTAGCAAAATATATATATATATATATATATATATATATATATATATATATATATATATATCAATGTGGGTTCTACCAAAGGTTGTTGTAGGTTTACGTGCTTCATTTTAACAGTTATAATCTAGCCCAGATATCCTAAAACAAGCAATAGGTTACTTGTGAAAAGAACTAGCAACAAGCATCATGAACAAGCACAGCTAACAAAAGGTTATTTTGTATCATATGCAATTTGATGGTAGGAGTTGCAGCAATATAACTTCAACGGTTAGTTCGATGTACTGCTGGATTATATTATACAAGGAAGTGTGTGAAACAATAAATTCATAGTCAACTAAGCGATAGAACAGAGTACCTTCCAGTTATTGTTGCAGGACCCAGTCTGCCCAACGCACGCTCCACTTCTTCACTAACCTAGTATGTATACAGAGAATATATATAACCGAATGTAACTAAGTGCAAGAAATAATTAACAGTAGTGAAGGAACATATAAATGTAGACAGTAGCATGCTAGAATAAACCTATGCAAAAAAAAAGAGAGTAAAGCGACATGATAATAGAATTCCGCTTAAAAGAGAATTGCTTTGTTCTTACCACTCTACGAAGAATTGGTTCCAGTGATGAGCAAAGCCTCTGCAGACTATCCACCTTTAATGCTTCAACAATAACACTGCAGAGAAAGAGGCGAAGCGGAAAAAATCATGACAGAAGAACAAAAGACGCAATTCACCTTCTCACATGTTGAGCTTTACAGTAATGAACACGCAAGGGAAACATGTTTGAAAAAAACTGTAATCAAAACTACCAGAAATAAGTAATTGACCATTATTAAATGATGTGCAGAAATAAAAGAAAAAACCTATAAAGACATTCATTAAAACCATGGTAGTCAAATTTGACAACTGACAGACCATAAATCAGCATCAAAAGATCAGTACACTTCATAGCCATCTACTGTACTAGCATTTGCGAACAGATCCATGATTAAAAACAAATGCAAATAAGTCACAGATGCTGGTTGTTACAAAAATACTAACACTATTATTGCAGAGACCATAGATGAGGATTATTTTGTTAGATAGTGGAAATGTGTTTCACACCTGCTGACTTCTGCACAAGCACATTAGCACAGAAAAGAACAGTTGGGAAAAGCTATCTCTAAAAGGTAGTACAACCCCAAATCCTGAAACAGTCATTTGGATCCATCCTATAACATACAGATAGGGGTTGGTCAACAGTATCACTATTAGTAACACTAACAGTGCCGAGTGCCGACCTAAGACCAAAATTTGTCACAGAAGGATAAAAATTCTACTGATGGGTCAGAGTACAAACTTACTAAGATTTCTGGCATTTCCCTGACAGATCACACACCACCTTTCTAAAAGAAATTTTGCAGCATCATGTCTACATATGCTCAAATTACACACCGCAACTAAGCAGTAAACTAAATCAAACCACTCCCAATTCTCGATCGAGCACTACTGCAGGAGTAACCCTAACCCTACTATGGCTAGCATCCCAAACATATCTCGAGGCTAGAAACGGAAAGAAAGATCAAAACCGCGGAAAATTTTCCCCTCACCTGGCCAGTGCGGGAGGCCGCGCGCGCTTGGCCTCGGGGTGGCCGTCGCCACCGGCCGCCGCGGCTTCCAGCCCGCGCTTCTCCTTCATCGCGCGCCCCCAAATCTGCAACCGAAACGAGCACAACCCGCGTCAGATTCCGCCACCCTTTTCCGCAATTTGACATGCGTGAAGGAAAGCGAAGAGGGATCCGGTCACCTCGCCTAGGCTGGGGACGCCGGATTCGGCGGCGGCGGCGGCGGAGGGATCGCGGGGGAGGGGAGGAGGCGTCGGCGGGGGAGGCAGGATTCTTTGCAAGAAGAGAGATAGAGATACCATACCAGCCACTAAAAGGCGCTGCTCTTTTGCCAAATGGACCTCCGCATTTGTTGGTTTTACATGCAAGTCCATCAAGAGGAGTTCTGTTACGCAAACGAACCCCCTCAGCTCCGATCTTAGGTTTTCGCCGGTGGCGGAGCCAAGAGATGTCGTGAAGCCTGGACGAGTATTAGTGTTTTCTGGTAATCGACTAATCTTTTCGGACATCGGAGACTATCTACAATGGAGACGCTAGTTGCAGAGCCTGGGCAGCCATCCGAACTGCTCGGGAGCTACCTTTGCCGCTGGTTGTCATAAAATGTACACCTAAGTTTTTAGGTTTTGTCTTTGTAAATGTGTAAAGCAAATAAAACCCCTAAAATAAGCTACATTGAAGATTTTTGGACTAGAGTTAATGGTTTTTTTTTGTGTTGAAGATAGTTTTTTTTCATGATAATACCGTATCATGTGACGTTAGTATGTTGTAGATTATTTGTAGTTAAATTTTTCACACATTATCCTTATTTTTGGTATGACTTGTCGTAATTAGAGAAATATTGCATGTTTTTAAATTAAAGTTGTATATGTCCAACTCTACATCACATTATTCCCCTTGTATTGTTTTTGAACACCACTTAGCTTAGGGGTTTAAAGTTGGATATAAAAAAACACCTTATTGTTATCTCCTCAGTCGCACTAGAATACATTTTTTATGACTAAATCATATGCACAAATGCATCACAACAACACATATTAGTGAAGTCCCTTTTTTTCCCTTTTGAACGATACTCCCTTTGTCCCATAATATAAGAGATTTTGGATGGGTGTAACACATCTTAGCACAATGAATCTGGACAGATCGTCTGTCCAGATTCATTGAACTATATATATCATATCTACTCATAATCCCTTATATTATGGAACGGAGCAAGTAAAAGTAAAGCGGACATGTTTGTTAGTTGCAAATTTTGCACCCCGTAGTCCTAAACTAAACCATCCCATCTTGCTCATGTACCATAGAAAGTTGTATCTTGTTTAGTAGCTCATACATGGATATTCCTGGACAGTTTGATCAGAAAATTATGCGCCTTTTACAGGCCATAACAACTAAAACTACACAATTTCCATACAATTTTCGCCGAAAACAAAATAAAACTGTATGGATCAGTTTCCCGAAATACCCCATCTTAGAGGTGCTAAAATGCAAACCGCTGCGAGAACTGCAGAGAAAAACGCCACCCCGACCACGCGAACTGGGCTCTGATATCCATACATCCCCACCCAGTACATCACCGACACAACGGGCCCACGAAAGGCCGGGCCCACCTCACATAGACACACAGGGATGGGTGTAGCGCCGCGTGCACGTGCTCGTCGCCGGTGGGCCCGCGGAGACAGTGACGTCGCCGTCTGGGTTGGGGGGTGACGTGGTTTTGGGCAGACGGCGGGTGGGTGATCTTTTTGCAGGGTTAAGTTTAAGGGGATAAGATAATGATTCGCGCCATGTGATTAGTACAGCTCGAGGGAATATTTAATCAAACCCCAAGTGGATCCTGGCCCCATCTGCCCAACTTGCAAATTTAAAATGTCTTTATCGTGGAACAACTTTATATATTTTCTCTTTTTTTTGGCGAAGAGCTTTAGGCCCTTTTTTTGAATCAGAGATCCGGCAAGAAATTTCATATAAGTTGTATAGAACAATTCATGTTTACACTTTAGAGCTCGAAAAGATTGACGGAGCCGTTATATTTGCAAATGAAATGTAATTTGTGAATAAAATTTTTATATACGTGTTCTTAATAATCTAAAAGAAAAATCAGCTCTAAATTTAAGGTTGAAAATTTAAAATTTGGCTGATAAGCATAAACATAAGTGAAGAGATGGGGCCGGAAGCTTTCAAAATTCTAGAACAAAATGGCCTAGTGCATAAATATTTTGGAAAAAAATTAACAACTGAACCATCAGAAAAATTCCCTCAAAGTTTATATTGCTATAATTCAATTCCGGTGATTTTATATCGTGATCAATTGTGCCTGTATTTTTTATATTGTATTCCCTTATTCTAAAATACGTACCTCCATGTTACCACAAGTGAATCACATCATCCATTCTTTCTATAAAGCTAATGCCTACTAAACAAATAAAAATCTCAACATGCAAGCATAATATTTATTAGTACTCCTAGATTCTATATGCAAGCATGTCACACCAACCATTAAACACACATGCTAAACATACAAGCATATAGTAATAATATCTATGATTTATTTCATTCTAAAATTAAACATACACATGCTAATACACCATTCTCAAATTAGTTTCATAATATTTCAATCTAAATCATATCATCATTTCTCCAAAGCGCGGGCATCATCTGATTTTATTAGCGTTCAAGACCCACGCTCTACCCATATTATCCCTTAATTCCATCAACCTCTATATATCTTTAAACATTTCACTTCAATCTTTAACTCTTCTAAACACTCACAGTTAACTAAAATATATGTACTGTCTTATCTATTTATCTCTATTTCATCATTCTTGTGCTCTAAATAATACTTCCTCCGTTTCACAATGTAAGTCATTGTAGCATTTCTCTATATTCATTAACATCAATATGAATGTGGAAAATGCTATAATGGTTTACATTGTGAAACGGAGGAAGTTCATATACTTCCTCCGTTTTACAATATAAGTCATTCTAGCATTTCTCACATTTATATTGATGTTAATGAATTTAGATAGTGTGGGAAATACTAAAATGACTTACATTGTAAAACGGAGGGAGTAGTTGTTTTATCGAATTACTCTTGTCAACCCAAAAATATCTAAATCTAAATATATACGTTAACTATGTCAGTAACTTATACCAGATTAATTGGGAAAAATTGAACACTTTGGCAAATCCAAAGTGAACTTTCGAACACCGAAGAATTGCGATTTCAAATGTTTTTCACACGATTTTCCTTTTCAATGGAGCAGTAGTAGTAACAGCTACCTGACCGGTGGGCCCGGGCATCCGGATCAGATCAAACCGAAACCAAAATCCCAAAAAAAAAAAAACACGAGGCGCAGGCGAAGCCCACGTGGACGAACACCCTCCTCCCCCCGACGACCGCCGGCCGCCGCCGTTATCATGCCCCCCGGCGGCGGGGGCGCCGTCTTCCTCGGAGTCGACGTCGGCACCGGCAGCGCTCGCGCAGGCCCGTCATCCTATCCCCCCCACTTTGAAGTTTGAACCCCCACCTCTTCTTCGCTTTGAGATAGTCGCATATGCGTTTCTGGATTTAGCTGTTCAGTGGTAGTGGAGATGCTTTTGTTTTTTTGGAGTGCGGAATTCGGAATCGGAGAAGAAATTGAATGTCCAGTGATGAGGAAAGTTGATTGTTTCGTCGTCTGAAAAATTAAAAAGAGAAAACGATAGGTTTCATGGGGAAAATGGTAGTATGAATTATGCGAGAATTTGCTGTGGTGGAAGGGGGATATTGCAGGGATACGTGTTCAGTGAATTTATTTCCTACAGTGGACGTGTTTAAAATTCAGTTGGTGTATGCACAAGAGGCATGAACTTACTAATATGTTCTTAATTTAAATTCATTCAGGTCTCTTTGATGAGAAGGGTAAGCTGCTGGGGTCGGCGAGCAGTCCTATACAGATATGGAAGGAGAAGGACTGCATCGAGGTTGAGGAGATTATGTTCTAATCCATCCGATGTATTGCATGATACTGAGTTGTACTGTATTGCTAATTCTGGACTGTTTTTGAACTTTTCATCACCAGCAATCATCAACAGACATATGGCATGCCGTGTGTGCTGCGGTAAAACACGCATGCTCTCTGGCAAATGTTGCGCCTGAGAATGTTGTCGGACTTGGCTTCGCCGCTACTTGTTCTCTTGGTTTGCTCTTATCTCCGTAGTAGATGCTTGCATGACTTGTCAAGGATTTCATTGGCTTGATCAAACGGGATGCTGCTTGCAGTTGCTGTTGATGCTGATGGTTCCCCTGTTTCTGTTTCTTGGACTGGTGATGCGAGGAGGAACATCATCGTGTGGATGGACCATAGGGCTGTAGACCAAGCTGAGCGAATCAATGCTCGCAATTCGCCGGTATTGCAATACTGTGGTGGGGGTGTTTCCCCAGAAATGCAAGCCCCAAAGGTAATCGGTGTCCTTTCATTGCTCATGCATATGATACTTCAATTGTTGTACTAGTTTTTAGCTTCCTGTTCCACCCATTAGTAAAAACTGCTGAACATGCTCCTGTCGACCATTGTATTCATTGCCTGGTTGCACTTAGTTGTCAGTTGTTGGGCTGCATATTAGAAAACTGAATGGTCCAATCAGGGAACAAGTGCTAGGACAAACACTGGTAGGGAAAAACCTAACATTAAAATGCTAAAGACCTCCATGCGTGGTGACAATTTAGCATATGCATAGTTTCTGTGTGGAACATATCAACTTTTTGAAGGTTTGATGGAAAGTGGTGTCATGCCCACTTCTCTTGCTGGCCTTAGTAAAGCTTTTCTCTTGACCACAATGCTCACTTGTTTATGTTACTGAAGTCCAATCATTTTTGCTTCTTCACCAAATTTGCTCTATGAGAATGGAGGTGGCGTTAATCACGTGATGGGCATGGATAGTGATTTAGATTCAGTCACTATTTTTTAGGATGGGATTAGTTATTAAAATTGCTATGAATACATATGCGTAGTTTGGCCTTTTCACAATTTTGTACTGAGAAATGGGGAGGCACTTATATTGATGTGCATTATCTGATTGTACAGCTCTTATGGGTAAAGGAAAATCTGCAAGAGTCGTGGTCAATGGTATGTAGGTGGATGGACCTCAGTGATTGGTTAGCATATAGGTGAGAGTTCTGGATATAATTTGTGTGGTTCTTTTTTTCTCATTACATATGTATTGACTTGTAGCATGTTCTGTTTTGGCAATCCTTTTTTAGAGCGACTGGCGATGACACACGCAGCTTATGCACAACTGTTTGCAAATGGACATATCTTGGGCATGCACACATGGAACAGTGGAAGGAATCAGATTCACGTGATATGGAAGCATGTGGATGGGATGAAGTCTTTTGGGAAGAAATAGGCTTGGGAGACCTTGTTGAAGGAAATCATGCAAAAATAGGTTGAGTGCTTACACTTTCTCCATTTGGTGCTAAATCGGCATACCATTTCATGATTTTCAGATACAGACTAATTTTCTACGCAAACCAAACAGGACGCAGTGTTGCATTTCCTGGCCATCCTCTGGGTTCTGGGTTGACAGCTACTGCTGCCAAGGCAAGCAACTAGTCTGCTCATTTTCTAAAAGTGATGTTATTAAAGTTGAATTATGTGAAATGCACTATTTTTTTTCTTATTATCTAGGTCACCAAGTTTGTTGCCTACTGTTCTTATGTTGGAAGAAATGTCTGAAGTTATTTCTCAGTATTTATTTTTTATGTTTGTTTCCTCCAATTCTCAGGAGTTAGGTTTGCGTCCTGGGATTCCTGTTGGAACTTCACTAATTGATGCTCATGCTGGTGGTGTTGGAGTCATGGAAAGTGTGCCAGATGCAGAATCTAAAGCTGACAGTCAGTGTTGGTTTATCTGTATTTTTCTAAAGAAATCAGTTCTAGAACTTTATATTCATGTGTTGTGAAACATTTCTATTTCAGCGTCTGATGAATCTGATGAACAAGCTATATGCCACCGCATGGTCTTGGTTTGTGGGACATCTACATGCCATATGGCTGTCTCAAAGAACAAACTGTTTATCCCTGGTGTCTGGGGGCCATTTTGGTCTGGTATAGTTTCCTTCTCGGATCACATATTTACTTCCACTCCATATAGTTCTTGCCAGGATCTCTGTTATTTTGTTTCCGTACTTGATTTTCTGCTATCGTTGGTGAGCATGGTCAATAATTGTTATCATGATTTCATATTCAGCAATGGTTCCTGAGTTTTGGCTCACGGAAGGTGGCCAAAGTGCAACTGGTGCTCTACTTGATTACATTGTTGAAAACCATGTTGCTGCTCCTCTTCTTGCTAATCATGCTGCTTCTCAAAGTAAGTATCATGCCTTTTCATGCTTACTGAAGCATGCAATTGTGTAATTTTAGTTGTTATGACCTGTAAAAGGCGCATAATTTTCTGTTCGAACTGTCCAGGAATATCCATATATGAGCTACTGAACAAGATACTATTTTCTATGGCACATGAGCAAAATATTTCTTTTATTTCTTCCCTGACTCAAGACATCCATGTCCTCCCAGATTTTCATGGAAATAGGTAAGAGTTCATCACACATCCAGTGAGTAAGACAGACTATCTAGGTCACTTTTTTGCAGATTTCCTGTGCAACACACAAGTAACTCAGACAAGGCCAATCACAGTTTCTCTTTTACTATTCTGAATCTCAACCGTCTGTAGTGAAAAATGAAACTTTGATTCTGGCATGTACAGCTATTATTTCTTTCAGGTGGTGAAAACTGTGGTTATACATGTTAACATTTATACGTGTAGTTACAAAAGTTGCTAGAAAGTGTTTCTCTTTTCTTTTCACCCTGAATATACGTACAAAGCAAATAATATGGCATCAGTACAGCTTTTGCTAAAAGTTAATGCTGCACCAGCATTGTGGCATGGATACTTTTTATGAGATGCACACTATTTGTTCATTCTCTCCCCTTAATTTTGACATGCGAAATGGAGATGGGATGAAAGTGATTGATAAAATTCACCATGCTCTCTCTCTCTCTCTCTCTCTGGCTTTACACACTGAAAGGCATTCTTTCAATGCAGTTTACTTGACTGCACTGTTTATAATGGTTAGGTCTCCTTTGGCTGATCCAAAATCCAAAGGAATCATATGTGGCTTCACACTTGATACAAGTGAGAAGCACTTGGCGCTTCTTTATCTAGCAACAATTCAAGGCATTGCTTATGGTACTCGTCATATTGTGGAGCATTGCAATGCTCATGGGCACAAGGTATTTATTTGCTATGAAGAGTTCCAAAATGAATTTGATCTGATGGCATATATTTAAAGGCCTAGAATATGATATCTTTTTCTTCATGTGTCATAGATCGATACTCTTCTTGCTTGTGGCGGACTTGCGAAGAATTCCTTGTATATCCAAGAGCACGCAGATATAACTGGCAAGTTTCCTTGTACAGTTGTACTACAGTTATCCATCTCAATTCCCTCATTTCTTGATCTATGAATTTGGACATATACTTGACAGGATGTCCAATAATACTTCCTAGAGAGAATGAGTCTGTGCTTTTAGGAGCTGCTGTCCTGGGTGCTGTTGCTGCAAAGAAGTTTCCAGGTGTTCGCGACGCAATGAAGGCACTGAATGCGGCCGGGAAGGTATTCCCAAGTCCCAACACATCTTGGTCTCAACCTTTGTACTAGTAACTGGGATCATCTTTTATTTATAGTATTCTTAAACAACCTGCATACATTCTGCTCTTTATTTGAATAATGCTTTCTTTGCTGGTTTTACCTTTTGTAGGTTGTATATCCATCTTCAGATCCTAGGGTAAAGAAATACCATGATGCAAAATATCAGATATTCAGATCCCTGTATGAGCAACAACTCTCCCATCGCTCAGCTATGGCACAGGCATTGCAGTAGGGGCTTATGACCAGTTGACCACTTCCAGTGACCACTGAGCTGCCCATTCATTTATCTTGTGAAAACACCGTATTATGTTGCCATGTTCTCTTGGGTCATTGACATCTCATATGCCGAATTCCATGTTACGTGATCAAACTGATGATACAATGTATAAACAGTAGAAGGCAATAAGATCCTTCAGAAATGTGATGTTGGTTAGAAAAGCACAATAATGAAAATTATAAGTTCAGGGGGGAAAAAATCCAATACATGGAAATGGCTTGCATGTTCCCTTTGCATGCAACATGTTTTGTTTATCATACAGTTGAAGGTACAAGTTACAACACGTCAGCACCAGCATTTACGGCAGAAGGGCGATGAATGACTTTAGTCCTGTTTATCATCACCTTTTTTTCAGGTCACCACTCACCAGTTGCCCGGTAGGCACTCTTGTTTGCTCCTGAACTCCATGAGTTTGTGATAATTGAAGATTCATTGATTCATCTACTCATAGAACATAACTTGATTAATCACACTCCATATCAGATGAGCTTGCAGACAGCTGTCCACCATTGAGCAAGCTTGATAGGCTTCTACAGAACTGCAAGTTGACATCATATGCATTGCATTTCCGTTCAGTAAATTGTGCATCGTACTATCTTGAGGTGGAGCCAAATTGATCTGAAACAAAAACATAACACTAACAAACCTCTTTGTATGATCTCAGATCCCCAGTTGATTTGGACACCTCGACGACGCAGTGAGCTGGTGTTACCTTGATCACCTGCAATTTCTCACTTTTCAGGTAAGCTTCAATCCCTGAGCAACAGAAAAAGGACACACTACACATGATGGAAGTGATTTCAGAAAGGATATCTCACCTCGGCCGACAGAGTAAGATCAAGATTGCTTCTTGGTAGTAATTTGCTGTCCTGAATCTCCACCTGTGACATAATGAGAATTGGACTAAAAATTTCACCTGGAATTTGATAATTTCATTGGAGAAACTGAAACCATATGTTGGTGAGATGAATTACCAGAGAGCTGTTCATTCTCTTCACTGCCATGCTCACATCCTTGGCTGCAACCTTGATCTTGTCGAAGGTTTCCTGTACTGGGTGTGGCGAGGCGAGCTTTGTTTTCTGCAAAACATCGGTCAATCAATCAAGGATCTTAGTTTACTGCCGTGTATTGGTGTAGGTAATTTGTGAAAGTAATCTATTCTAAAGCTTAGTGCACCTGCTCCTGGAAGAGACCTGACAAGTCAAGATCACTGCATCTCGCTATCAATTGGAAGGCATTAATGAATCGGTCAGTTTCTGCCGTCATCTCTTCAGTTTCCTTTACCTAGATACAAGGGCAATCTTAGCAACTACCAACAGGAAAGACTGGTTGAGAGGTAAGAACTACTAGAATGGAGTAAGTTCCAAACTGTATCAAATTACCTCTGTGTTGTGACTGCTATCACTGTCTGTGCTGGCCTCTTCAATAACATCACAATCATCATCATTCTCAATCCTTGCTGATGGATTGCAGTGATCTTGGAGCCACTTATCATCAAAAATATCGCTTATCTTTGCTCTCTAAAGAACATTTAAGGTATGGTGTTATCAGCAAAATAAAGGTCGGCAACCATCCAATGCTTACATAGTGCTACATAAGTATTTATCATAGCTTACTGTTATAGGAGATGGATCCAGTATCCTGATTATAATCTTCTTCTGAGGGACACTGAGCCATTGTGGAAAAACAAACTGAGCTCGAGATATCTTTCAAGAGAAATATTTTCAGTTAGGACATCTGAAATCAGTAACAGACAGTAGAGTAAAAGGCGGTATCGTATTCGGATGTTTACCCTTCTGTACAAGTTTGTTAAGCTGCAGTCTTGAAATGGTAGATAACCAGCAAGAAGTTCAAACAGGATCACACCACAAGACCAGACGTCTGCAGCTGCCCCATCATAACTCTTGTGCTGAATCACCTGTCAAACAATCTGAATCATAAGTTGGCAATGCAAATGACTAAAACTTCTGCAAGAAACTTGTCCTACCTCAGGAGCTACATAGCATGGTGAGCCACAAGATGTGGATAGAAACTGTCCTGGCTGGATCAAAGAAATTTAAACACAGATTTTCAGAGTTGAATATGAATCATTCGGTGATGCTGATAATGTTTGCTAGCTTTTACCTTTTTTAGCACGCTGAGGCCAAAATCAGATACCTTGAGATTGCCTTGATTATCTACCAACAAGTTCTCAGGCTGTTTACATCATCAGAAAGTGCTATAAATCAGCAAATTATAGCTTATGATGAAGGGATCGAGATGATTAAAACAGGGATAGCAATTAATGAAATGAGAGCAGCAATATCTTGATTTCTTGACCTTGAGATCTCTGTGGTAGACACCTCTCCTATGGCAGTAGTCTACAGCATCAATCAATTGGTAGAAATACTTCTTCGCTTCCTTCTCATCCAACCTCTTGAGGTAACTCTTAAACCCAGAAGAAAAGAAAGATCAGGAATTGCAAGAAAAATTAGCTGAGTTAATCAGACTAGAATTACATGCTGGTTAATTGATTATGCATGATGTCTTACTAGCTTGTCAGATAGCTGCCCTCCTGAGACATACTCCATTACCAGGCATATCTTCGTCTTCGTCGCGATCACCTGCACAGGAAGAAAAGGTATAATATAATCCTCCATTCCTCCTGAAACCCTGATGCTGATACGGCTGAAACCCTGATGCTGATACGGGTAATTAGTAACCAAGCTTAATCACCTCATATATCTTGACAATGTTGGGGTGGTTGAGGAGCTTCATGGCCGTGATCTCTCTTTTGACCTTCACCAAAATCCAGATCATGCAAACTAATTAACGATCGATCAAGAACAAACTTATGGTTGTATATTTTATGGTAGAAGCAAGGGATGTAAATCATCATTTCCATTACCTAAAAAAGAAGAACCTATCTATCTATTCGTGCCTGGATCGATCGATCAATGGACTAACCACGAAACAACAAATGATAAATTACACAGATGAATTGTTCATCATGATCATGATCATCACCTGGTACATGAGGTTGTTGCGGATCACCATCCTCTTGTCGATGACCTTGACGGCGACGGTGGCGCCGGTGTCGGCGTCGACGGCGAGCCTGACCTTGGCGAACGTGCCGGCGCCGATGGTCCGGCCAACCCTGTACCTCCCAATGCTCTCCACAAACCCCATCTCGCCGTCTCCCTCTCTCTCCCAACTTGTCAAATCACACAACACGAGCCCCAAGTCCTACTACCACCACCAGCAGCAGACGTTGCCGTGTGCCTGTCTGCTCATGAAATGGCCGTGATTTTGCAGCACTTTTTTTTTTGAGGTTTTGCGATGCGTGAGTTGCTGCATTGGTGAATGGTGAGAATGAGAGATGGGAGGGAAAGGAGAAGGACAAGGAGAAGGAGATGATGGGTGGTTGGGGTGGGTTTGGAGGCGGAAACGCCCGGGGCGCGCGTGATCCCGGGATGTAACTGCCGGTCGCATCGCACTCGCACTCGCATCGCATGCGGCGATCGACTCTCTGGCTGCTTGGTCTCGTCGTCTGCCCTCGCGTCGCCGGCGGCCGGCGACGCTGCGACGGAAATTTTAACGGGAGTCCCACTCCCACTTCCGGCTTTGCGTAGGTGGGCTGCAAACGAGATCGGGCTAATTTTGGGCCTCGTTTTGCGTACGAAAAGCGCCGAAACGAAGGCCGGCCTCTGTTGCGATGTTGGGAGGAGGAAGCGTCTGGAATGGCCAGCTAGCCGGCGAGAGTGGCTTGGCATCCACGGCACGCCGGGACGGACGCACGCTGCCGACCAATCCAACTGACGGGATGTTTTATTATATATTCTTTTTATTATTACACGACATATATATTTATATATATTTATGTATATCAGGATTTAAACTCTAGCATATGAAAGTCGCGCATTCATAACTACCTCCAATAAGAGAAAATATTCTGATCCCTCGAGAGGATGTTAAGTTCCCTCGTTGTTTACATGTCACTTAAATGGCTATGAAAATTTTTTTAAGAAGATGCATTAATATGTGATGTATCACTCCACAAATATGTAACCACAAATATGTAAGTTCAAATTTAACTTCTACATCTCGCAACGAAAAAAACAATGTAGAAGTTGATTTTGAACTTGCATATTTGTGGAATGATACATCACATGTTAATACATTTTCTTCTTTTTTTTAATTATTTTGATAACTATTTGAATAACATGTAAACAACGAGAGGATATCCCCTTGAGGTATAAAATCCACTCCCCCTTAAAAAAATTGTTATATTCATCGTCTCCTGCTCTAATTATAAAGATCGGTCCCTTTTCGGAAGCTAAATCAATACATTTGTGGATAATTTATTTTTTGCGATGACTACATGTATAGATATAAATGAATGGATTTAACTAATATAAAGTTAAAATAAAGCTGGTAGAAAAGTATTGAGATGAAAATTTTTTATAATTTTACACGAAATATACATTTCAGAGCTTAGAAGACATACAAACAAAAATAAAAATAAAAAAAAATCGAGCATCTAGCGTATGTTTCGTGCGCTTCCTTGCGCCGAAACCAATCGTAGCCGTAGACTGTCTCCATCTAACGGACGTGAAGTGAAGGCAATCAATTAAGTCGACCGGCCTGATCCAGATATCATCGAGAGAGTCCCGCCCATAACTTGTTCCACGCAGCTCAATGTGATACAACCCCATATCCAGCCGCGGTCGGCGATCCACTTGATGGCTCATTACTCCCAAAAGATAGCTCCTCATCGCTCCGTTGCAGTCCCATCTCCACCATCAAGTAGAAGCAGTGCATCCGACCCATTTTAAACGTAGCAATAAGTTCTCGTGTTTAATTTTAATTATCTATCTCATTTAATAATATTGTTAAAAAATTAAAAACATAACTTACGCATAAAGTATTATTCATTTTTATTATGTAATAACAATAAAAATAGTCGTCATATAAATTTTAAATAAAACGGATGATTAAAGTTAGACACGAAAATTCATGGCTGCGTTTAAAATGGGACGGAAGAAGTAGAACTTAAATAATAGTACTCCCTCCGGAATAAAAATACTCATAATTTTGAATAAGACTACAATCGAACTTTAAAAATTGATTACAAATATCATCTAAAATATTTGTTATATAAATACTAAGGCCATGTGCATATATTAACCTTAAAAAATACTTTAAAAAAATCATGTATTTGTTAATATTTTAATATATATTATAATAAAATAAACAGTAATTAAAAATTGCAGATCATGTTCCTATTCAGAACGATTAATATTATCAAATATTTTTATTAAATCCCTTATATTATGGGAGAGATGAAGTATATTTCGTAAAGAAGCACAGCTGCCCCTTGAACAGCGCAAATCACGTGACGCAGATACTCGTGCCCGTTCAACAGCTGGGGGAGGTACGCCCAGTTGGGTCCCGCAACCGGATGGGTCGGTCGGTCGCCTCGCGACGCCGATCGATCGATCGATGGACGAAATGACGGCATCCGGTTCGTCATCACCCCGGCCCCACGCGCCCCCGTCCACATCAACTCCGTCCCTCCCTCCCACCGAGCCGGGCCGCGGAGAGCGCGCGCCGCCGAATCGCGCGAACCACCGGACGCTGCCCGCAGGACTGACGTCGCTGCTGCACCTGCACTAAAATATTTAACGCTCTCGATTTTTTTAAAAAATATTTATCCGTTTGTTTTATTTAAAAACTTTTTTGAAAGTCTTATTAAAAAATTAAGTAATTATTAATTCTTTTTCTATCATTTGATTTATTGTTAAATATACTTTTGTGTATACATATAGTTTTATATATTTTATAAAAAATTTTGAATAAAACGAACGATCTAACATGTTTAAAAAGGTCAACGGCGTCTAACATTTTGGAAAGAAGGGAGTACTACAGTAGTATCAAAAAAATCCAAATAAAGATGGCTTGGTTTCTCCTCTCCTTTGGTCGTTTTCAACGGAGATTTTTCACTCACGGAACGACAGATTCTGAATAGATCGTATAGCTGGGTTGCAATTAACGTGCAGCAGGGACCGGATATATCCACTTGTGTTGGGCTCGTTCAACGGCTACGGACCGGCACGTCCTACATATGCACTCGACGTGTTCCTCCCACAAACCACACACACACGCACACAAAGCTCAACTTCCTTATTAGTATTAACAAGTTCTATGGTACAAACACAAATTAAGTGTACGTGCAACTCTCATTCAAAACCAAAAGCAAGCTGAGAAGACGAAAAATGAACGTTCCTGCCTAACTTTTAATTTCGAGAAATTTTACTACGGAAAAGTGATTTCATATATCCTCGAGAGAAATTCTCTCGTTTCATACAGATAGTCATAAAACTAAAAGCAAGCTGACACGATGAATATGAAGGTGCCTACCCAACTTGAATTTTCACAATTTTTACTACTACTTGCGTTAATCTTTTCCCGCATTCATTTTCCGCGTAGCACGAGTACTGAGAAAAGTCTTTGGCTATAGACGTTCGTCGACAGTGGCAGTCACGCACAGGTTAATTAACGCTGAAGATCAGCCGACGATTTATATATCGATCGAGGTGGTTAGCCGGTCATTACTGTCGTCTTAATTAACTTTCGACGGCCAGGTCAAACCGCCCCCTTTTAATTTCCTTCCTCCCGTAAAAGCTAATCTTTGTCTCTTCCAACCTCATTTTGCAAAAATCGATTTAAATGCTCCGACGTTGATTGATGCCTCCCCCGGTCGACTTGCCGCTCTCCTAATATCTCCACCCCGGATCTTCTCATCCACTAGTATTTTGTGACACATAATTTCTCACTAATCACTACTACTCCTTCCGTCTAGTTTTGATAGTCATATTTTCAAATCTGAAAAAATTTATTTTTGATAGACATATTTTAATCCAACAACCTATCATTTTAATGATTTTCTCGAATTTAATGCGTGACTCACTATTCTTACACACATGATTGGCTACATGGACATTGAGAAATGTAAATATTAATGAATCGCTTATTTACGAGGAATGACTAATAGCATGTTTAAATGGATGATAAGTAGAATTACTTATCCTTGGTCTGTGTGTCAAGATGAAATATGACTATCAAAAGTAGATGGAGGGAGTACTATTCACTAAGCAAGATAAACTCTTTTTTCAAACATTTTTTTTATTGTAGAACAGATCAGAACTTGATCTGTTTCGATGCAAGTAGTATTCCATCCGTATTTTAATGTAGATTAAATGTATGACGCCGTTGACTTTTTATCCCATTCGTTTTATTTATTTTTTGTGAAAATATAAAAATATTTATCTCATGCTTAAAGAACATTTGATGATGAATCAAGTCACAATAAAATAAATTATAATTACATAAATTTTTTGAATAAGACGAGTGGTCAAACGTTGAAAAAAATGTCAACAGCGTCATACATTAAACGGAGTTGCTAGAAATATGGCGCCATATGCTACAGTCGATTTTTTTCAGCCACTTACACAGTAGTTACACCTCATTTACACCCCACTTACATATGTAATTAGTATGTAATTTTCGAATTTACAAATGTAATTTTAGTACTTACATATGTAATTTTGAGACTTACATTATAAATATACTAAAATTACATATGTAATTTAGCGACTTACAATGTAAATACATGCCGACTATTTTTCGATGAAAAATATGGCGCCATAAATATAGCTACACCCTACATTAAAATAATATGGAGATAGTAGCTGCTTGCGTCCTCTACAGTGCAGACACATGCAAAGGCTATATTATCATAAGCGATGCTGCTTATAACCAGACCTGGATGCGATTATCCACACCTTTCGGCCTAATCATGTCTACTAATCAGATCAGGAGATTTTTAAATTAGTCCCAAATCCGTGGAGCAGTGGCGTCTTGGTTGGCGCCAGTGGGTGGGCCCCACCGTTCACATGGCCCAGAAGCGACAGGTGGGCCCCCACCACCCTCCCCCCACGAGGCCACGAGACGAAACCGTTTTATTTTTCTCCACAATTTTCGCTTGGCTCGCGGCCGTCCACGTGTCCCCCCAAACCCCGCCACGTCACCATCCTACCCCCACCTACCAATCCATCCTCTCCCTCCCAAACAAACCGCTTAAATAAACCCCGGGAAATTCACCCACCCAATAAACCATTCGATTCGGAAAACTTCCCTTCTTCTTTAGATGTCATTTAAATAGTTACATTTTTTTTTAAAAAAAAGTGTATTAACATTTAATATAACAGTCCACAAACATATGAGTTTAAATTCAACTTCTATATCTCGCAACAAAAAAACAAATTAAATCGCAGCTAGCTAACATATATTGAGCTAAAATTGTTTTTTTCGTTACGACTTACGAGATGTAAAAGTTACATTTTTATTTATATGTTAGTGGAGTAATATATTATATGTTAATATATTTTCTTAATTTTTGGTGCAAGGATATCGCCTTGAGGAATCAAAATCCACTTGCATTCGATTCCTCGCTTATAAAGCGGGAGACCAGTGCACGCCTCGCCGCGCCCGCGAGCTCGTCGTCGTTAGCTTTGCTTCGTGGCGACATCGTCGAGCTCGCTTGCTTGGTTGGTGATGGAGATGGAGCTAGGGTTGGGAAGGTACTGGGGGGTTGGGAGGAGGCGGTGCGGCGCGTGCGCGGTGGCGCCGGCGGCGGTGCACTGCCGGACGTGCGACGGCGACGGCGGCGGAGGTGGGTATCTGTGCGCGGGGTGCGACGCGGAGCATGGGAGGGCGGGGCACGAGAGGGTGTGGGTGTGCGAGGTGTGCGAGCTCGCGCCGGCGGCGGTCACCTGCAAGGCCGACGCGGCGGCGCTGTGCGCCGCCTGCGACTCCGACATCCACGACGCCAACCCGCTGGCCCGCCGCCACGAGCGCGTCCCCGTGCATCCGATCGGGTCATCCGCCGCCCCGCCGCCGGACGCGCTCCTGCTCGGCGGGGAGAACGACGCCGCTGCCGCCGTCGACGGCGGCGGCGGCGGCAAGGAGGTGAAGCTGGACTTCCTGTTCGCCGACTTCATGGACCCGTACCTCGGCGGCTCCCCCGAGCTCGCGCGCTTCCCTCACGCCGACAGCGTGGTGCCCAACCACAACGGATCGGCCGGTCCCGCGATGGAGCTGGGCTTCGCCGGTGGCGGCGGCGCCGCCGTCAAACCGTCGTACAGCTCCTACACGGCGGCTTCCCTCGGCAACAGCGTAAGCTCTTGCCCTTCTCTTCCTCGATCGCGTCAAGAACACCTTGCATACTCGATCGATCGATCGCTTACATCTCCAATTTGTATTTCTTTCGATCGAGCAGGGCTCGTCGTCGGAGGTCGGGCTGGTGCCGGACGCCATCTGCGGCGGCGGCGGCGGCGGAATCATCGAGCTCGACTTCGCGCAGTCCAAGGCGGCCTACCTGCCATACGCCTCGACCCCTAGCCATAGCGTAAGCTCTCGCAAGCACGCCATGAACACAAGAAATCACCTCAAGTTTTATCAAGATCCAACCATCTAACTAGTCTGTTTTTTCTGTAACCAGATGTCCTCGTCGATGGATATGGGCGTGGCGGCGCCGGAGATGAGCGACTGCGCGGCGGCGGCGGCCGGGAGGGCGTACGCGGCGGAGGGGAGAGCGGCGCGGCTGATGCGATACCGGGAGAAGCGCAAGAACCGGCGGTTCGAGAAGACGATCCGGTACGCGTCGCGCAAGGCCTACGCCGAGACGCGCCCCCGCGTCAAGGGCCGCTTCGCCAAGCGCGCCGACGACCACGACGCCGCCGCGCCGCCGCCGCAGATCATGCTCGACTTCGCCGGCTACGGCGTCGTGCCTACCTTCTAGTGTTCTAGCTCATCGATCTGAACGTTTTTTGAGCTGGCAAATTGATCAAGCTGGCGTTGCATACGTACAACGTAGTACTTCAATTCACCATGCATAGGATTAGCCAAAGTTCTAGTTGATCACAATTCACAAACTTGAAAGTTTTTTTTACCTAGCCTGATTGAGTTTTAGGCTAGTTTCTGCAATCGTGTTTGCTAGAACGGCTATAACTAGTTGTAGTTAATCTGGATTTTCTGTATGTATGGTGTTTTGTAGTACCGATCTGATGATGATGATGAAGAAAAATATTTGGGCAAAATCGATCGATCTCATCCAGTTTCTAATTAACATGCATGCGATCGATCGATTGCGCGCGAGATCTGGATTGAGATTAATTACTCGATTGTTTGTGTGATAAATTATTGATGGGACGGCCGGCGACTTACTACTAGTATGAAGATCGTGACATGCTTGACTTGAATAATAGTGGCAAAATCTGCAAAATAGTTCATGTTCAAAAAATAATAATCTGCAAAAAAAAAAATACAAGAGACCTCGGTTTGAATTATTACAAGCACGTGTGTTGGTCTCTTGTAAAATTATTATTTTGCATATTATTATTATTATTATTTCAAATTACGTTGCAATGTAATTTGAAAAAAAAATAGGGTTCAAATTCTGTAGTCTTGAAAAAAAAAGTTTGAAAGGCCCTGCACTTTAAATGGAGCCCCAAGTCTAAAATAAAGAAAATGGGCCGTTGCGCTCATTCGGCCCAGAAATGCCTGTGAGTTGGCTCTCAGCTTTTGCCAACTCAGAACGAACCTAATTGATAATAAAACCTCCTAATCCCTAAAATTAGTAACTTTTACAAGCCATAAAAGAATAATTAACCGTAAATACGACCATCGTGTTAAATTTAGAATTTGAACCCGGTAGACTGATTCCACCATAAAAAAACCTAACAAGTTGAGCTACGCTCACTTTGCTTTAGGAGTGGATTTTGGAATTGAGCTGTGGACTGGCCCATTTTGGTTCATTTTTTAAAGCTCATTTTAGCCCATTTCATTTTTTTTGAGCGAAGCTAAAAACATTTTAATTGAATTCTAGTTTTAAAATAGGTGGATGTGAGCTCTGTCAAACAAACCCTTGGTTTTTTAGATGCTATAAGTCTTTCGTACTTTTTATCTTACGGATTACGGATGATCACAATAACGTTTCTTGAGCTCCCACGTGATGCCTTTGAAGAACTAGCATGGTGGCCCGCGCAGATTGCGTGGCTAGTATCATTATATTTTCTCTCATATAATAGCATATATGTTTTGTCATTATATTATTAAAATTTATTACAATGACAATATAATTTTAAATTTTGCAATAACTTTACGAAACTACTAATGTGTAATATTCATATTGTATTTTATATACGTGTTAGTTATTAATTATTTTTAATATCAAATTCTAGTTATTTGTAAATTATATATATTCCTATATGGACTCTAGACTTGTCTTTTAATATATTTTTTTTAATTCTGAATTTTTATTATTTCTAATTGTATTTCTACGTGGACTCTAAACTCATCTTTCAATATTCTTTAATTTTTAATTTCAAATTTCAGTTACTTCTAAATTGTATTCATATCTTAACTTTAAACTCTTCTTCCCATGTTTTTCTTAATTTTGAATTTTAGTTATTTGTAAATTATATTTTTATACGGACTCTAAACACCACTTTTCATTTTATTATGTTTATTCTGAATTTTAGTTAGTTTTAAATTCCTATATGGACTCTATACTCTACTTCTAATATGCCTTATTTTTTAATTCCGAATTTCTATTTTTTTTCTTAATTGTATTTCTATATGGACTCTATTCTCTACTTCTAATATTCCTTATTTTTAATTTCGAATTTTCATTATTTCCTAATTATATTTCTATATGAACTCTATACTCTACTTCTAATATTCCTTATTTTTAATTCCGAATTTCAGTTATTTCCTAATTGTATTTCTATATGGTCTCTAGTCTGCTCTTCTAATATTCTTTATTTTTTAATTCTGAATTTCAGCTATTTCTAAATTATATTTTCATATGGACTCTGTTTTTTCTTTTTCTCCGATTAATGTGAGAATTTTAGGTCATGAGAGCGAACGTGGAGGCTCCTTTTTATTCCGAATTTTAGTTAGTTTTAAATTCTTGTATGGACCCTATACTCTACTTCTAATATTACTTATTTTTTAATTCCGAATTTCTATTTTTTTCTTAATTGTATTTCTATATTTCTAATATTCCTTATTTTTAACTCCAAATTTCTATTATTTTTCTAATTGTTTTTCTATATGGACTCTATACTCTACTCTAATATTACTTATTTTTAATTCCAAATTTCAGTTATTTCCTAATTGTATTTTTATATGGACTCTAGTCTCCTCTTCTAATATTTCTTATTTTTTAATTCAAAATTTCTCCTATTTCTAAATTGTATTTCTATATGGACTCTAGTCTCCTCTTCTAATATTTCTTATTTTTTAATTTCGAATTTCAACAATTTCTAAATTGTATTTCTATATGGAATCTAGTATCCTCTTCTAATATTCCTTGTTTTTTAATTCCGAATTTCAGCTATTTCTAAATTGTATTTCTATATGGACTCTGCCTTTTCTTTTTCTCCGATTAATGTGAGAATTTCTAGGTCATAAGAGCGAACATGGAGGCTCTTTTTATTCCGAATTTTAGTTAGTTTTAAATTCCTATATGGACTCTACACTCTACTTGTAATATTCCGTATTTTTAATTCCGAATTTCTATTATTTCCTAAATGTATTTCTATATGGACTCTATACTCTACTTCTAATATTCCTTATTTTTAATTTCGAATTTCAGTTATTTCCTAATTGTATTTTTATATGGACTCTAGTCTCCTATTCAAGTATTCAATATTTTTTAATTCCAAATTTCAACTATTTCTAAATTGTATTTCTATATGGACTCTAGTCTCCTCTTCTAATATTCTTTATTTTTTAATTCCGAATTTCAGCTATTTCTAAATTGTATTTCTATATGGACTCTGTTTTTTTTTTCTTTTTATCCAATTAATGTGACAATTTCTAGACCATGAGAGCGAATGTGGATGCTTCCTTTTCTATTCCTTTAATAATATAATAGATTACTTGTTCTTACATATTGGCATCATCAATGATTCATTACATTTTGATCATTATTTTAGAACTGACCAAAGTTTTGTAAGTTACTGCAGTAGTGAAATTAACAAATTAATTAATTGTATGGGGGCAAATAATATACACATATTCACTGTTTCTATGCGGTCATAACTCATAAGTAATATGATTAAGTACACTTTCACAAATATTCATTTTAGTTTCTCAACAAATGATATTCTACTATTTGAGTAAAAAGTTGCATTCCCCAGAGAAAGTTTCCTGTAACTTCATGAAAACTTTTTGATGACTTAAGGGTGTGTTTAGTTCACGCTAAATTTAGAAGTTTGGTTGAAATTAGAACGATGTGACGGAAAAGTTAGAAGTTTGTGTGTAGGAAAGTTTTAATTTGATAAAAAAAAGTTTAAAGTTTGAAGAAAAAGTTTATAACTAAACTTGGCATAAGTACCTGAATTGTTTTTGAGAGTTGGAGATGTGTGGAAAGCCAACAGCTAGGAGCCCCATCGTTTGGTTTTTTCTAAAATAAAACTGAATTTATCGGTAAAACTTTTATATATGTGTTTTTTTACTTAAAAGCCAATGTTAAAAACAAATTACATTAAAAATATTTTAAAATTAAATTTAAAATTTTTAAATTTTAGCTTTTTCTTTGGCTGGCTGGGCCATCCGATGGGAGCCTTAATATTTTTTTTTTTTTTAAAAAACCTGAGCGGCTGAGCCTGACCTTGCCTCCGCCTCCGGCGTACTGTAGTCCGGTCCGGCCTCAGACAAAACCCCCCTCCTCCACGGCCGTCGCCACCGTCGCCATGTCCTTGCCACGCCTCGCCGCCTTCTACTGGCCGCGCCTCCGCGCCGCCGACCGGGACGACGTCAGAGCCGCCGGGATGGGCCACGGCCTGGACCCGGAGGGGATCACGATCACCCCGCTCATGGACATGGTGCTCGGCTTCCTCTACCAGTCCATCCCCAGGCCGCCCGTCTCCGCCTCCGCCTCCCTCTCCGCCGCCGCCGCCACCGGCGACGGCGGTGGCGACGACCGCATCAGCCTCCTCCCCGACGACATCCTCCGCGCCGTCGTCTCCCGCCTCCCCGCCAAGGACGGCGCGCGCACCGCCGTGCTCTCCTCCCGCTGGCGCCGCCTCTGGCGCTCCACCCCGCTCGTCCTCGTCGACACCCACCTCCTCCCGCGGCGGGGGGGAGGCCGCCCCGCGCGCGCGGGCGCCGCCTCGCGCGCCGTCGCCGACGCCGTCTCCCGCGTCCTGGAGGCGCACCCGGGGCCCTTCCCCTTCGTCAGCCTCTCCTGCAGCTTCATCGGCGACGACGCGCAGCGCGGCGTGGCGGCGCGGTGGCTCGACCTCCTCGCCGCCAAGGGCGTCGAGCACCTCGTCTTCGTCAACCGCCCCTGCCCGCTCCCCGGCGTGACCCTCCCCGCCGCGCTCTTCAACTGCTCCTCACTCCGCCGCCTCTACATCGGCTCATGGGAGCTCCCCGACACCGCCTCCATCCCTCTCCCTCGCGCCGCCGCCGCCGCCGCCTTCCCCAACCTGCGGGAGCTCGTCCTCGGGTGCGTGGTCATGGTTGACGGCGACCTCCCCTTTCTGCTCGCCGCGAGCCCTGCTCTGGAGACCCTCGCCGTGTTCGGGATCCTCAACACGCTGCGGGCGCGCCTCTCCAGCGGCAGCCTACGGTGCGCGCAGTTCTGCTTGTCGTTCATGGAGGAAGTGGCCGTGCTGGATGCTCCGCACCTCGAGCGGCTATTCCTCTGGAGAAACATCAAGAACACCAGGGTCAAGATTGGCCATGCTCCTCAGCTTCGTATGCTTGGTTACCTGCAGCCAGGAGTGCACCAACTGGAGATCGGTAACACCATCATCAAGGTGAAGATCAAGCCTGATTGAAAGTAGATAGACCATGTTTATTTTGGGCAATGGATGAGTTAAATGCCTGATGAAATGTGTAATCAATCTGTTCCTGGGTGCATATTGCAGGCAAGAACAATTGTGAGGCCAGGCACCACTGTCCCGAGCGTCAATATGCTGGCCTTGCACCTGCATTTCGGAGTTCGGAATGAAGTGAAAATGCTGCCCAGCTTCCTCAGATGCTTTCCCAACGTTGAGACGCTGTGTATCGAGGTGGAGTCAAATCCTCCTTTCCCTGCACTTGTTGTTTCTTCCATCATCATTACTGCATTGCATCAGATCGTTGCCTCTGTGCTTCATAGTGCATTACTAGTATATGGTATTTATCAGTGTCTTTTACAAAGCAGTAAAAATTGATAATTACTTATCTGACTAAGTGGAAGAGTGGCATAAGATCACAATTAGCTACTATATGTAATGTGAACACCTCGTGAATGATTAATTGGCCCAATAATCTGTTGTACTAGTGGTAGGCCCCATCCATTGCTCCAAGGTGCATGTAAAAGATGTTGATTGTGCAAATTGTTTGCAGTCATCTATCAAAATTTAAGTATAGCAACCATGAGGATCACTGCATGTTCCATCGACTAAATTGATTTTTAATATGTTTCTTACAACATCATGTACTAGCTTCCAGTGACAATTGATACATGAGCAATTATGAAAAATGCACTACTTATTTTTATATGTTAACAATGGAAACCAGCTCACCAATTGGGCCAACTTTGTCAACACATATTGCCCCAAAACTTTCTCTTATGCTTCATCAATACTAGAGAAATGTCTCGGCATTTATTTTGGAGAGCTACTATTAGGCTCAAAGCAGTAAAGCACATCTATGGTCCTTAATATTACTATCTATGTTGATATTTTACAGGGCTTATCTCATTTTAAAAAGTATTTAAGGTTAAAGTTTGACCATTAATTGCTTGTAACTTAACAGTTATAAAACCAACATTTTGTGAAAACACTTTGAAAATGAATCTATTGTGCTAATTTCTATACACTAAATGTACTTCTAAATTTGCTTCTAGTTTGACTAATTGTTGGTTAAAATATATGTACAATTAGACCTTTTGAAATCAAAATACACCTCATAAAAATCGAGGGAGTATGCAGTTGTCTATTCTCGCATGATAATTATGCACAAACTTAAATCTAACACAGAAAATAGAGCACCACGTATTCGGAGCCTTTGGAAGAAATAGTTACATACTTGGCATCATCAATGATTCATTACATTTGGAACATCGTTCTAGAACAGACCAAAGTTTCGCAACTTCTTGCAGTGGTGAAATCAACAAATTAATTAATTTTACGGGGCAAATAATATACCTATGCACTGTTGACATTGATCAGTGGTTATATGCTTGAGTAGGCTTTCGCAAATATTCACTCTAGTTTGTCGACAAAACGTTATTTGACTATATGAGTAAAAAAGTTTCATTGACCATACAAATTTTCCAGTATCTTTAGGCCTCTGATCACATCAGTTTTATGACCTTACGTCAATGCAGCTATTTCTTGCCATATTCTATAAACCAATTGCAAGCTTTAAATTTTGTGAAAAAATGAATGTTTAGCTTGGTTGAAAGCTTCAATTTATTGTTGTGTCATTTGAAGGAAATTACTGTATGTATTGTCTATTCGGATTAGCTTTTTAAGCAATGATTATGCCAAAATTATGAGTTAAGTATATCGAGGAGTGTCATCATCAAGGACATAAACATATTAGCCTTGCATTCTTTAATCACTCGGCGGTACCTTACCTGCTTGACGACCATATACCTCTTTTACTACTCTGCTAGATATAGGCATATAGCTGATTTTGCATTGGTATTGATTTTCAGTCTGAAGAAGCACCTGGACGCACTAGCAACATTGATGTCAACTTCTGGCAGGAGGCCGGCCCCATTGAATGTGTCCAGTCACACCTTAAGATGATGATCTTACGGGAGTTCCAAGGGGAGGAAAGCGAGCTTTCCTTCCTCAAGTTCGTCGGCGAGAATGCTCGAGTGCTGGAGAAGATGGTGATTGTGATGAAACTTGGAAGGTACTCTGCACCGGAAGAGGTGGCAGCCAAAGTGATGGATCTGCAATCTGCTAAATGGGCAAGGGAAGGCAACAAACTGGGGTTCTTGATCAGTAGACTTCGTGCAGGGGGTAGCGCTTGGAGCCTCCGAGATGGAACTGATCTGTCATGTGATGATCCTTTTATGTGCCTCTGAATTCAGAGCTCAAATGAGGCTGGCTACGTACATATTTCGACACCCAAGATTTCACCTGCAGTAGGCTAGTAGCTGTGGTGACTACTCCTAGATGCAAGGCACTGATTTAGATTGTTGTGCTGTCTTTTGGGTTGGACAGGATTCAACCAATTACATTTGTGGTGACTACTCCTAATTGCTGGATTTCTATCCACTATTCCCCCAAACAAAAGAATATCATGCCACATGTTTCTATCTGAATCTGAATGACAGAATGGTACTCTCTGAGTTCCATGCTTCGTACACCCTTTGTGAAAAGACACGTAGCCTAGTGGATGTAGTGACCTGAATAGCACCCCAGGGTCCTAAGTTTAAATCTCCGTAGGATCGAATTTCAGATTGGATTATTTGAGAGCTAAGTTTCCTATTTGATAGGCTAAGTTCCTAATTTAAAATGGCTGCATATATTGCTGAGTAAAAAAATACCATTCTCTTAAAAAAAAAAAGCTGTGGCTCCGGACGAAGTGAGTCAGGTAGGTGAAATCCACCGTTGCGGGCCTACCAAAGCTGGGCCCACGAACGTAGTCGTTGAGCGCGAAAAGGTCAGCCCAGGAGGCCCATCGAGATATGGACCCCAGTTAGGCCCAGAAAGTTCATGGCCTGGTTTAAGTCGATCTATGGCCGTTGAATCAAAAAAACGAACGGTCACTATTCTGCGGCTATATAGCCGCTTGCATGGCGCGCTCCGGTTGCCTCTCGCCGCGCCGGCGCCGGCGAGGGTCGCCGCCGGTGGCCGTGAGAAAGTTCCGGCGACTCGATTGACCGCCGCCGACGCCGGGAACAACTTCCCTCGCAAACGGACGGTGCCGACTTCGCCGGCGGCGAGTTTGGCGATCGAGCGAGCAACAAGACGATCGACCGACGATGAAATTTTCAGGTGAGCATGAATGGATGAAAGGAGCCAAATTAATTTGCTTGAGGGTGATCATGTTGATCGTCATATTAATTAGTAATTTTTTACTCCTCCGTTCAAAAATATAAGTACTTTTAGACTTTGATATGGTTTTCGAGATGCTATTTTAACCAACGATATCTGTAAAAGCAAGATGTTCCAAATAAAAGGAGTTAAATATTATGATAGTTTGTTCAATGATAAATCTAGTAACATCAATTTTATTTTATATGATTGATTTTTTTTATTTTTTTTTGCTATTAATACTCAAAGTTACAAATATTTGACATGGCACTATGCTAAAAATACTTATATTTTAGTACGGATGGAATATTTATCATTCAACACAGTTTGGAGAATAATATCTTATACAAGTTGACAGGGCACGGGAGCATCTAATCCGAGCTGTCGGCTTGCTCACGAATTCTCAACGATTCAGATTCAGGTGCTCCTTCCAGTCCACTGAGAGCATGGGCAACAGTGATCAATTGACTTAAGTTTTTTTTTTCTGTAGAATTCGTGTCAGATTATGTTCTGCATTTTAACGTGTAATGTCAATGATTATATGTAATCTGACAAAATATGTAGGAGGGGTCTATGCAGACAAGAAATATTATAGAGCTGACAGCTCACGGCCGAGAACCTGTCCGAGGTCAGGGTCAGGCTCACTTTCCATGCAAAATGGCCTTCAACAAGTCTGCACGGCCATGATGATGCTCCTTGCCGGCTCTGGCCCTTAATTTGGATTATTATTGTGCTTTTGCATGCCCTTTTAGTCCATCCATCCACCTGTAATCTCTGTTCAAGCTTTTGCCTACTTGTCTGGTATCCTCCGTTTTATAATATAATTCATCCTAACATTTCCCATATTCATATTAATGTTTAAGGATTTAGACATATATATCTATCTAGATTCATTAACATCAATATGAATGTGGGGAATGCTAGAATGACTTACATTGTGAAACGGAGGGAGTATAAATTATAAACAGTTGTTTAGTCAGCTACATCCTCAAGTCCAAACAACTAATAGTGTTTCGCAGCGATCGACCATAACGAAGGTGATAGAGAAGAGATCAGGGGCGTCCGACCTGCTCGGGAGCTAGTTTTTTTTTGTTTACTTGTATATTTTCACAGTAGAATTAATTTTAACTATTGGTTTATGAATTTTATTACTATCAATAGTCCAATGGTTTGAAAAAGGATAAGTGCTCTAAATTGATATTACTCGAATAACGATCACCGTAAAAATTGAATTTATAGATCAATAACAATTAATCCTTTAGTAGTAACCAAGTTGTATTAATTAGTTCACTCATCTAAGTGTATTTACAGTCCCTTTTACACGAGCAGTGTAAAAAAAAACTAAAAATGTTACAAGATGGAATTAAGAAATATTCAAGCATATATCTACTTAATTGTGATCTTAATTTAATTTTGTGTTGAGTTAGCTCGTAATTACAGAGCTGTGACTACTGCTGGTTTGCTCACTTGGGCTCTGCGCCTGCGGCTCACCGTCGCCGGCTAGAAACTCCGGCGCCGCCGCCGCCGCCGGCGTCTTCACCTCCGTCGACGACGACGACGACGAGCCGGAGGCGGCGCCGCAGCTGCAGCACACGGCCGCCGCCACGTCGGGCGCCGCCGGCTCGGCGCGGCTCGACGCCGGGGTGGCGAGGAACGTCGGCCGCTCGTCGCCGGCCATGATCACCACCACGTGGTCCCGCCACTCCCGCGCCAGCCCGCCGCCGCCGCCGCCCGAGCCCTTCTCCCCACCACCACCACCACCACCATCCCGGCTCTCCTCGCCGCCGTCTTGCCCGCCGCCGCCGCCGCCGCCGGCGGCGGCGAGCTTCCAGTACGAGCACGCCAGCGCGAGCAGCGACAGCGCTATGAGCCCCAGCATCGCCGCCAGCCCGCCGAACAGGTACGGCACCGGCGACTGCCACGGCGACCGCGCCGCCACCGACGCCGTCGACGCCACCACCGCGCTCGAGCTCGGCCCCGCCGCCGCCACCGCCGCCGGCGCAGGGCCGCCGCCGTGAACCATGGCGTACTCGGCTCCCGGCCTCATTGCAGTATTCAGCTTAACTTTTCTCTGTTGTTTTCAGAGAAGTGAGGCAATGTTGTGTACTCTCCTGGCTTAGTCTCCTATTTATAGAGGCCCATGCATTAATAGCTCACTAATCAAGTCACTAACATGACAAGAAAATGACAACTCCATGAGAAAACAAGATTAATTAATTAAGGTGTAAAATATGATGCAAAATTATAATTTGTTTGGGGACTGATATATTGGCATAAGTAATTTCTTCATAGGTCAATTTGTTAGGCACAATGCATGATGATGTCAAGAAAAAATAATTATCCTACATGGGTAGCTAGGATTTGGGACAAATTCAAGTGGTATGTCATGATATGACAACCCTTATAAATACTACTATATCAAAAGCTTGATTACCAAAATAAACCTATCATACTAAATTAGTAGTTAATTCCTTCCCTAGATTAGAAGGGCCTGAAAAAAAAATCTGCATCTGATTTGCCACTGGTCTTACGGCAAGGATATTCCAAAAGCACTTCTCTTTGCTTGATAAGCTTGCTAACCTGATATTCTCAGTGCAAGCATGGTTGTTAAGTATAACAGATGCAAAAGCAACTCTCTTTTTAGCTTTAGTTGGCACTGCATGGTACTATGGTTTGCTTACATATCTAACACTAACTAAAAACTCGCTTTTGCACATTTTGGGATTGGATCTCACGTTGCAAGAATCATGCTAATCTGTTGATCTGATCAGGCAAATCAGGAGCAGAGGAGTAGCAATGAAGGGATATGTCTCTCCATGTTCTGTTATAACTGAAAGCCTTTTTTTTTCTTTTCTTTTTGCAGCATTGGTAGCTAGATCTTGCATCACTTGAAGAGTTCTGATGGTATGGTTGTGAGTTGTGATGAGTCTTTGAGTCATCCTGAAACCAACTTTTATTATTATTATTGAGTTAGTTCTTATCAAGTTTGGCCTAAAAGGCAATGGTGCAATCTACAGTTGCAGGATATTACAAGCTATTAGCAACTAGTAGCAAAACCATGTTCTTATCTGTAACCTCTTTATGTTTATGTTCAATTAATCTGAAGTGGAGTGAGCATTACATGGATTGCATATGTTGGAGGAGGTTCTAGTGTGCCAATTTTTTTTAAAAAGGAAAGGCTCCATAAAATGGACCTTGGAGCTGTTTCCTATGAAATTCATGCGTTTTTTATGACTTCTAAATTTTCTCCTCGGCACTTTTTCATTTTCAATCACATAATATAACCTTTCACCTTTTCACCGAAAAAGAAAGATGCCACCTTCTGCGTATTCACTATCGATGTTGCTTGTTGCTCTTAAAAGCACTAATTTGGTGTGATATTTATAATTTTACCTTGAGAACACTATAAATTTAGAAGAAAAAAAATGCAAACGGTACACTTGGCTGCAATAATTGAGATTTTGGCGAGATTCGTTTTCTACATCAACAGAGTTTCGGTTTTCTGCGTAAATCTTTTCAGCATGCACTTCAAAACATGAAAACTACACAAAAGGGTTTTGGTTGAAATTATACACGCACCAAAGCTGCAAAAGTTGTAGAATCAAATGTGACAGATAAGGCTTTAGTGTCTCTAAAAGTAGAGGATAATGTCATAATGCTCCAGTGTGTTGCTTCATCTCTCCTACTTCCATATACTCCAATCCTTTTTTTCAAAAGGCAGTGAGCTATCATTTTTGAGAGAAAGGCAGTAGCAATCGTTTTTTATATAAAAAAAAGTTTAAGAGCTTTTAGATGCACCGTGAGATTTTAGCCACCTATAGAAAAATCAAAGGCGATTATTTTGCAAGTCGAAATGTGATTGGGAACAGTTGACGATGACAAATTGAACAGTGCACCAACGATACAAGAAGGTTGCTCTCACTCTTTAATCTCTACTTTTTCATGCACGTTGTTTGCAAGATACATGAATATACAGATGCACCCTACCTTGTGGTAAAAAACCAACCTTTACTAACAGAAAAAAAAAGCAGGATGGAAGATTTTTATTCGATTAAACACATCACACCTTAAAATCTTGACAAAATTTATGTACAACTTGAAAACAACATCGGCGCTTCATTTATATGACCTTGATAAAATCTTGTCGCAAAAATATGCCACCACTAATATTGTCAATTTTACGATATATGAAAGGTTCTAAACTCTGAATTTTGATATGGCATTTTCATTAAAAAAACATGGTAACTGAATTTTTTTTTACTGGTTAGTGAGCTGCTTCATCCAATAAATAAAAACTTTATTCAATAGCTATAGCTTGATTCTTGGACACGGTTGAACTAATTGGAGTATCTGATTGGAGTCCACTGCCAGGTGATCCATTTGGTTGGGCGATCACCATCAAGCCGGCCCATTGATTATGTCCTTTACCGGATGGATTTATTAGAACACTGCAAAAAGTGAAAAAAATGAAGACTCTCTATGCTTAATTGAGTTCACTGGAATTAATCATGTTATTCCCTTTTGATTTTTGCGTGGTTTGGGCTCACATGCATGCTGCATGCAACTTCTTGTCTGGGTGGTTGCGTGGTTTTGTCGTGTGCACGGATGAACTACTTTTGGTTTTCTGAGTTGTCCAAATAGACGTGTTCTTTTATAATTAAAATATATAATTTACCTTAGTTTCCGTTAGCACTTATTTTAAACTATTAAACAGTGTATTTCGTAATAAAACATTATAAATAGAAGTTTATTTAAAATATTAAATAAATTCATTTTTCAGATTTAAAATAATTAAAACTAAATCAATTATGTGCTAACAGATTTCTCGTTTTATGTTTTAGCGCTTAATTTTTATCCGCCAAATAAGGCTTTAGTCTGATTGGATTACCGTTAAAATCAAGTTTGACTTTGAAAGGAAATCCATTTGAGGTATTTGACTTTTAAGTTTAAATATATCTGGAGAAAAAAATGACAACTAAAATATTACGATCCGCATATATAACTCATAAAGTATAAAGCCAATTATTCATAAAGTACAAAGCCGGTTATTCTGCTTTATTGATTCTATCCTGAGATGTGAGTGTAGCTATTTATCCATCTGTTTATAGGCAGAAAACAAAAGGAAGGGTAGAATATTAACTCTTAATTGTGTTTGATAAAGTTTATCTGCAACAGATTACACCTATAGTGGACTAGGAGAAGAATCAATGGTATGAGTGGCCACTGGCCAGGTTTAGCTGGCCGATACTTATATTGATATATAATCCTTTTGCGTGTTCGCGAAAAAAAGTCGGATACTGGAGCTGGGGACAAAGAGCTAGGGCATAGCATCTATGAGAGGCCATGACCCACCTCCATGAGTTTGCCGGCCACCCGCCGCCGCCGCCGATCGCCGGGATAAGCTCAGACCCAACCGGAAGATGCCACACACAGAGAGAATAGACAAATGGGCAAAAAAGAAAAGGTGCCAGCTTTGCCGGAAAAATTAAAAAGAAAGAAACAAAGAAAGGAAGGAAATTTCGCTTGCGAATTCGCGACGCAACTGATGACGAGCTGGGTCAGTGCAAGTCGCCATCGGATGATCAAATCGCCGGGTTGCCCCCCAGCCATGCCTGATCTCTGAATTTTGCTTTCAGCTTCTCCGCCCACAGGAATCGAATCAAATCGGAGATGTTCTTGCCTGCAGGCTGGCAATGGCCGCAATTGCTGCATTGCATTCTGCATATATTCAGTAGGAGAATGGGCACTGCAGCCCAGGTGCTCGGGACACTGTTGCTGTAGATCGGATTGGACATTATCAGGACAGGAACATGACGTGTTCATTGTCTGATGATGCTACTGTTCTTCAGATTTTCAGACCCTTCCCCTGAGCAGCCGCGAATCTAGGATGAAAATTAAGGTGGGGCTTGTAGTAAATTATTATTAACTTCTATTGCTAATCAAAATTAGATTTATAATTTTTTTATAAAAAGAGACAACATGTTGTGCAGTAAAAATATATATGCTACAACGGTTTGTAGGTTACTTTTTCCTTAACTTCTTCTAAGTAAAATATGTGCAGAGTTTTATTCTGCATATACTCCTACCGAAACACTGAAAAATCTATATGTACTTCTAAACTAAATATCTAGTCTAGTTTAAGGGAAGAAAAAAAATACTATCGATCACCAATCTTGGGAAGCATAATTGGTTAGTCCACAGCCCGATATGGGCCAGCATGGCGTTACGATCGTCTTCCTCCTCTAGCAGCAATCGTGCATCCATGTATTATCTCTCCTTGCTGCTCTTTGATGATTCTCCAAGCTAACTAACACCACAGAGAGAAGGGAGACATGGGAGTTCAGGTTATTGGAGGTTTGGGCAAGTCCTAAGGGTAGATTCGCCCCTGCCCCTGAGGACGTCAAGTCAGTGGGTTCAGGATCTGAATATGATGCTGGTGCCCTTTTTCTTTATTTCTTTTCTTCCTTAGTTAACTCGATAATTTGAACAACAAAATTTGAAATTTACCTGAAAAAATTCAAACACCAAACCATGGGTGGAAGCTGGAAATACAGGGAAGCATCCGGAGATTCAGATGGTTTTGCGCTTTGAGGCGGAATCGGATTGTGCGATGATCAACTTGGCCTCTTTTCATGCCTCTGAACCTACGAGTTCACTGAATGCAGCCGATTCCGGCAGGTGCAGATGCTACTACTGATCTGGAACAGTGATCTCCAAACGAAAAGACGCTTCTTTTTTCTTTTCATCCATATGGGCAGGTCAGGCTGTCCATTTCTTACATTCTTGGTGTCACTTCAATTCACTGCTGTTAATTACACCAGCACTTATGAACAGTGCATTGCTAAATTCCCAATTCTGAATTTCTTCCTCACTTTATTTACAAAACCAGCTCTGAATTTCTGCAGCAAGAGCAAAAGAATATGAATCACCTACTATCGATAATGTGGTAGGGATGAAAACGGTCGGAAATGATAAAAAAATATCATTTTCTTTTGTTATTTCTACTATTTTTATAGAAATGGTCGAAAATAGGCATGAATGTTTCGTATTTATGAATTAAACTATTTAGTGTCAACTTCAATACATCACTGACATAAATTCCAAAGAAAATAAAATTTTGAAACGGTAACGATAGATAAAGACATTATTATTATATTAGTTTTGTGAAACGGTAGGGAAATTTCCGTAATGTTTTCACCCCGGTGTTGTTGCCTGCAGCTGCAGTACAACTACAAACTGGGCCGCTTGTCAGCAAACCTGAGAGGAAACGATTGAGATGGGCTTAAAACTAGGCCCACATGACGACGTCTCCCTCCCAACTGGGCCCACTATGTAGGCCCATGGGCCGGACCATCAAGTTGGCCCACGAGGCCCATAAAGGAGAAGCCGGAATCGCCCATAAGTAAGAGTAGTAGTCAAGAGTTTCGGATACGCACGCCACGCGCAAACCCGATCTCTCCAACCTTGCGAAGGCGAAGCCCCCGTGAGATCTCCGGCCGCCGCCGCCGCCGCCATGGACGCCGTCGACTCGGTGGTCGACCCGCTGCGCGAGTTCGCCAAGGACAGCGTCCGCCTCGTCAAGCGCTGCCACAAGCCCGACCGCAAGGGTGAGCGCCAGATCCCGATCCCGACCCCGATCCCGCTCGAGGCCTCCCGATGGCGCCGCGCCAGATCTGATGTTTGTTTGGCGTTTGCTTGCTTGCTTGCTTGCAGAGTTCACCAAGGTGGCGGCGAGGACGGCGATCGGGTTCGTCGTCATGGGCTTCGTCGGCTTCTTCGTCAAGCTCATCTTCATCCCCATCAACAACATCATCGTCGGATCCGGCTGATTTGAGCACTAAGGTATATATATATATTCTCTCGTCATGATCTGCCTCGATCTGGTTGCTTCGTGTCGATCGATCTCCGTGTGAATCCGGTTGTGTTTGTGGATGCGATGTGTTGTGCAATTCGGTAGGGGTTTAGTATCAGTTCGCTTATATGTAATTCTGCACAATCCTTGAGTATTTGTTTGGAATTTGGATATTCCACGCAGCATCATGTTTTGGTTGATACAGTAATCAACACCAATTGCTATGAGATCACCTTAATCCACACCGAATTGACTTAAATGCATTTATTTGGGTACTTTTAGCCTGGGTTGAGGTCAATTGTAGTTAAGTGGATACCATGATGCCATTTTATCTTTTGACCTTACTCATTTTGCTGAATCCTAGTCTCTTGGAGAACATTTTCTTCTGAATTTTGCTGCAGTAGTGTATATGTACGCTCTCCTTTTGATGCCTGTAGCGATGACCGATGCAAGTTTATACTGTCCCTTGTTAGACAACTCGGAACAATGAGTTTCTTCTGTCCTACATCTCCTATTCTCTCCTGCATTTCAAGAGCAAGTGTTGCATGCAGGTGCCATTGTGTTTATGGATGTAATTTTCACGTGTTATCGGTCTGCAAGTGCCAAACTTCCAGACTTATAAACTCCAAGAAATGTTCCAGCCTGCTTAGGCAACTTTATCATGTTCTATATCTACTTATAGAACTTAACTCAAGGCCCATATCAATTGGTAGTTTAGTAATTTCAGCTATATGTTTTTACGGGACTGTTGTACCTTTGTGTCTTAGCAAGACAGTGTGCTACCATGATTTAGCTTTATTTTGCCTAGTTTCTATGCATGTGCAAGTGTAACCACACATATATAACACAAGCATATCTTGTTAGCATATGCAGATGTACTAATTCATACTTTATCAGCTTGGTTTGAAAAGACTGTTGAGAGATGCTTAGGCGTGTGTTTTTCTCTTTACTATGTCAGGTTCGATCAAGAAAAAAAAAGTAATAGCTGATTTGGCAAATATTTATGTTTGTTTAGTTTAGCTCAGAAGTTTCAGTGGTATAATGACTAAAATAAACATTACCATTTCTGTTTTAACAGCTTGAAAACCATTCTTATAAGATTTTGGAACAATAAATATAAACCTTGAATCCTAGTTTTGAACCCAGAAGCCTTGGATCCTTCTTCTTAGTCTTGCATGAAGTGTTAGCTAGCTGTAACAAGCTAAAACAAATACCACCTCTGGTGGCCTAGCGGTAGCAAACCGGATATATTAGTTTTGCATGATCAAGTGTTAATGTGTATGTAATCCACTTCACCTTGTCTCATCATGACCCTCTTGCAACCACTGACCTACTCCAGCTTCCGTTTTGCTGTCATGCTTTTTGTGTGTTGTGTTTTGCTTCGGATGACTATATTCTGTTTGTGATCAGTTCTAAAGGATTTTGTTGCTTATCGTGCAGGCAAGAATTCGCAGGAGTTGAGGGTGGCGTCAAACATCGCAGAGACGGCTCCACTTCTCCGTTCCTGATGATTTCGTAAAGCAATCTCTGTAGGACCTTGTTGTTGAGTACAATTCCCCATTTCTTTCATTTGAAAGAAACAAAATACATTTTGCTGCCTGGAACGTTTTGTACCTGATACCGAGTAAACTTTATGAAGTAGTAGAGAGTAACAAAGTTTACAAATATCCCTTCTCGGTTGCATTGTCGTCTGTGTAATGGTGTGTCGTGCCCATCTCACTGCAAAGGTCACAAGGTTAACTCCTTTACTAGCTGCATGCAGTACTGTTCACAGACCTGTGGTTAGACGCAATTACAAGTGCGTCCTGATTATCACAAGTAATTGCACGCATGTGCAGAGATTAGGTACCAACCATGATCTTTCAGAGAAGACATAGAAAGGAGAACGAAAATGTAACAAGCGTCTCATGATCTTTCGTCAATACTACAATATATGGAGTACATAGAAACCTGGGCACAACTCATGACGATGATGATTATCATCGTACTTGAAAAACAAAAGCACAACCCATAGACGATGATGCTGAATTGATGATGATCATCATCGTACTTATATAATGTAAAAAAACAAAGGTAAAAAAGAAAAGAAAAGAAGAGAGGTTAAAGGCAAACCAAAGGGCACACGGTTCATCTGTAGTGAGTGTTACAAGACAACATATGGGACGGACGACAAACCGCCAAATGTCGTAGCAGAAAGGCGAGATGCTAGTGCTTGCTGGAGATGCTGAAGGAGGTGACCTTCATGGGGGTGGCCACCACCAGCGGCGCCTCCGGGGTGTCGCTGACGGCGTACTTCTCGTGCATGAAGCGGCTGGCGACGATGGACTCGTCCTTGGGGATCACCTTGTAGCAGTAGCAGCTCTTGAGCCCCTCCTGGCACTGGTAGCACTCGTGGTGGCTGTTCTTCACCTGGAGGAAGTTCCACACCACGCTGTACTTCCCCACCGTCGCCACCAGATGCCTCTCCTGCTTCCCGTTCTCGGTCACCTACACCGCCCACACAGCACATTCACAAACATGAATTTTTGGGTTTGCAGGATGCAACAAAACCAACGATGTAAACGCATCAGCATTTGTATTCTAGTTTCATAATGACTAATAATACTTCCAAATTCCCAAGAGAGCTGGTTTTCAACGTATCATGGTTGATCAAACATACAACACTCCGGCATTTCTTAGCTACGCATACACCACAAAATATGGGGAAAACATGCAAGTGGAAACCATTACTAAGGTGGAAACTTGGAAATTATGCACAAAACTTATCAGAGAAGTCTAAGACAAAACTCACATATAGGTAATGTTATACTATTTAGGTAACCATATAAAAGTTCAAGATCAAGCTCGTGTACATTCACAAGGTATGAGACTAACAAACAGCGAAGAGAAAGAAACTATTCCTGATTGTCTTTTTGTCCATTATTTATCAATTATCTATCAAACGTAGTCAAATTTCACCCTCAGATTTTGTATGGTGTCAAATATTATCTTAGCTACATATTCGATTGTTTTGTGATGTTTTGAGAACATTCGTGCTTTGTTCTACATAGTTTCCACCATATATTTACTCTACAGCACAAAATGTGTGCTACTGCTGAGCATCAAAATAAGATGTGAAACCCCAGTGTAAAGCTTTAGGCTTTTAGCAACTACCCCTCGTTGTCAAACTTATGCAAGTAAAAGGTTGACACGAACAGCTTAAAGTGAGTCACTAGTTTTTAACAGCATGCGTACATTGCGAAAACAAAACATTTTAGCACTTTTTCATGGTATACTTCAAGAAGCTAAAATATAAGTTGGGATTTGGTCATAAGAGAAATAATAACATATGTGTTGCCAATCAAATCCAATTCATCGATCACTATTTTGGTCAAATTGCCAATGTCATACACAATACCCGAATCACAGTAGGCATGATCAATTTTAATGAGCGAAAGCTACAAACCTACAATACGGTTTTGCACAAGCAAATGGCTGAACAACTTCAAATGATTACTATGTACACATTATGTGGGATTGTGGATATACACCTTCATAAATTCATGGTTTCAGAATGCGCGAGATAACAAAAGACAGTTTTAACCATGTGAATTGATCTTGGTTAATGCACAAAAAAGTAAATTGAAATGAAGTGGAAGGCTATACTCACCCATGAGAACCTCCCTTCACGGAATATATTATTCTGTCCAGCAAGATGTGAATCAAGCGGGGTCAGCTTGAGCAACCTTGGGGCAGCAATTCTGTTGCCCATCCTCCCTCCAAACCCTGTCTTTTCCTTCCCATCCTTGTCAATGAAGATGGTGCATATAAGAATCAAGTACGTGTCAGTAGTTCCGAGGATCCACTTTCCATCGTAGGTGACGTCGACATGAGTAATTGGTGAACCCAGCCCTGGGAAGGCTGTCTTTGCCATTCTCATAGAACTCTTCGAGTACAGACGGACTTTCCCATCAAGTGAACCAACAACAATTGACCCATCTCCTGTTGACGCGAAACACTGGAAGTTGGTGCCCCTAGAGAACTGATGCCCCTGTGTCCATTGCAGGACCGGCGACTCTGTAGCACTGGCTATGTTCTGCACAATCCCCCGACGGTCCCTCATGTCCCAACGGCATAACCTGTTGTCATCAAGCCCCAAGAAGGTAGACTCTGATGGGTCCATTTGCGCACCCTTGGAATCATTTGTGATATCCCTCATGTTAATATCTGCTCCGTCCTTCCCAAATTTCCATTCTGAGACGACCTTTCCGGTCTCAATGTCCAGCTGATGGACACCCTTGGCATGAGGCTTCCCATCAGTTGCCGGGCTCATCAGGAGCATGTTTGTCTCCGCACGCATAAGAAGCGCCTTCTTGGGTGTCGAGAAGTTTGTGCTCCCTCCGGAGAACTTGACCGACACGCCCTTTCCGTGTATCCCATGCTCGAAATTCCTCACCACCTGGATTCCCGAATCACCAACCAAGAAACTGTTGTCCAATGCACCAAGCGCAAGGCTCTGTATCCCTCCACCTTCCTCCACTGGCTCCTCATACTCCCTCAAGTCCTCCATGAGCGGCTTCAGAATGGGGCTACGCGACGGCATCGGGCTGCGACTCGGGCTCGGCACAAACCCGTCTGTCGCGTCCTCCCAGATGGACTCGTCCCCGTCCTCCGGGCGCGCCCACGCCGCAAAATCCTTCCCGAACACCTTGGCGCGGCCCTCATCGGTGGCGGCGACGCCGTAGCTGTTCTCGAACAGGCAGCTCTGGTACTTGGCGTAGAAATTCGGGTAGCCATCGGCGTGGAGAAACTTGAGCGCCCAGACGCCGTCGGCGACGAAGTCGACCCGGCGCTGCGCGGGGAACGTCTTGAGCTGCAGCTCGGGCCCGACCCTGGCCCGGATCTTGGACCCCACGACGAGGCACCATGGGCCGGAGGAGGGGGCGTCGTCGTCGTCGTCGTCCCCGGCGCGGACGAAGGAGGCGGCGGCGAGGCGGTCGGAGATGATCCAGCGCGCGGAGGGGGAGGAGCCGCCGATGTGGAGGTAGAGCTTGACGGCGTTGAGGGCGGCGGGGGCGGCGGCGGAGGTGGGGGAGGGGCTAGGGTTGGGGGAGATGGGCTCGGCGTACTTGAGGTGGAGGCTGCGGAGGTGGCGGTCGATCGCGTCGATGGAGGCCGGGGTGGCCGCCGCGGCCGAGGACTTGGCGGCGCTGGGCTTGGCGGAGGAGGAGGGGGGTGGGGTGGCGAAGTCGGAGGAGGCGTCGGAGGCGTGGGAGGCGGAGTCGTCGTCCTCGGAGTCGGAGAGGTCGAGGTCCTCCCGGCTGTGCGAGCCTCCCATGGCGGCGGCGGCGGCGATTAGGGTTTCGGCGAGGAGGGGGAGGGGGAGGGGGAAGGGGAGGGAATTTGAAATTTGGGAGCGGAAGGAAATGGAGGAGGTGTTGAGATCTGGGGGAATAATAAACGTTGGATCGAGGCTCTGAATTGAACACACCCGAACGGCACACACGCTCCCTCTTCAAATTGACCAGTACGTAGTTCCGTACTAGTACCTCCAAATACCCATATTTTATCAAATTTTAATACAAGTAATATTTCTTATTTTCATAATTTCCGATGCAATGATTACTCAAAAACTAAATTTATTTTGGGATAAAAGGAAGAAGCTAAAAATGAACTTATTATTATGGGATAGAGAAATTACTAAGGCCCCGTTCGAATCCACTTAAAAGAGTGGATTAAATTTTGAATTAAAGTGGCACACTTTTTAAATTACTAAACGGTGCGTATCGTGCGAAAACTTTCTATATGAAAGTTATTCTAAAATACCAGATTAATCCATTTTTTAAGTTTGTAATAATTAAAACACAATTAATCACGTGTTATTATCACCTCGTCTTGCATGAAACACTTAATATTTATCTTCATCTTTATCTTAAGGAGATTTAATCACCACCTAAGTACTGGTATATATACTTTAGGCCCGTTCTTGAATTTATTTTCTATAAGTAATTAAGATGTAGATTTCACCTCGATTTTTGTTATGGGTTTTTAAACTGTTAAACGGTCATTTCTCGTAAAAAAACTATATAGAAGTTAATTTAAAATATCAAATAAACCCATCTTTTTTTCAAATTTATAATAATTGAAACTTAATTAATTATGTGTTAATGTTTTTCTTGTTCTGCATGTAATAACTTTATCTTCATCTTAATCTATCTAAAACACCACCTTAGTACATGGCACGCAAGTTGGTGCTGGTTTTACATCGATTTTGATACTCACTCTACTTTGATTGCTGAATTTGAATATGAACTGATTTGTTGCCATTTGATACTGTAGTACCTTATAGTACTCTATTTTGAGCTCTCTCTGTTTTTTCATGAATAGCCTAATAGGTTTTTTTTAGATAATGCATAGCCTAATAGGTGAACAGTTGAATGATTTTGTGATAACTGTTCGAAGGTTTGACCGAATGAATGAACTAGGCATGCCAATTAACTGTTATAAAACTGAATATTGGTTTAAAAAGTAATTTAAAGAAATTTATATGGAGAAAGTTTTTTGCGAAAACTACTTCGTTTATGAGCCCGGGAAGCATTCCACTAAATAGAATCAGAATGATTCCATTCCTTTGAAAAGAAAACACAGATAATATCTCAGCGGACTACGATAATTCAGTCGTTTTTAGCCAATTCTGATGAAAGTTAGGTGTCTCATGTCTGACTATCTCTGGTAAAGCGTGATGCACATATGTCATATGCAAGACAAGAGTTCGGGAAAAGAAGGGTTTTATCTAACTTCTGTACGATTTACCATAATGTACACTAACAATCTTCATTTCTAGGACCTTAATAGAAATCACACCGCTGCACAAACGAAAAGTCATTTTCAGCCATTTGGTCATTTAGATCTAAATTTCCAAGCAGGAGCACGCAGTTTCTTATGAAATCGCTACTAATCTCGCAAAATAACGGAGAAATTCCTGTGTCCAAAAACAAAGCACAATATGCAATATTGCAAACGCTCTGCAATGTCATCTCCGACTTGAGAGAGTTGAGAGGCTCATGGCTACATAACAGTACTCATGTCTAAAGTTTTTCTCAGGTAGTTGTTTTCATTATGCCTATTTTGAAAGTAATTGTGGCATATTAGACACTAGGATATCAGCATGATAAAATGGTCAGCAGATTTCCATACGATAATGTAAAGCAAACATGATTGCAACCAATCTGGCATTTCTCGAGTCCTCTCCTCTGCTTTCCAACAAGAGGGAGGAGGATGCAAGAACGAGTCAACAATGATGAACAAAATCAGAGGTTCTACTAGTATCAGCATCAAGAAAAACCAAGAGATTCTGGATGCAATCATCAATCGTGGCATCGTAAAACACTGTTGGCGCACCAGTGATCAGTGTATCACTTGTACATGTAAACCGTTATATTTATCAGTCACCACTAAACAACAAACAGTATTGTGAACATCGTGTCTGAACTCTGAACTCTGAAAATGGCATTTGTGATTCGTCCCAGTCAAGTATCAGTGAGGTACATACCTAATTCATCATGATCATTTGAAATGAGGAGCGGCAGTCTTCATGGAGAACACATCACTTTAGCTGGGAATTACACCTATTTCATAACACCTGATAGTGTTTATGGTAAAAGATTATTATGAGATTAGCTATTCAAAAAGACTAGGCTTGAGCATGTTCTGCCATATGAGAGTATATGACGAGATCTTTGGAATCTTCGTCCCAGATAAATATTGCAGACAAAATGACCTCTTAAATACTGAAATTCTGAAACAGGCTCCTGGAAAGGGGCACTGGTGTTATGATGCTGCTCAATGCAGTTAGAAGGTCACACGACAACAATAAATTGCACCCATACCATACCAGTGGCAGGACCAGATGCATAAATGGAAAGGATATTCAGATCAAACAAAACCAAACATCAAATATCAGCGGTCCTGACTCATGAAAAAGCAATTTCCATGAAGCAGAAAACGGGAACATCCCAATACCAGGCTGGGACAAAGGAAAAAATCTTGAATCTGTCGAAAAAGTTATCCTTCTTTCTCATGTTAGAACTTAGAATATGGTACATACGAAATGGAGAATTTCAGCCATCGCTGCTATCCATGGATAAGCTGAACTATGCATCCCATTAGTTTCCAAAATCAAAAGAAAACCTCAAATGTAGTTAACACCTAGAGCTAGAAGATGAGAAGAGTTAAGCAGGAGTCAAGTGACTGGATCAATCAGGCTACCTGGTTTTTGGAGTAAAAGCAGAAGTTTCCAACAGCTCATCATCTTGAAATCTTGACATCACAGTGCTAATACTGAACAAAAGCAGTACATCAAAGACCATTTCTTAATTAGCTTAGGAGAAGTTTCCTACACTCATTCACCTCAAGTTCCTGAATTTTGACATCTATGCGCTATTATTGTACGAAAAAAAATCACACAGAGATTATTTGTTTTGTAAGAAATCTTGACATCATAGTGCTAGTACTGAACAAAAGCAGTACATCAAAGACCATTTCTTAATTAGCTTAGGAGAAGTTTCCTACACTCATTCACCTCAAGTTCCTGAATTTTGACATATATGCGCTATTATTGTACGAAAAAATAATCACACAGAGATTATTTGTTTTGTAAGCTACTAATAGTATTAAACTATTAATCAACCAATGATCCCGATCCCAGAATCCCCACGTTTCCAACACACCAACAATTCATGTATGAGTATGAAAATTCACAAGTTGCTGTGCAAGCAACATGATAGGCATAAACTACACAATGCCTACTACTGCAAGAAAAACTACAGAATAGTACAGAGTTAACGCCGCAAGATTATGTGAAAAGGGAAACTTGTATGCATGCTTTCGTTTCTTCTTTGGTTACAACAGCAGAAAGAAGCATGCAAAATGTACAGCTAAAACTAGTACACTACACATCATGATCAAAGTAAAGGCATTTAGCCGAACACCTAACGGGGGGGCCAAACCTTACAGAGTTTACATGGGGGTTGCGTCGCCACCACGGCGGGTGCGCGATTGGCAGCGCCTTTGCTCCCTTCTCACGGCAAGGATTTCTCGCCATCAGCTCGCGGAGGCGGAGACGGAGGCGCGGCAGACGGGGCAGGCGGCCGCCCTGGCGAGCCACCGGTCGACGCAGGCGGCGTGGAACGCGTGGCCGCAGGCGGGCAGCGCGCGCCACCGCTCGCCCGCGCACGCGGCCTCAAGGCAAACAGCGCAGAGCTCCGGCGAGGCGGAGGCGGAGGCGGACGCGGCGAAGCAGGGAAGGAAGCGGAGGTCCGCGGGGGAGAGGCCGGCGCGGGAGGGCGTGTACGAGGTCTCCGGGACGCGGTACCGGCTCCTCCCGGCCCCGCCGTGGCGCTGGTTCCGGAACGCCCGGGCCGCGACGACGAGGTGGAGCAGCAGGATGGCGGCCGCCGCGGCGAAGAGGAGGAACAGCGCGAGCGCGGCGGCCATCACCGCCGCCTGCACGCCGAGCGACAGGAGACGCGCGCCGGCGCCGGCGCAGTCCGGCCGCCGCCGCCGGTGGCGCCTCCCCTTCCCGTCCTGGTCCGCGGCGGCCGCGGCGTCGCCGGCGGCGGGCGGGGGCGGGGCCATGTCGCGCGCGCGCGGCCGCGTCGGGGGGGTCGGGTTCGGGTCGGAATATTCGGCGCGTGGGGAGATTTTTTTTCTTTCTTTGGGGGGGGGGGGGGGGGGGGAGGCGTTGCGGTTTCGGGCGGTTTCAGGGTGCACACATTGTTTGGCACTTCTCGTCACGTACTTAAATCCCTTCTCCTCCATTTCATAGAAACTTTTTTTTTCCCAGAAAAAACAAATAAGTTTGTTTTTTTTAAGGTAGTGTCACTTTCTATCGAAGAAGAAGATAGAGCACGTAAAAAAAATCATTAGCACGTAATTAATTGAGTCATAATTGTTACAAAGTTAAAAATGAATTTATTTGATATTTTACAGCAACTTTTATATAGAAAGTTTCCGTGTGAAACACCTTAACGTATGAAAATTAAGATAAAATTGATATCTTGATGAGAAAATAATACCATCTAAATAAAACTTCTACAAGTGGAGTATAGTTGATTGCCCTCGAGAAGCTCATCCGAATGCGACCGAGTAGAGGCAGATCCAGGACAAAATTATAGAGGGAACTCATCATCTTCCTCCATTTTCCTTCCTACCAATGATATCCAGCAAGGTATAGGTCACTCGAGTTCCCCAACATCCACGTTGGATCCGCTCCTGCGACCGAGTGAAGGCTAGTAATAAGATTGTTTTCTCCTATATTTTGTTCTCTCTAAATATGAGAATGTGTAAGCAGGAAATTTGGTAGCAAATCATTTCATGGTGTAGGACAATAGGTGGATGTTGTCGTATCAAATTTAGTTTTGTTAGCGATTTCGATAGTGACGTTGGAGAATGAATTGATGGAGAAAATGATTAAGGCTGTTCTTTTTGGATGAAATACGTACGGACAACGACTTGTTGATAATGGATTTACCTATCAGGATGGACTAAATATTGTATGTAAATAGCATGAATAAGTAACCGACTGAACGTGGACGTAGAAAGTTTTAGAAGTAATTAAAGAAATCGTACTTTTAAAAGCATGGTGTGATTAATTAATCAATATATAAATAATTTAGGCTAATAATTTAAAATGAAGGGATTGTTTGAGGGGGAATTTACTATTTGCCACTCTCTCAAAATGCCAGTGCTCAAATGCCACTCTCCCAAATTTTCATTCCCAAATGCCACCCGGGCCCACATGTCAGCCTCACTCAGCATTGGGTCCCGCATCACTTTTGTTTGAATGGAAAGTGAGGCTGACATGTGGGCCCGGATGGCATTTGGGAATGAAAATTTGGGAGAGTGGCATTTGAGCACTGGCATTTTGAGAGAGTGGCAAATAGTAAATTCTCCCTCATATATAGTTGGCTAAGCTCATACTAGTTCCCTAGCAATTAAACTCATATATAGTTGGATATTGTGTTAAAATATATATGTTCATCTTATATGGACTTTAAACGGTGTAGAGTGATCCAGATTGCAAGAAAGTAAAGATTACCTTTGATCATCTTTATGATTTCAATATATACATTCAATTCCATTTACTACTCCCTCCGTTTCGTTTTTAAAAATCTCTACGTTTGACTAAGTTTATAGAAAAATATAGTAGCACTTTCAACACAAAACAAACATATTATCAAAATATATTCCATGCTAGATTTAATAAAATTAATTTGATGTTTAAAATATTGCTAATTTTTCTATAAGCTTAGTTAAACTTAATAATGTTTGACTAAAAAAAGTCAAAATGACCTAAATATTAAACGGATGGAGTAGTAGATATTATATGAAAGCGCCGAGCATGGGAGGCAAGCGTGAAACGCGTGATAGCAAAAGAAAATATTGACATACAAATCACACACACACACACAAAATTGTGATGGCTGCATATAACATATATACTGCACAGAAAAATGGTAAACTTAAAAAATGGTACCCTCTCATTTGGATATGAAGTTTAACCATTCTTCTTATTAAAAAAAAACTCGAATATGTAAAATACCATGCTTAAAATACCTTCAATTATAAGAACAAGTCTTATAACAGTCAAAATGATGCTAACCATTTTTAAATATAAACCTGTTGAATCTTTGACATATTGTTTGTCCATTCTTTTTATTAAAAATTATTTGCAAACATGAAAAATATAAGTAATACTTCAAGTACCTTTAATAGTATGAGTAAGACATAGTTTTATTAATTAAATACTACTCCATACTCATAAAATAAGTCGTTTAGGATAATATTTAAGTCAAACCTTGGGAATATAAATCATGAATAACTCTCAAGTTGTTGAGTTTGAAAATATAAAAAATATATGTATAGATTTGTCTTGAAAAATACTTTCATAAAAGTATATATATTACTTTTCAATAAATACTTTTATAGAAATAAGAAGTCAAAGTTATGTTTTGGAGACCGTGTCGTTGTCCTTAACGACTTTCTTTACGAGTATGGAAGGAGTACATAATTAAGATGAATGGTATTTGCAAAAGCCAAGGGAGTGATATAATTGAAAATGAAGGAGAGTACGTACTCCCTCCGTCCCAAAAAAGATAAACCCTGGGTTTCCGTGTCCAATTTTGACTGTCCGTCTTATATGAAATTGTTTTATAATTCGTATTTTTATTGTTGTTAGATGATAAAATATGATTAATATTTTATGCGTGACTTGTCTTTTTAATTTTTTTTCATAATTCTTTTAAATAAGACGGACGGTTAAACGTTGGGCATGGAAACCAGGTTTGTCTTTTTTTTTTGGACGGAGGGAGTACACAAGAAGGTGTTTGGTTCCACTTCCTTTTCAGAACCCATGAACCATCAGCTATCAGCCTATCAACAGAGTAAACAATGGTATCCCTAACCCGTATCCATATCTAAACAGTAGAGTACAGTAGCAGCGGATAAGGCACAAAACATAAATAAAGGGACTAGGTCCCGATTGATTTGACTGAATTTTCGTAGGTAGACCTGCAACAGGATGCTATTCGGTTTTCCCGGTTTTCTCGGTTCCCAAAAAGATTGGTTTTAGATATATTACAATTACAAAAGAAAAATCAAGCCAACTAAGCTCCTATTTGTTTCAGCTTAAGATTATTATAATCTTTATTGAACCATATTACTATAAGCTAGATTATAGACAAAATTGGTTATATAGCATCAAAAGTTCACGTTTTTGGTTTTACAGCACCGAAAGTTACCGGTTCACTTTAATAGCACCCAAAGTTCACCCTGTTCCATTTTTAGCACTTCCGTCAATTTTTCCGTCCGTCTTGATCGTTATTGATCCAGCCACACACACGATATGACATTTCTACCCCTCATTGACATGCATTATACTTGTACTTGTGAGGGGTAGAAACGTCATATCGTATGTGTGGCTGGATCAATAACGATCAAGACGGATGGAAAACGATCGAGAATTGACGGAAGTGTTAAAAATGGAAACATGGTGAACCTTGGGTGCTATTAAAGTGAACCGGTAACTTTCGGTGCTATAAACCAAAAACGTGAACTTTCGATGCTATATAACCAATTTTGCCTAGATTATAATAAGTCGATATAGAATAAATTGTTAGCTGTTAGCCACCCAATAATCTAAAAAAATGCACCTTTAGATTGGATTACCAAATTACAGTAATCTGGCTTATAGTAATATATCATAATAAGCTATCTGTTTGTTTCAGCTTACTTTCAGCTATCTAAATTATAATAATTTTAAGCTGAATCCATTAACCGAATACATTCGGTTTGCCTTTTTTTTTTCTCGGGTGATCCCGAACAGGATGTGACCCTTTATTTGAAATGTACGCTAGCAAGTAGCTAGTAAGTACTTCCTCCGTCCCATAACGTAAGAGATTTTGAGTTTCTATTTGCACTGTTTGACTACTCGTCTTATTAAAAAAAATTTAGAATTATTATTTATTTTTTTGACTTACTTTATTATCCAAAGTACTTTAAGCACAACTTTTCATTTTTTATATTTGCACAATTTTTTTAATAAGACGAGTGGTTAAACAGTGCAAGCAAAAACTCAAAATCCATTATATTATGGGACGGAGGGAATAACAAACATGCTAAACCAAAAAATAAGAATTTAAAATGCACAGCCAAGTGCATAAAAAGCTTATCTAACTGGATAGTAGATGGCACAATTCCACCAGATATTTAGGGTACCAGATAATATACTATACTAAAGTACTGAAGTTTCTAAAATCATACAATAATCATTTGTCTAAAAGCAATAGGAAACTCCCAACAGGTTTATCAATAGATCGATCATACTGCAATACATGTGCACAGCTGACCGGTAACGTTACAGCAAAACTGGGTTACAAGAAACTCCAACTTAAGTACTTGGCCAAAACTAGACTTGATTAGTTGATTGCAATCAGCTACCCACCAAATTCAGCATACCACAGCTCACATCCAAATTAAAAAAACCAAAGAAACTAGTAGTGGATACCCCGCACATTACAGTGGGAAATTTAAAAATACTTCAAAGAAAAACTCAAAGAATATAATATATAAACCGTGTATTCTCGTGATATCTAAATGGACTATATTTGTTCTACAATTGTTGATTTGAAACTGTAATTCAACATGACAATTGAATGAATATGTATCAAAGACGAGAGATCTAATGGGTATTAGTTTTTTTAGGTATTATGGTGGGTTGTACATGTATATAACAAATGGATAGTTGCGATCGAAGTATGAGAGATATTCAATGGCTACTATTTTATAGATAATGTGACTTAATATATGCCAAGTTTTTGTTTCAACTATATAGAATATATATAGATTAATCAAGATTAGAAAAACTATGTTCCAGCTCCTAGTGCTAGTAAAACGATATCTCCTGATACATACAAGTTTTTTTAGGGATTAAGCTTGGACACAGGAGCCATGGGAGACTTGGAAATATACCCACTTTTTTTGGCAAAAAGTTCTGAAGCATAATCCAAAGAAAAGCAAGCAATATTTAGTCAATGATCAGCAACAAGAAAGAAAGAACAACATAATCTCTTTATTTTGTACCTTCTTCAATCTGGGCCAACCTTTCAGGGGAGCTTTGCAGGCTGCAAACATGGGCCGCCTCCCTTCGCGGACGCAGCCCATCAGCACCCCAGTTTCCAACCTTCGGCCTTGTACGCATGAAAGAGATCGTCGAAGAGAGCCTCACTGCTCTCTCCACTGTCAGATCTTCCAATCCGACGAATCTCATCCATCCATCCATCCCCTTTGAGCCAAAAACAAAAACCACAAAGAAACAGAAGCAAACACGGTGATCGAACTGACAGTGACCGATGAGCAACGTTTGCCGGGATCATGCGTAATGCAGCAAATGCAAATCAGCAAATGCAGGCAGGAGCTACAAGACAATCGACTCAATCAGGTCTGACCATAAATCCAGTGGTTACAAGTCCCAAGATCGCCATAGCTAAGCTGAATGCTTGTGTAGAATGGAATGGAATTGGGTAGGAAGGAGTAGTAGCTAGGCAGACAAACCATCCATGTTTCAGGGGAGACAAACAAACACGCCAGATCCCTCACTGCTTCAGTGTGCTCCTACAGTTTCAGTCTTGCCGGAAGCTTGTTCACAAATCGACCAGAGATTCAGAAATCTCTCTGCTACTGCTATTGCTGCTGCTGCTGCTGCTTCTTCCGCCTGTCATAGTTATATGTCGTTTTGTTTATTCCCTTCGTCTCACAAAGACTTGAGTTTTCGCAAATCTAAAATAGATCAGTACTGTAATTCTCAGGCGTGCTAATTTAGGCGCGGTTGTTTTGTCTGCTGGAGCCCATTAAAAAGGTAACAAGCTCCAAAAGAACTCTTAAAGTAAATTTCACAAAACTACGGATACTTTGCCAAAACTATCACAAAATTATAGAATTGACACTAAAGTTATCACAAAGCTATAAATTTAAAATCAAATATCACAAAACTATAGATTTAATTAAGAGGAATACTATTTACTCTAAACTCTTTGTCGGACAAAATACTTTGAATGCTGAAATCAGAATGACTCTTTCTTTAGAAACGTCGTTCTGGAAATTATCTCGCAATTTTAGTACAACCGCGTTTTCTGATTGAACACGAGTACCATTATGTTCAGAGTTTGCATTGATGGTGATAATGTATGATCAGTTGATCACTGCATGTATGATGTATCCAACGATCTCATTAAACTACTCCCTTCATCCCAAAATGTTTGACGCCGTTGACTTTTTAAAAAATATTTGACCGTTCGTCTTATTGAAAAAAAATTAAGTAATTATTAATTCTTTTCATATCATTTGATTTATTATTATATATACTATTATGTATACATATAGTTTTACACATTTCATAAAAGTTTTTGAATAAGACGAACGGTCAAACATGTTTAGAAAAGTCAACGGCGTCAAATATTTAGGGAATGAGGGAGTATTTTGTTGCGATTTGCTTGGCTCGGTTCTCTCATGTGATCGACATCAGGACAGATATCTCTCTCTCCAGTAGCCGTATTAAAACCTTAGCTCACATCACAATATATCACATCACATGGGTGCATGCTCCATAATGCCTGCAACTGCAAGACCCCATATGCTGCATGCTGCACATCATCAATTTGCAGTGGCAATTGCTGCATGATCAGCACATCAAGATTCATCAGAAGAACAAGCTGACCTTGCATGAACTGGGAGGCATTAATTCAGAGATTTCATATATATTGAGATGAGCGCACTTGTTATAAAGAAGAACATCATAGAAGATCTAAACGTACTGATGACGATATCAAAACACGATATTTGTTAATGAGAACTGCACCTGAATGTCGAAATGGTGCAAGTCCAAGGATATATAGTATGTCAACATGGTACTAGCTACTACCATGCAAGCACAGCTATTGCACGATCGATCAAGTGATCGAGGTAGGAGGTGATTGGAAAAAGGGTCATGTGCTCGCTCCGAGTTTGGAGAGGAAACCCATGTGGCCGTCATGTGAGCTAGCTAGGTAGGTCACACAGCTGATCCTCTCCTCTTTCTCAAAGCATGTACACTACTACCGGCTAAAACACACAAAAAGCTAGCTTGGCTAGGCCAAGCCAAGCTGGTCATGTACTCATGTATTGAAGAACGGTAGGCAAAAGTTGGTTTTCTGGTAGTGATCAATTTATCATGCTATATATTGCAAATTTAGGTACTTAATTAATTGTTCAGATGCAAGGAATTATATATATATATGGGTAATTCGATCGTTATAGATATTGAATTACGTCCAGGGGTTTTCCAGCTAGCTTCACAAGGTGGTGGGCTAGTCTACCTGGATTCAAAGCATCACCCCTTCTAATTATTTGATATTAGGTCCTTTCCGAATATTTGCGTTTTAATCCTGGCTCGTTGTCTGAAATTAAGTTATCACAATTTTGTTTGCCAGAAAATTAATCCTCAATGCGAAACCATCATAATTAACTAGGGTGAAACTGTTTCAAGATAGTCAGACACTCCTTGTTTGAACATTGTTAAATGCGAAATTTTAGGTACTTGGGAGGTATCAAACTTTTTAGATAAAGTATAAACATGTAACTTAAAAATCAACTTCTACATGTCGTAACGAAAAAAACAAATTAAACTACTACAGCTAGTTAACGCATATTCATAGTCAAATTTGTTTTTTTTAAAATTGCGATATGTAGAAGTTGAATTTTACGTAACATATTTGTGAAGTGATATATCACATATTGATACATCTTTTTAAAATTTTCCAAATTCTCTCATAACTATTTGAGTGACATGCAAATAACAAGAGAACATCTCGGAAGTTTAGAATAGTTTCCCCGATTTCGATGCCTGCATAGCAAGTCTACAAACCGCCTGTGAAGCAAAGACAGCACACACTCACACACACAAGATGCATGCCAACACACCTACGTTCGCTTCATAACTCCACAAGGTTGCCAACTCGGGAGGCGACGCTACATGTGCCGCCATGTGCGTCTTGCTTTGCCCCTATTCTAATTCTCTCTCTCTCAGCTTAATTGGGACCCTCTCCTATCTGGATCATTCAACCAAAATACTGTCAGATACTGTAGCTAGTGTGTCATAGAAAAAAAATCTATATATTAACAATTAATTAATTAAGTACATGCATTTGTGCACACTTGTACTTGTCATTGTACGTATTTTCGTCATGTGAGTACATAACTTGCACTAGAAAAATGGAAAAGATATATATACCTTGTATTCTCCAAGCATGATCAACTACTAGGTAGCTACTACTGCACATGTTTATCATTTAATTATCAGCTACCATGCCTAGCTTAGCTAGCTGTTGCACCGTGCACTATCTTGATTTTTGGCCATTTAACTGTTTTAATTAATTAATTGATTGATTGATTTGAAACTGATTAATTAAAATGGGGGTGTCCAAATATTCAATCGTACCACAATGTAGCATGTGTCATGAGCAGAAAAGGAGAAAGAAAAGATGTAATTTAGAGGACCACAAAAACGGTGGCAATTGCATGCTAGCTAGCTCACACCACATGGCGCCATTTCTCCATTCTCTCCATGGACGCACATATATAAGCAGCAACCATGGTGTCCATGGCTACCTCTGCCAACCTAGCTTAGCTAGAGCCTAGAGGAGTCATCTCCATTTCTTAGCTTCTCTCCTCACCAGAAGCCACCATGAGAGGCCCTAGCACCACCACCATGGCCACCTTCAAGCAAAGCTTCCTCAAGAACCTCCTCTCGAGCCTCAAAAGCTCCAGCAAAAACAAGGCCGCCATGTCGACCCTGAGTGAGAGGAAGCGTGCCATCAAGTCCTCCGCCGACATCGCCATGGCCACCGCCCGCACCGGCATCGCCGGAGCAGCACGGTGGCCACATGCCATCTTGGCATCATCATCATCGTCTTCTTCATCTTCATCTTCATCTTCATCGTCATCGTCGATGCCGAGAACTACATTTCCATGCAAGATGATGCAAGGGAAGGTGAGGAGGAGGTGCAAGAGCATCGTGAGGAGGAGGACGCCATTGATGAGTAGTAGTAGTGAGGTTGCGAGGAGACTGGTGAAGAAGAGGGACAAGGTGCTGAGGAGGATGATACCCGGAGGCGAGCTCATCGCCGACGAGATCTCGCTGCTGCACGAGGCCATGGATTACGTCGTTCATCTGCACGCCCAGGTCGACGTGCTCCGCCGCGTCTCGAGAGCCGCCGTGGCGCGGAGATCCAGTGCGTCTTCTTCTTCTTCAGGTTTGTTTGATTGCTGAATTTTTTTGCAGCTAGATCTTCTTGATGTTCTTGAAATTGTTTTGACTCTTTTTGTTGGTATTTTGTATTGGGTTGTTTTTGTGACTTGTCCTTGTTCATCATGCAGGTGGGCTTGCACAATTGAAGGAACGGACGGTTCAGATCTCTGGTGAAACGGAGAACCCATGCTAGATAGTAGGATGTGATTCTGAAAAGAGGAGCAAGATGTGTTGCAGATATTGGAGAAATATCCAAGAGGGTGATCAGATTTATGTCCCTGATCACACTTGATAAGCAAGTGCAGAAGTGCCCGGAGAAATAGAAGTGGAAGAGTGGTGGAGAGTAATCAAGATTCGTACTGTTCAAAGATGAATGAGAGGAAATTTGTAAGTTGGTGGTACTAATTGTAGTAGCCACTTTTGTACCAGAAGTAAAAGTGAAATTGATTAATTATAATGCAGAGAGATAGTACTGAAATTACTGCCCTTGTATACCTGAAAGTCTGAAATTATGTTCTAAGCTAATCTTCAGCCCAATACTTCTGAAGAATTAACTAACTTCATGTTCTTGTACACCTGAAAGTCTGAAACTGTGTTCTAAGCTAATCTTCAGCCCAATACTTCTGAAGAATTAACTAACTTCAGATGTTAATTTCAGTCCACAAAAACTCTGAAACTGTGTTTCTTTAAACCATGTTTCAGTTATGCCTGAACCACCTGCCATTTACACGCGAACCGCATTTCACAACAATTAAGGAACCGCATTTCATACCATAGTTGTTGCAAGCTTGTAGTATCAACAGCAATGTGTAGAACTTCCTCGCAAAAAAAAAAAGTGTAGAACTGAGAGATCTCAAACACTTTTGTTTTTAAGGGAACCAGCACGAGCTTGTGCTATTTCATTGAATTAGAGGGGAAGCTATGATCCCTAGGGGCAAAGAAAATTGTTAAATCTATACAGATACAGAGATCTCAAACACTCAATGCAGGGGAGAATGTGTAATTCAGAATCAAACATTATGTGGATGCTGGATCTTGGTGTCCAATCCATGCAGCCATGCCTGTAACCTGTCCCTAGCTCTCTGTCAGTGGTAGGCAGATATGGGCATTTGCCTGTGACAGAGGAAAAAGGCAAAATGATTTTGGTGCTGTCCCTGAACTGCAGCAACAGCTCTGCAGGTCTCCTTGCTACAGTGAGACTCACATGGAAACTTGTTGTACTGAACTGAATTTGGGCTGGGTGTTTGGCATCACCAGAAGCCCAACTAATTTGGAATAAGTTCACTTTAGGTCCCTCTATTTGTCGGTCAGTCCGATTTTCGTCCCTTGACCACAAAACCGGGTACGACCCGTCCCCCAACTTACGAAACCGGGCAAACAAAGTCCCTCGGCAGTATGGAGGGCAGTTTTGACCGACGTGGCGTCTACGTGGCTCCTTTGACTAGGTCTTCGTCCCACGTGGCATTGACGTGGCTATTACGTGGCAATTTTATCTCGAAAAAATAATAAAAATAGTGGGACCCATATGTCAGCTACACAAAAAATAATTAAAAAAAGGTGGGGCCATGTGGTCCTACATGTCAGCCTCCTCTCTATCCCCCTCTCTCTCCCCCTACACTGCCAGGAGAAAAGGGCGAGCGGTGGCGCCGAGGGGGTGACGGGCGGAGCGACGACAGAGCGGAGTGGCGACGGAGCGAAGCGGCGCGGCGGCCGGTGGGAGGAAGCGGAGCGACGATGGGCGGTGCGGCGACGGAGCGAAGCGGCGCGGCGGCCAGCGGTGAATGGAGCGACGGCGGGTGGTGGGCGACGGGAGGAAGCGGAGTGGCAGTGGGACGAAATGGAGCGGCGGCGGGCGGTGGGCGGAGCGACGCTGACGACGCCGCTCCCGCCGCCCCCCAAGCTGAGTTCGCCGGCTCCCCTCCCCTCTCCTTCTCCACTCTTGGCTCTTCCTCTTCTTTCTCTCGGCTCTCCCTCGTCCTTGCAGCGGAGCGGCGGCGGCGGCAGCAGGCCACGGGGCGGGCGGAGCGGCGACGGACAGCGCATGGCCAGCGGCGGGCGACGGCGCGCGCGGCGGGCGACGGCGCGCGCGGCGGGCGACGGCGCGCGCGGCGGCGCGCGAGACGCGTGGGGTCGATGGTGACGTCGGGCCGCGCGAGGAGGCGGCGGAGCAAGTGGAGCTTCTCGTCCTCACCACCACCACCACCACCACCAGAAGCAGCGGAGCCGCCATGGCACTTGCGGAGCTCCGACGAGGGGAGGGTGTCGGTGATATGGCCGACAAGGGGAGCGCTTGCGCAAGAGAGATATGGCCGCCGCCACCCCAGGCGCCTCGCGCGCCGTCGCCCGCCGCCGGCCATGCGCTGTCCGTCGCCGCGAGGGAGGAGGCGAGCTCGTCGGGGCGGCCGGCAGGAGATGAGGCAGCGCACGCCGGCTGACGGGAGGGAGGGAGAGGAGCGGTGGTGCGCGAGCGTCGGCGGCCGGTGGGAGGGTGGGAGAGGAGCGGCAGCGCACGGGGACCAGTGGGAGGGAGCGGCGTGCGGCGACCCGCAGGTGGGAGGGAGAGGAGCGGCCACCGTCGCTTGGAGAGAGAGGAGAGGAGAGAGAGATGGAGAGAGGGGAGATGGGGAGAGATGAGGAAGAAGAGGAGGGATGAGTTGGACTGACATGTGGGGCCCACGTGGGTCCCACCTTTTTATTATTTTTTCTATGAGACTGACATGTGGGGCCCACGGGTTTTATTATTTTTCTGTATCGGATTGCCACGTAAGCGCCATGTCAGTGCCACATCAGATGAAGACCGAGTCAAAATGGCCACATAGGTGCCACGTTAGCCAAAACCACCCTCAAAACCGCTAAGGGACCTCGTTTGTCCGGTTTTCGTAATTTAGGGGATGGGTCATACCCGGTTTTGCGGTTCAGGGACGAAAATCAGACTGGGCGACAAATAGAGGGACCTAAAGTGAACTTATTCCAACTAATTTTGATTGTGTCGATCATGGGCCATTCTAGAGTGGGCTTTTCATTTCTTGATCATGTGATGTCTGAACTCTGAAGTGGCAAGATTAAGCTGTATGTGCCAACCAATTTAAACGCAAAGTTTAAGCGGCCGAGGAAGAACGTACAATTCACTGTATTTTAACAATGGTCAATCTACCATTGCCCAATTCTTTTCGGGTCCTGTTTGACATTTTTTTTCACAGCTCCTATGGAAATTGAAATGATTATTGCGCGGCAAAGAAGACCACGAGTTGTGTGTTTTACTATATTATTGGGTTTTTTGGGGTGGAGTGGAGATGTGGAGCGCGAAAACCTAGCTCCACCCCCGTAGTTTATTTTCTAGGAGTAGCTCTGCCAACTCCACTCAAAAAAAGGTGGATCTATACCGTTTGGCACAACTCCGGCTCTAGGTAAGTTGGAGTTGAGAGCTAGAGCTGTGCCAAACGGGGCCTATATTCCTAATTTCAAAGATGGCCAGAAGCAATAGGGGAATTTGCCACCATCCGTCTGCCACAAGAGATGACTCGACTATTTCCAAACCAAGAGATGCTATAGGGAGTTTGATTAAATTTTAATTAATTTAAATCCCACGGCAAATCGTTTTTTTCTCGTACATTTCTTCTATCTTACAGCACACCAAATCCCACAAGATCGCCGGCCGTTCTCGTTGGCTTCGCCGCTGGCCTCCGGCGGCGGCGGTCACGCCGGCGTGAGGCCGTGCTTGAGCGCCGCCTTCCAGACGACGTCGATCCGGTCGACGTCGATGGCGCCCACCTCGTGGTGCTCCCACCCTTCCAGGAAGTGCACCACGCCGCCGGCGTGGCACGCGTGCACCACCCCGCGTTCCATCGTGTACTGCACACATATGTTTCCCGGCGATCGCCGGCCGACCATGTCAGCGAACTCGGAGAAGAAGAATATAATAATAATAATAATAATAATAATAATAATAATAATAATAATAATAATAATGGACAAAATTTTTCTATAAATTTAGTCGAATCTAAAAAGAGTTTTGTTATAAAAAAAGGTTTAAAGTGACTGTAATATGAAACGGAGGAAGTACCTCGCAGTAGCCGAGGCCCTGGACGTCCTTGGGGAGCCTCATGGCGGCGAGCTTGCCGTAGGTGCAGTCTCGCCGGAACCCGATGATCGGCGGCACCACGAACTGGTGGAAGTGTGTCCCCGCCGGCGCCCACCTCTGCTCCCTCGGCGACAGCCACTTCCCCACCAGCCACGTCTGCAACAATGCCATCCATCCAACTTTAGCTTCTGATAAATTTTACGGTATTTGAAAAAGTAACCCGGGATACTTAAATCTTACATTAAAAAAATTTACTATCTTGAGATACCTAGTATTCGGAAGTACTAAATTTTACATCAGAAAATACGGTAACTTTCGGGTACCTTCTTAGATGGTAAAATTACCCTAAGCTTTTCCGTCGAACTAGCTAGTGCATACAACTTGGCGCCATAAATATAGCTAGACCCAAAATAAACACTAAAGTAAACTTTTGGTGATCTGGTCGGTGCATACAACTGAGACAAAAAATGTAACTTTTTCTGGGTTAATTGGTCAGCGGGACAATATGACTCTGACAAAAGTCTATGTTTTATAGGTTAACTGGTTGGTGGATAAAACCTGATGAAAGAAAATGTGGACAATCACATCATGGACACAGCCTTGAATTACTGAAACTTATTGAAATTCCAGCGAGTGAATTACCTTGCAGTTTTGTGCAGGCTGGTACTTGGTGACCTGCACGAGGTACTGCTGGAACTCTGCCGGTGCTTCCCTCTGAATCTTCAGAAACCTCTCCGACGACAATGTCAACATCTAAAACCAAAAAAGATTAGCACACAGAACCATCAATCCCAGTCTTGCAATCATCCTCTTGTTTAACATACTCATCTAATCATGCTGTGAATTAACACAGAGTTTTTTTTCTCCTTTTTTGGGGTTCAGTTCAGAGTTCAGACAGGCAGCAGAGCACGAACCAGGACTCTGATCTTTTTTCTGCAGAGGTAGAGGGCGATGGCTCTGCCGAGCTTGGAGGTGGCGCCGGTGAGGAAGACGTCCTTGACGTTGCTGGGGATCTCGTTGAGGATCACGGCCGCCGTCAGGGTGTTGCCGTGCACCACCCTCACCCTCAGCTCCGGGTGCTTGTTCACGAACAGCGTGCCACCTCCATTCAGTGCCTCGTTCTGACAGAAACAAGAAACCAAACCAAAACATAAGAAGATTCAAAGAGTTTCAGTTAAGATCAGATCGTTGCACTGCATTTTGATTTTTGAGTAATGCTAGATTGCTAGCCTAAAGATTCTGTTTACAGTGCTGATCAGATGAAATTCCTGAACTTTTTAACTGTCTGAACAATGAACGCAGATTTTTTAGTTATGAGCTAGCCACCGCTGCATCTACTCCGATTACACGCGTCACGGTCGCATTTCCATCTTCGCCGCCATTTCAACGTTGAATCAGTTAAGGATTTCACATGCCCATCATAAATGATGATGAATTGGTTCCGGTAGTCTGTGCTAGATAACCAATGCTGCCCAACTGTATGGGCGACACATGAACAGCAAAGAGACTGACATGAACATCACATACTCTCTTTTTTTTCCTTTTTTTTCTTTTGAAAATGACAGGGAGAAAGTTGAAGAAAGATGAGGAAAAACAGAACACCCCTACTGAATCATCAGCAGTGATACTGTACTAGTTAATGGACAAGTATCTTATTATACATGCTGTATATCCAATACTGCTCAACTATATGCATAACACGGCACATTATGATCAAAGAAAGAGACATGTACGTGTCTGTGTCATTGCAAGAAAGTGATAAAGGAAAAGGAAAAAAAAGTTGAGGCATGGAAGAGACAAGACATGTACAGGTAGCAAATATTAAATATACATAAATTATTGGACTATTATTGTAACGGATTATCTATATGATTATATACATAAATTAAATGTTTTAATAAATAAATATTTAAAAAATGTATTCTTGGTGACATGAATAAATAAATAAATAAATAATTCGTGATAATAATCGAAAAAAAAAGCTGAAACGAACCAGATCTTTTGTAAAACAACTGACCTTATTGAGAGCGGCGAGGCTGAGCACCTTGACGCCCATCCGATCTGCACGCAGGATGGCCAGCTCGATCTGCTCGTTGATGCCTTTCTTCGCCGCCGGTATGAAGTACTGTGAATTTGCATACATGGCGCCAATGTCAGAATCAATTCACAAGTTCAGATGGCCTACACAAAACCGAATCACATGCAGTTTTCTATAGGGACTGCAAAGTTAAAGCCACACATTAACCACTGTTGTCACTACTGTACTGTACAAGTACTTGCGAGAGAGGTGCCATTGAATAGTATGGTACCACAACACCTCTACCAATTAATTGATGGACAACCTATGATCCATCCATGATATCTCAGTTGTCCTCTCGATACAGTCAGTACGAGAGTGTTTAAATTCATGGGTGTAAAGTTTTGGTGTGTCACATCGGGTATTATATAGTGTGTCGTATGGGGTGTTCGGGCACTAATAAAAAAAATAATTACAAAATCCGTCAGTAAACTACGAGACAAATTTATTAAGCCTAATTAATCTGTCATTAGCACATATTTACTGTAGCACCACATTATCAAATCATGGAGCAATTAGGCTTAAATGATCTGTCTTGCAAATTAGTCGCAATTTATGCAATTAGTTATTTTTTAAGCATATATTTAATACTTCATGCATGTCTTTAGACGTTCGATGTGACGGGGTGAAAAATTTACGGTGAGATCACATACTAATTCTAAAATATTGTCTCATGTTATACCGACATGAGATATGATATAATTTTAAATTATTCTGGAATTAAGCTAGGCGAGAAGAGAGAGGGGGGGGGGGGGGGGTTATTGTGATTATACCTGAAACCCATATCGGGGGACAGTCCACATCTGGTGGAGGTTGCCGCGGAGGCGGTAGGAGCTGACGAGGAAGGTCTTGGAGCAGCACCACATGAGCAGCATGAAGCCGAAGGCGACCGGCCAAAACGGGAGGAGGACGAAGTGGTTGGCGAACGGCGTCGAGCTGCACGACCGGAGCACGAACGGCACGTGCATCGACGCCATGATGTCCACCACGTGTGCCAGGAACACGAAGTCCGGCGCCTGATCGTTCTTGCCTACATCAACAATTGCCATTTTTCGCGAAATAATATTATTATAAAACCGTCAAGCTCTCGATAGTGAAATGATAATAGATGTGTGATTTCAACCCTTGAGGTCATGTGTTCAATCCCCGCACGCTCATAATTTCTTCTTTAAAAAAGTTTTTTTATTGTAAAAATATTCAAGATTTTTGGGGCTTGGGAATTTTGCATGAATTAATTCTAAATGTTAATGTCTGGAGCAATGTCTCTCCCTCCAAATCTCTTTGTTTTAATTGTAAAAAATCTTCAAGATTTTTGGGGCTTGGGAATTTTGCAGGAATCAATTCCAAATGTTAATGTTTCTTATGGGTCTTGTAGCACACTGACTGAATATAATTCTTGTTTCTTGAAGCAAAAGGCATAATAAAATGCACTAATTAGGCGTGCACCCTACCTAAGTAGACCTCCTTTTGCAGCTCCCATGACTTGTGGTTGAGGGTGCCCCCCAGGAGATCAAAAATAGGCATGAACAGGCAGAAGTTTGAGTCCTTCTCCCTGTGGTGCAGGCTCAGGTACCTGCGCAATTAAATCCATATGCATAATGCATTAGAACAATCAAATCGATTTTAATTACTTGTATCACCTCTTCATACAACACCGACTAATTAATCAACTTTTCTCTAACAACCAATTAGCAGTACAGCTAACAACACTAGGATAGTGACCAAATGACAGATGCAATTAAGCAGATAGCAGCACGGTCCATACAATGAAGTGCAGCATAATTAGTACTACTTGTATCTCAACCTTATAAAGTAGTTATTTATTTATTTAACTAACTGTCTTAGACAAAAATAATTTACTTATTTTCTCCATTTTACAATACTTGATAATTTTGACCTTGCATTGTTTTAGTCCGATCACTCCTATTTTAAAAATAAACTGGTAGCTATTAAAAAATATAAGCATATAGTTCCCATTAATTGAATCAAACGATTTACAAGATATCGGTGGTCAACTAAAATAATTTTCAATCCAATTTACCAAAAGTTATGAATAGAGAAGTATTTATCAGAAAACAAATACATTATACTATTATTTTATTTTTGCACTCACGTAGGGGTGTAGATGAGGTATCTGAGAAGAGGAACAGCCTGGAAGACCCTAGGGGATATCACCTCCACGTTACTGTAGCCCATGGACCTCAAGAAGTCAAACAAAAGGACGTGTCCATAGACCAGGCCCACGGACCCTACCCCCATCAGAAAGGCCCCTGCGAGTGGGACCCCTATCACCACCGTCAGCAGCAGGCTCTCCAGTGGCGTCCCAAATCCAGCTGCAGACCAACGTAACACAGGAAAAGCTTATCATCAGCCAGTCAAAATTGTACTCCTACAACGCTATAACCGTATAACCGTATGAGACGTATAATTAAAAATAAATTATAGATAAAATATTTATATCTACAATGCTAAAATATATATAAAAAAATCTTGCTAAAATATGGATCACGATTAAAAAAACTTAAAATCAACTTCATAATTACGTTTTAAAATTAAAATTTCAGGCTAGTCTCGATTAATTTAATCTTCATAAATTGTACCACTCTGATGGGTTAATCAATGTAGAAATACTAGCTCCATATTTTAATGTATGACGCAGTTGACTTTTTATCCAACGTTTGACCATTCGTCTTATTAAAAAAAATTTATGCAATTGTCATTTATTTTATTGTGACTAGATTCATCATCAAATGTTATTTAAGCATGATATAAATATTTTCATATTTGCACGAAAATTTTGAATAAAATGAATGGTCAAACGTTAGTCGAAAAGTCAACGGCGTCACACATTAAAATACGGAGGGAGTATGAATGAAGCAGAAAAAAGAATAATCTATGCATAACATTTTATATTTTTATTGTTTATTGTTTAAAAGTCAATGCTAGAAAAAACAAACTACGACAAATAAAACACTTCAAAATCTATCCCAAAACCAACATTAAGTTTCAAAATATCTGCTGCAACTCATTAAGACAACAAAACATCATACATAAACTGGTTCACAGTTCCAACGAGAATTTTCAAAACAAATTTGGTACACCAAACAGTTCATAGATAGGAATAAATACACTCCCTTTTTATACTCCTAAACTTTGTTGGGGAGTATGGTATGGAGTACAGTACATGATGAGTACAGGTGTAGAGTACCTGTCAAGGGTGTGGTGACCGAGGCGTGGTGGTGAGCGGCGTGGTAGCGGCTGAAGAGTGGGGCCCGGTGCAGGGCCCGGTGGGCCCAGTAAAAGAGCGGCTCAGCGACCAACACATGCAGCAGCAGTGCGATGGCCCACCCGCGTGGGTCCCACGCTTGCTTCAGGCTTGGGAGCAGCAGCTGCTGCCGCGCCACCGCCGGGCTCCCCACCAACGTTGCCCCTATCAGCGTCTGCAGCAGCAGAAAGTTATCCCTGCATATATATGCAAAATAATCCCATCAAAAAAAGAAAAACACATATTGCTACCTCCATTCTAAAAATAAGTGTTGCCGTGGATATCCGTTTCTAACATTTAACCGTTCGTATTATTTAAAAATTTTATAAAATAATTAGTCACATATAAAGTAATATTCATGTTTTATCATCTAATAAATAAAAATAATTAAAAAATTAAATAAGACGAACGGTCAAACGTTAGATAAGGACAGTATAAAACTATACTTATAGTTATTTTAGGATTGAGGGAGGGAGGTCTACATAAAACAGATTCATTCTTAATTTTACTGCTGGTGCTGGTTTAAGCAGTAGAAATGGTGACATATATGAGTAGTAATTACGATGATTCTAGATAAGAGAGCAGCCATGGCGTCTGTCTGTCTGAACTCTTCTGAAGGCTGAAGCTGGGATCTGATCTAACAGTGGATGACTGGATGGTACAGTACTGTCTCTGGGCTTGGTGACCACTGCTTGCCTTGGATGCAAAGCCATATTTTCTCCCTCTCAAAAAAATCAATCTAAAAATGAATAGGACACAAATGCACGCCGTCGGCGACCGGCCGGCGACTAGCTAGCTACGGCGGAGGAGAATGAGATAGATAGAGAGAGAGACGGCGAAGGGCGTACCAGTCCCATTCGGCGTCGACCTGGCGGAAGTCGACGGAGTCGGGGACGACGCGGCGGCGGCGGGTGAAGAAGAGCATGTTGCCGTAGGAGAACCAGAACTGGTAGGTGAGCCCGCGGGCGGCGAACAGCAGCAGCAGGTGGAGCCACCACGACCCCACCGGCGCCGCCCCTTGCTGCCTCCACTCCTCCGCCACCTTCCACACCACCGCCCCGTACAACACATACTGCACCCATCTCCCATTAATTAACCACGCACACGTTAATTAGCTTAATAAGGTAGAAGAAGAAGAAGAAGAAGAAGAAACTAACAAAGAGAGATTAATTGACGACTTAAGAGAGAGATTATATGCATGCCTTGTACGAGCCGAGGCTTGCCCATGGCCACGACGAGAGAGGAGGAGCAGCCATGGCTGCTTGCTTAGTTTGCTCTCTCGATCGAGCTTGTGAAGCTCCTCCTTCTCTCTCACTTTGTGACTCTAATGTGTGGCTGCTAATTAAGCTTGCTAGCTAGTAGCTGCATGCTCTAGCTAGCTATGAGAGAGAGAGAGAGAGAGCTTTGGATGCCACACGCTGCGTCTCCCTCTCTACTTATAAGAAGAGATCCGAGAGAAGGAGAAGAAGGGGACGACGCGCGTGTAGGAGACGACGACGAAACTTACATGCGCCATATTAGGTTGGCCCCCACCTAGGTACAGTAATTAGGGTATTTGTTCCGGAGACGGCTAATTAACTAGATTATTAATTAAAACAATATGATGATAAAATATGTACTATATATATATGGACTAATTAATTAATGACTATATCCTCCGGAAAATACGACCAGATATATACTCCTATTGCGTAATAGACCGAACGGTTGTACAAGAAACTGATTTGGTGCATCTATTGATCTACCGCGCCGTGGTCTTAATTTCCAGCTTATTCATCGGGTTTTTTTAATGAATCATTTGTTTTACGCTTAGAAAATTACGTCCCTTTTTTTTAAAAAAAATATTCTATCGTACTCCTATTGCTTTAGACCAGTCATTTTTAACTATTTGCCTAGTTTACTTTTTTCTTAAAATATTTAGTTTATCTCTGTAATCAAGTGAATAATCTGGATCAATAATTCACTTAATAATCTAAACCAAAGAGGTATTTATATTTTGACTGTGTATAATTATTATCCACTATCTTTAAAAAAGGATTGAATACATGATTCATGATGAATGTTAGTATATCTTCTACTATACTAGTCGGAGCAAGTAGGTAATGGCAGATGCAAATGGTATACCGGTCCAGCTAGAAATATTACTGTGCTATAATTGACCATGTCCATTGCGTTAAATTCTTACAATATGGAAACATGCAAATTAAAACGCGTGTTTGCATATCAGGTAGACGATAGATAGGAGTACATGTGTTACTCCCATTAATATCATTTTTCCTCTTTTTGAGGACCAACTCTGAGAACGGTATGTGCCATTTTGCAACTGCAAACTAACTGTCCATAAACACAAACATTAACTAGTAAGTGCATGCCAAACCGATGCACACACACCACCAGCTAGGGGAGATTTTGACACCTGCGCCGCGCCGGCCAGACAATGCTACTAAATGCAGATGGAGTATACTTCTCTCCTCCTGTTCTTGACAACATAATACTAGTAGTACCAGTACACAGATCAAGAGTAACTTCGATGGTATAGATAACTGATAGCTATAACTAACATTTGTCACGTTATTTATAACCAATTTAATATATAGTACACCCAAAGTGTCCCAAAGTCCCAAAATGAATAATATAGCTATAGCAAATGTGTTTTGTGGATGATATATAATTCCTGGCGTTTGAACATTTCTGAGAAGGTTTTATGTCGAATTTGCCCCTGTGTAGTTAATTACTCTCTCCTTCCCTGTGGAGCAATTTGTTAGTAGTTTAAAAATGAACTAATGAATGTCAAATAAATAAAACCACAGGGAGTAGTACTATCTTAATGGTATTGTTGTTTTCAATATCAATGCTTTGAGTACTGTAGTGCATGACTATTCAACTTCATTAATGGTCCGTATGGTATGATATTTTGGTTGATTTAATACGGGTAAAATAGAAATAGTTACCTCAATTAATCATGTATTGGCATGTAAGATTATATTAAAACGTAAATAATTATGAAACTAAAATAATAGCCATATACATATGGACACTATTAATGCATAGCCATGTTATTTTTCTCATAAAGCTTATTGTTGAAGTATTGGAGGAAAAAGTAAAAAGACATATTTGCAAATGAAAAATAATTTATGAATAAAACTTTTATATACAATGTTCTTAACGATCTGAAAGCAAAGGCTAAAAATAAGGATAAAAATTTCAAAATTAACTTCAGATTTAAGCTTAAAAATTTAAATTTTGATCAATAATAAGTATAAATATAGGTGAAAAAATGAGGATACTATGGGCCTGTTTGGGGGAGCTTAAGATTTTAAGAAGCAACTGGTTGGTAGTCAGCTTCTTAGAATCTGGAAAAGCCGGGTTTCCCAGTTTCTGGCTTCTAGTTCATTTTCTAAATTCTACAACTACAGCTTCTCAGAATCTGGACTAAAAGCTAGACTGTTTGTGGGAGCTTCTGATTATAGGAGAAACTGCAACAGCTAGAAACTCCTCCAAACAGACCATATAGTTGGCTAGAGATGTTGTAGCCTTTCTCTCATATAAAACTCTTGACACGAATTTGATATAGTAACAATTTATCCCCTCACACCACCATACCACCTTGAACACATGCACACCATAACCAGCCTGAATTGCCATTAATTTTGATAATTTGACTCTTTGCAAAAACTAATTTTACAAATAAACCGCCGCCAAAACTTATTTCAAAAATGACCCTTTTGTTCAGCGCCAAATAGCGTGGCACTGAATTTAGATACCTCAGCGCTAAATAGCGTGGCGCTGAATGTACGTTGGCACGTTGACTCAGCCTTCCATCCACGATGGCACGACATTCAGCACTAGATGATGTGGCACTGAAGTGTGTAAGTTCAGCGTCACACGATTTGGCGCTAAAAAAAAGGGTCACTTTTGAAATAAGTTTTGACGGCGGTTTATTTGTAAAATTAGTTTTTTAAAAAGGTCAAATTGTCAAAATTAATACCGGAATTGCCATATGGACCTATCCAATCATGCAACCATGATCGATCAATCAATCCAATCCAATCCAATCCAATCCAATGCATGCATGCGGCGTCATGACTCGTGCCAGATTTTTTTCAGGGCTCAGAACAGATTTCAGGATTCAGGCAGGCAGCAGTAGTGTGCTGGCCTGTTGCATTCGTGCATGTTGCAGCAACAGCCACGCGTCAGCCTTAATTAAATGCCGCCGTTGACGAGCTGTACGGCATACTAGTAGCACGTCGAATGGACGGCCCCGATCTGTGTCTGCTTCTTTTTGGACGGATATGATGATGTGATATGCATGCGTGGTACACTGTTTATTTTCTGCCTATCATATAGGGTGCGTTTAGGCACTGTTTAGTAATACCAAAACTTATCTGAACTTCTAACTTTCCATCATATCACATCACATCTAAAACTTTTCTATTCACATAAACTTCTAACTTTTTTTTCCAAACTATCAACTTTCCCCAAACTTCTCTTCAATTTCATGAACTAAATACAGCCTTAGTTAACGTTAAAATTGGAAGTTTGGTTGAAATTGAAACGATGTGACAAAAAAGTTGGAAGTTTGTGTGTAGGAAAGTTTTGATGTGATGAAAAAGTTAGAAGTTTGAAAATAAAATTTGGAACTAAACTTGGCCATAGTAGTAATTTTTATCATGATTTTTGTACCACGTTTTTTAAACAACTAAGTGTATTCTGTGCGAAAACTTTATATAAAAAATATTTTAAATTATTCTAAATTTATAATAATTAAAACTTAATTAATTATACGTTAATAATTTCATTGTTTTTCGTGTCCTAATTTCATCTTCAATAGAAATAACAGCCACCTTAGCTAAATGTTGGAGGATATGGTCAACTTATGGCAGTTGCTCTCAAATCATTCTCCCTATGTAGTTTATGTTATTGAAAAATTCTAAGAATTAATATAGTATAGAATATAAAAATGAACTAACTTAGAGATTGAAAATCCTAGCTTTTTTTATTTTTATTGGTCGGCTAATCTATTATATTATTAAAGGAATAGAAAAAGGAGCCTCCACGTTCACTCTTATGGCCTAGAAATTCCCACATTAATCGGAGAAAAAGAAAAAACAGAGTCCATATAGGAATACAATTTAAAAATAGGTGAAATTCGGAATTAGAAAATAAGGAATATTAGAAGAGGAGACTAGAGTCCATATAGAAATACAATTAGGAAATAACTGAAATTCGGAATTAAATATAAGGAATATTAGAAGTAGAGTATAGAGTCCATATAGAAATACAATTAAGAAAAAAAAAGAAAGTCGGAATTAAAAACAATGAATATTAGAAGTAAAGTATAGAGTACATATCAAAATACAATTAAGAAAAAAATAGAAATTCGGAATTAAAAAGTAAGGAATATTAGAAGTAGAGAATAGAGTCCATATAGAAATACAATTTACAGAAAATTCGGAATTAAAATAAATAAATATTAAAAGACGAGTCTAGATTCCATATAGGAATATATATAATTTACAAATAACTAAAATTTGATATTAAAAATAATTAATAACTAACACGTATATAAAATACAATATGAATATGACACATTAGTAGTTTTGTAAAGTTATTGTAAAATTTAAAATTATGTTTAAATATAAAATTTTAATATATTTGAATAATATAATGAGAAAACATATATGCTATTATATGAGAGAAAATATAATAATACTAGTCGCGTAATCTGTACGGGCCATCATGCTAGATAATACTAAATTGTAAGCGGCTTATCAGAATCTGCAGCTCCCGAAACAGCGGCTGTAGCAACTTAGCTTTCGTTTGGTTGGTGCCTGTTTGGGCGCCGGTGGGTCGAGAATTGATTGCAAAGTTAGGAGTCGTAGCACTAGCAATCAATTAATAAACGGCACGACGGCGAGGACGACGGAGAGAAGTAGTGTAGTCCTAGTGCTGCCATTGTTGCAGGAGTACACAGGTTGCAAGTACAGGCCGGCAATGAATGAAGTGATAGATAGGTGTTGTGCATTTGTGCATGAGAGCAGTTGGCTCTTCGCTGGCCCCCTGAGTCTGCCTCTGCCTCCCTGCCTGCCGCCGGATCATTCACGGAGCTCTTTCCATGTGCCGTTTGTTATACTGCTACTAAAAGAGTAATTCTACGGTGCTCTTTATTGGTAGACTAGTAAAATTAATCTGAACCCTCTAGGACTATGTTCGGTTGCACTTATTTCAATTGTAGTGTAGCCAATTCGAACAGTCCTATGTGTTTGTTGCTGCAGCAATAAGGGGTACATTGTGGTGTAGCCGAACAGAGCACTTTCATACTACTACTTTATCTTCTCGTTTTCCCATGTCGTTTAAAAATTCATTAAAAAGTCTAGAAAACTTTAATAAGGCATGTCGATATATGATATGTCACTCAACAAACGATTCAAATTCAATTTGGAGAGT